GGGGGGCCGCGCTTCGACCTTCGACTCTGAGCTGAACAAAAAGTCATACGACTTTTCCGCCCAAGGGCCCAGCCCAGACGCCTCCAGTGTGGGGCTTCCCGCTTGCTTGCCTGCCGGGGCAAGTCGACGGATTCGGTCAATTGGGGTTTTTATTTCCGGGCTGGCGTCCTTTTTTTATTCTCGTTTTATCACCTTCTCGGATCGAGCGGCACGCTTGGGGGGTGGGGTGGGGTTTCGTTGGAAGAAACGTTGTGTCGATGCCCCGGACATGCTTTCTTGTGTTGTTCTTACCTGCACCCCTTACCTAGGCAGGCTGTTTTCGTTCGACGGCATCCGTTGCCCGTCGTCCCGTCATCCAGGTCCATCCAGGGAGGCCTCCTCCTCCAGCTTTTGAATCTCCGGGTGGTCATCTGTTGATAACCGGGCGCCCCGGTTATTTCCCTCTCCCGGGTGACGACGGGATGCAGCAGCAGGGGAGGAGACAGGCAAAGCGTTGGCGCCGCCACAGCAAGGCTGGTTGGTTTTGTCTGTCTGTCCCTCAAGAGCCCACTCACCTACCGCACGCACTCGGCACTGACAATGAGGGGGGCGCGGCAGACGACAGAGCACAGGAGAAAGCCGGCGGGCATGACAGGCGTCATGATTCTTGTGACTGTTTGTTTTCGACCTTGGGGCGCCCCTTGGGGTCCCGGCTATCTGCGCATGGAAACATGCACGCACACACCACGTGTTTGCTGCAATCCCCAACCTTGCTCTCTGGCCATGCCTCCCTCCTCTCCTCCCAGCCAGGCGTGCGGCGGCTTGGGCGGGCCGCCCGGGCGCCCTTGCCGCTGTAATTCGTTGTATTTCGTTGCAACTGGTCCCCTTCCCTCTCTCCCCTTCCCTCTCCCTCTCTCCCTTTCCCTCTCCCTCTCTGCCGTCTGTCGGGATCCCCACCCGCCCCCCGCTGGACATCACCTGTGCAGCCAGTCGGTCTCCTGCCCGTCCGGGATCAGCTGGACGGCCTTGTTCCAGGTGCGGCTGTATACGATGCCGTGGACCTTCAGATCCCTCTGGGCGGCGGCGGCCTTGACCTCGGGGAAGTCGTGGACGCGCTTCATCTGCTCGAGCACGTTGAGCTCGACGAAGCGCCCGTCGCGGTGCTCGCTGTCGACCGCCTGTAATGCCGGGTTGCTGATGTTCCTGAGCTCCTGCAGCTTACTGTTTAGGTCGTGTTTTTGTAAGTCAGAGAATGCTAGAAGTGGCTAAAATGGCGGGGGTTCTAGACCACCAGCCGAGCCTGGTGTAGGAGGCAGCGCCGGGGTACGGCAAGCCAAGGGAGAAAAGACGGATGCGAAAAAAAAAAAGACGTACTGGAACCACGGCCCCTTGAGCCCATTCCATGTGTCCGAGGCCTTGACGATGCCGCACTCGTAGTGGCCGCAGATGACGATGTGGCGGACGCGCAGGACGTCGACCGCGTACTGCATCATGCTGGCGGCGGCCAGGTCCTCGGGCAGGGCCATGTTGGCGACGTCGCGCAGCACGATGCTCTCCTCGAGCGGAATGTCCAGCACCGTCGTCTCCTCGAAGCCGCTGTCGGAGCAGCCGATCCAGAGCACCTCCTGCTTGGGCCCCACGTAGTGCGGGATCAAGTTCGGCGGGCACGGCACCACGCTATAGCCCGGCCGCGGAGTCGTGTCCCTGACGCCCATTGTTTGGTCGGGTGTATGTATTCTGTGATGGTCGATGTGGTTTGCTTCTTGCCACGCTGCCGAGGCTTCTTAGATGTGCCGGTTTCTTGTTTTTATGGCGCGCGGCGCCGTCGTTCTTGCTGCTAGCTCGGGCTAACCGTCGGGGTCGGTTGCGTGGATGGGCGGTGCCGAGTAAGGCTTCAGCTCTTGGGGGATGGGTGGAGTTTTTGAGGACTCGGTGTCTCGGCACTCCCTTGCTGTCCCCCTATCAGCCGGCTCGCCGTGTTTATATGTCTTTTCGGTCTCGCGAGGATTTCAGTTTCGTATGCGCCCGTCGTTGTCGACTGTCGCTGGAGCAAAAGGCCAAAGCGATGAGAATGTTCAGGGAAGGCGGCAATCCTGAGACCATCGTCGGTCTGGCACGGACCACGGAGACGGTTTTGAGGATTCCCGGGATTTCCCCTGTGCTCTTGCTTCTCCACCGAACCCAGTCCCCCCTTTCCCCGCAAGTTCTGGGTTTTTATTTTTTCTCAAGGTCCCAGTCATCAGAAGAAAAAGGCACGCGCCCTGGGCTAGGCCGATCCCCAATATATTTCAGTCAAGGACACCCCCCCCTTCAACCTTGCTCACCCGTGCTGCCGCTGGCACTGTCACGGTCACCAGTCATCGAGGCCGCCGCCCCCATTTTTCCCCCATCTAACGAGGGTGAAGGGCCCTGGAGTGGCGTGATCTCATAACTCTCACGCCCAAGACACCCCTGGCGGTCTCGAAGTCGGCACCCCTGCCCCCCACCACCCTTTTGTCCGTGCTGCCCCTGTTTTTAACGACACAGGGCGTCGATTAGGCCGCAAGAGGGCCGTCTCACATGCAAACATAGAGCGAGCTGCCCCCGTTTCGCTGTCCACGCCGCGCCCGGTGAAGAAGCGGGCTGCCATCATCTTTTTATTATTTTGTCTTCGCCGAGATTCCAGAGTGTCACCAAAATGGAAGGTGGACCCACTCCAAGAACTTTCTGACAAGCGCCGACGTTGGGTTGGTTTGCACCTTCGCCGGGACTGGATTTGCTTGAAAATGAATAAAAACAGGACCGACTGCCCGTCGTCTGCCTGGCGGTCCTCCCTCTTTTTTCTCTCCTTGTTTTCCCATCGTTGTTTTTTCCCTTCGTGCCGTTGTGCCTGGAATGTCTGTCGTCGTTTTTCCGGTACCACCTGACTGAACCGCAGTCTCGTTTCTCTTGCCTTAGAGCTTTCCTCTTCCCCATCTCCAAGACCAAAGGCTCACGCCCCTCCCCCCTGAAAGCCCACGCCCCCCAGCCTTCAGCCAAGTGCGACATCGGACCGGACCGGGTATCGCCTTCCCGCCCAAGACTCCAAACCCTGCCGGTATGCTTCCTCCAATGTTTCACTGCCTCGCGCATCGCCAATGGTGCGGCTCTTGGGGCGTTCTTGGGGCGTTCTTGGTGTTGCGCGGCTTGGACTAACAGCCTTCACGTCTTGGATAGACACGAGCCGCAACGCGTGCCAGTCGCAGATCGCGGGATCGCTCCGGTCTTGAACCCCAACTCGACCTCTCCTCCATCCCGCTCCCGGATCCCAAAACCAAAACCCATCCCGCCGCCAAGATGGTCTTCATCACGCGCCTCATCTCCATGACCAACTTCGCCGTCGCCAGCTCCGCGCTCGGCTTCCAGGTCTTTGTGCTGTACCCGTGGCACAAGGAGCTCGACGCCAGCTTCGAGGAGCTCCGGAAGGAGCACCTCAAGGTCCTGGCCGCCGTCAGCGGCGGTCGCGTCATCACGAGGAAGGAGGGCGAGGCCATGCAGCAGCGCGTCAGCCGCGAGCTGGCCCAGCACATGCAGGGCGAGCACAAGAGCTGGTGGTCCCAGTACTTTGCCCGCCACTGAAGGGCTTGACCCCGGGCTCGTCCGCGCACTACCTCTACACATGCAGAACTGCACCAACTGAAAGCCAGTTCCTCTCCTACGTCTTGCCTACGAGCACCATGGAATTACAAGAGTATAGACTAGACGACGCACGACACTCCAGGCACTGGTATTGAGAAGATAGTTTTTGCTTTGGACTATATATATTAACTTGATTTTAATGTTGCACAATGTTTTATTGCGACGGTCTGAAGTATTGCGTTATGTTTTGTCCAAGTCGCCTCTACCTTGAAACAGTAGTGATCCGCGTTATTGAGGAAAAGTGAGCCGAAGTCGAAGCGCACGCTCACTACAAAGAAATGCCAGTTTCTTTAACGAAAAGGAAGAGAAATACGCATCAAAACAGGAATAAAAGAGGAACAATAATAGGAACAAAAATGCGAGGAAAAATAAAAATATGGAAGCTTACGGCACAAAAAAATCGACTTGGATCTTCGGGACGGGCTGCAAGACTGCCGTCTTTTATGCGGTGGTTGTAAGGCGTTAGCGAAAGAAAGGCCTTAAATACAAGATTAATAAACCGTGCTTGGTGTGTCTTTATATACTCCCCGTTTGTCATCCTTTTGCGTCCGCCGCATCTTGTCCTCTTCAACTCTCGTGTTGTTTTGGCTCCTCCAGCTGTACAAAGGATTCCTCTCAGCGAGAATTCTTAAAATTTCATCCGCTTTACCTTTTAACATTAGTTCGACAATCCTGGCAACATGACGTGAAAATAAAGAGGTGGCCAAGGTCCGAACTTCAAACCCAGAACACCCAGTAGTTGCTTATATACAAATGTGCCAATCAGCAAAAACAAACAACCGCCCGCCCTCCCAGCACAGCAAAAGGCAGATTGAGATCGGTGAGGCTCGAAATCACGACTTCAGACTGCTCCTGGGGGTATGAAATCTGCGCGCTAACCAACTATACCACGACCCCGAAGGTATCTCCTACTGTGGCCGTTAGGGATGCGAGGGCTGCCATAGCCTTGCCTCCAAGCGACTGGTTCCTCCATATAATAAAGCCCGCAATAGAGGTGCACCGGCTCCTGGGATGGGCCGGGGCGGTGCCCATCTATGGGCTCTCCTCTTGCCGCGACTAAAACGATCGATGGAGTTCATCAGACGGCACCATAAGCCGGCCAGCACTCGCTCGAGAGCGGGTTCACCGCCAGCCTGATCCCACAGCCCTGTCTCGTCACCGTGGACTGCGCTGTCCACTACTTGGGTCTTTTTTCCTCGTGGCCCGTAGCCCCCGGCGCCGGTCGTGGCTGAGGCACAGACCCCCGGGCTCTTGTCTGGTTGAACACGGTAGCCTCTATATTTTCAAGGGGCCTGTCCGTCCGTCCGTCCTCGACGTGCAGCTTGTGGGTGACATGGCTACTATGGGCGTCACGCCTACCACCGCGAGCGTCGGAAAGGCCGCCTTGGGCCGCGGCCAGGCTCGACACTTATCACAAAGACTTGAAAGGCTAGCACTATACGGCCTCCTAAATGAAAGCCTCACTGCTATCCCTCTCTCGGACCTCTGTAACTCAAAAGACTTCCATTCAACCGGATACCATCTTTTCCGCCCACAGCTTCAAAGGCTTGGCTAACCCTCTCGTGCGGCCTCCAATCCCCGACCTGCCACGTTAAAAGCCCCTTTTCCCCATGAGCTCCTAGGACGTACTTGACCTGCCACCTGAAGTGGAGGACTTCTTCGTCATATGGCACCCCCTCGCCGCTTGCGCCCTGGTATTCATCAAGTCGTTTCTCGGACGGCCGCCAGCACAAACGCGCAAACAGCTCGGCCTCTTCCAGCGCCGGCATCCCCTGCAGTGCCGCCGCAAAGGCCAAGAGAAGCGGCTTGATCTTGTCCCGCTTGGGCACGGTACGGAACTGGTCCCAAGCGCGCTCGTCCTCCAGGCACCCCTCGACCTTGGGCCACGGGTCGCCAATCTCGTCGTCCTCGGCACTCGCGACCGCCGGGGGGTAGTGCTGCTCTCCGACGGCGAACCCGCCCTCGGCGCCGAGCGGGTCCTCCCCGCGCGGGCCGGCAAAGTACCACGTCCCGTCGGGGCTCCGGGGGTGGAACTCGACCTTGAGCCGGCGCATGCGGGGTCACGCCACGGGCTGGCGGAACAGGTCGGGGGTCAGGGTGGCGCGCGCGTCCAGTTCCTCGAGCCGCGCGGCCAGAGTGCGCAGGGCGGCGGAGACCGGATCCTCCTCGCCGTCGTCGCCCGTTAGATTGGGAAGCTGGCGGGTTTGGTCATCGCAAGAGTAGATGTCGGGCCGCCAGCACCACAAGCGCATGCCGACGACGCTTTCGGGCAACCGGGTGTGCAGGTCGTCAACGGCGGCGCGAAACTCGCGGCGGACGTCGCGCCAGGGCCCGGCCCAGGGGCGCGTGTAATGGCGTAGCTCGCGCTGCTCCCAGCGGACGGGCATGTGCTCGGTTAGCAGCCAAGGCAGCTCGATCCTGCGCAGGTTAGGGGGGCGGGTGGCAAGCCGCAAAAATACGCGGGGCGAAACAGGCCGGACGTTTGATGCGGGATGGTCGCTGCCGTTTCGTCTGTGAAAAAGGCGGAGGCCGGTTACACAAAGCAGCTCCAGCAGCGAGTCCACCAGACCGCCGGAGAGTGTCAAGAGACGGTGATGGTAATAGCGGCGCTCGCACGACTTGTAGCGGTCGAACGACTGCTTGCCGACGCGGATGGTGGCAGTGAGCCCCTCGGCGCGGATGTAGTCGTCTCCCTGGCCGGGCGCGCTCGTGCTGAGCTGCTCGAATTCGTGGACGGCGGTGAAAAAGACGTGGATCTGGGTCGAGAAGTGTGCGTTGATGGGTGCGAACTCGTCGAGGGTTTCACGGCAGGGTAGGGGTGCTTCCTTAGAATGAAACTGCAGCGGCATCTCAAGGTCAAAAGTGAAATCGATGCTTCCCCGGTACGGCAGTCCCTCCCTGACCATCCGGGCATTGTACGCTTGGAGATGCCATGTTCAATGCTTCTGGTGTTATTGGATTACAGGTAGGTTCATGGGAGGAATAAAATTCAATTTCGTGACTGTTAGTGCCAGCTTTCATACATTTACAATGCCCGCAAACATCCTCGTACGGTTCGAATGTGGTATTGTCTCGCCTCCATTGTATCGCGTATTTACCGGCCGATCCCAACTCCTCGGCCATAGCGGTTGGAAAACGCAGGCCGAGGTAGATGAGGCTTGATCGCCGCTCGGCTTCGGGCGGAGCAGTCGGCTTTGCCTCGGCGGCAAGCTTCCATTCGATCCAGCAACAACAGGGGGGGTCAAGGATAAAAAAGAACAAAAAACCCACGCTTCGTCCCGTGCTGGCCACCGAGCCTCGTCAGAGCCGCTCGGGTGAAGCACCAATCACCAATCACGACATGACGTCATCCACCCTCGGCCGGCTTCATCCTGCGCTTCACCACTCCAGCCCCCGCTCTGCTATCCGCTGGGAGGCCCCCTTTGGACGTCGACCGTTCCACGCCGCCGCCGCACGCACAATGTCCACCAGCCAGGGCTCCGCACCTCAGGGCGCAACGGCCCCGGCCGGGCAGGCCGACTGGTCGGCGTCGCAGTACCTCAAGTTCCACGCGCAGCGCACCCGCCCCGTGCACGACCTCGTGGCCCAGCTGCCGTCGCCGCCCATCCCCGCCTCGGGCGCGCGCGTCGTCGACCTGGGCTGCGGGCCCGGCAACTCGACGGCCGTGCTGCGCGCCCGCTTCCCCGACGCCCGCATCTCTGGTCTCGACTCGTCCCCGGACATGGTCGCCCGCGCCCGCGCCCAGCCGTCGATGCGCGACGGGCCCGCCGCCGTCGACTTCCACCAGGCCGACCTGCTGTCCTGGTCGCCAGACCAGCTCCCCGTCGGCGGCGGCGGCGGCGGCGGTGGCGACCGCCACCAGCCCGTGCATCTCTTCTTCAGCAACGCCGTCCTGCACTGGCTGCGCCGGCACGACCGCGTCCCCACCATTGTGCGCCTGGTGCGCACCCAGGCGCCCGGCGGCGTCTTCGCCTTCCAGTGCCCGGACAATTGGGCCGAGCCGTCGCACGCCGCCATGCGCGAGGTCGCCCTGCGGCCGGGCCGGCCCTGGTCGGCCGCATTTGCTGCCCACCCGCCCAGCCGGCCCGGGGAGGGCGAGTCCGGCGACCCGGAGCGTCCGGACATGGACGCGATCGAGTCGCCCGAGGACATGTACAATGCGCTGATCCCGCACTGCGCGAGCGTCGACGTCTGGAAGACCACCTACCAGCACGTCCTGCCGGGCCCGCGCGAGATCGTCGAGTGGGTCAAGGGCACGGGGCTGATGCCGTTCCTGAACCGGATCCCCGAGCAGGGAGGTGCGAGGGAGGCGTTTCTGAGCGCGTACAAGGAGAGGCTGGCTGAGCTTTATCCGCCGCTGGCTGACGGTCAAGTCACGCTACGGTACCCTAGGTTGTTTGTTATTGCGGTTAGAAAATAGTGCCTGGAGGGCCTGTTAGCACCCGAGGCACGGGCCCAGTTTTGCACACTTCTGGATATAAAGCTATATTTCTCCAGAAAAGACCGTGGCCGATCCCGAAAGAAAAGCGTCGCCTGACACCTAACCAGCCAAGAACCAGAGATACCCCGGGATCGTGGCACAGTCGGTTAGCGCGCAGATTTCATGCCCCTGGGAGTAGTCTGAGGTCGTGAGTTCGAGCCTCACCGATCCCAATCTCCTTTTTGCTACGTTGGGAGGGCGGGCGGTTGTTTGTTTTGCTAATTAGCACTCTTATTATATATAAGCAACTACTGGTATTCGAGCCGCACTAATGCCCATCATGCTTTGCTACGAACAATCTTTTGCTGTGTTGGGGAAGACAAGTTGTTACATTTAGAATTCACATTGTGCATAACATGCGTATATATACATATAGCCGGGATACGGGCGGTAGGAAGCTTCGGTCTTGGCTACCTGCATGTCGTAACATAACTGGGATCAAGATTAGGAAACAAGTAATTGGACTTGAAAACGAATGTTATTGTACCATCTAGACTAGTCTATCCCCATTCGCATTCATAACCCACAAAAGACCACGGTCGCTATCAGCTTAGGCCTTCAGGGCGGCGGTGATGGCCTTGAGGTGGCTGTAGTCGTAGGTGTCCTCGCCCAGACTCCAGGCGAAGCCGCCGGCAAGGCCCTTGCCCTTGATGATGGTCTGGACCTTCTGCTTGATGAGGGCCGGGGTGTCCCAGGACCAGAAGATGTCGGCCTGCGAGTCCCAGTACCACTCGCCGCCGCTGACGGCGTCCGTCTTGGCGTTCTTGAGGGCCTTGGTGAACGAGTCCTTGGTCGAGATGCCCTCGCAGCGGCCAAAGGGGTTCTGGCAGCCGGTGCCGCAGTGGGCGGCCGTGGTGCCGCAGAAGCCGTACTGGGAGCAGCACGCGCCCTCCTTGCACTTGAAAGAGGTGCCGGCGCCGCACGAGTCGTCGGTCGTGACGGTCAGGTTGGTCGGCGCGGGCGCAAAGTTGGCGGTCTCGAAGGTGAAGGCGCCCGACTTACCCGTATCGGCGCCGGCGGCGTCCTCCAGGACGGCGGCCGGGCAGCCGACGGGCGAGGTGCACTCGGCGCCCTTGGCCGTGTTGAACCACTTGGCGTAAAAGGCGAAGCCGAGGCTGAGCTTGCTGGCCGGCGCGCCGCGGGCGAGGTACGTGTCGATGGCGGCCATGGAGCCCATGAGGTCGGTGTGGTGCGCCGTGACGTTGTCGCGGCGGTTCATGAGGTCGTACGTCATGACGTGGATGTGGTCGACGACGCCGGCGATCTTGGGCACCTGCGTCGCCGTGTAGGCGATCATGTCGCGCTCCAGGCTGGGCACGGCGATGGAGAGCTCCTTCTTGCCGATGACCTTTTTGATCTCGGAGAGCAGGAGCGGGTACGTCTCGACCTCGGACACCTTGCCCGAGTTGGGGTTCTGCCGGTAGTCGGCGCCGTTGCCGCCGGGGTACTCCCAGTCGACGTCTAGAGGGGGGCGGTTTAGCAAGCGAGCAAAGAAGCAAAAGTGAGAAAATAAAAACTAGCAAGAGCATCCCACATACCGACGCAGTCGTAGCCAAGCCTGTCAACGGTTTTGCCCACGTTCTTGGCAAACTCCTTGCGAGTCGCCTCGGTGCGGGCACCGCGAGCGAAGCCGGCCGTGTCTCCCCAGCCTCCGATGGCCATGCAGACCTTGACGTTGTCGTCGAAGTGGGAGCGGATCTGGGAGAGCGGCTGGAAGGGCGTGTAGGTGCCCGTGGTGTTGCCGATAAACAGGTCCGAGGCGGCAAACGCCGTGATGACGTGGGTGATGCCGGCCGTCACGTTCTTGCTGGGCGGCGCGGTCGTGTGGTACTGGTCGTAGTACATGGCCCAGCGCGCCGAGCTGGCGGCGAGGCCGCCGCCGATGATGCAGTTCGGCTTCATTGCTGATTAAAAGAAGCGCAAAGGAGATGGGTAGTAAGTATTAGGAAATATGGACTGTCGGTGGCCACGTGCTCTGCAAAGAAGGACTGAGGTGAGGTGGTGAGGGTTGGGTGAGGAGAGGAAGGTCGAGAGTGCCAGCTGGGGACGGTTATTCAGTCCTATTTATCACGCGGCGGTACCGTAGGCCCGGGCCCTCGATGAATGTTTACTCGACGGTGATGGCAGGCTTGCAGTGACAGGCTGGGCCCGTCGGAAGCCCGTGCCACACACAGCCATCGGACCGCTCGGGACTCGGGCGTGTCGCCGGGATTCCCCTTTTGGGTGTAATTGCGATTGCCTGCTCTCCACCAAGGCATTCTTGCGTTTTTACCCTTCGCCTAGACTTGAGGTTTCGCCAGGCGAAAGTGCAACCGGATGTTGCAAACCATGGATCCCTGGCCTTCTCCGCAGGAACCGCTGCTGCGATGCCGTCGTGACTGGTGGCTACTCCATGGAAGACGACGACGGGCCAGGCCGGGGGACATGAGTCGGGCGGCCCATTTCCCGTGGCGCGTCACCAACGCAGCGCAAATTAAGGGATCAGCAACAAACATAGGCGCAGTAAATCTTTTTGCTCCCTAGTGGCACGAGATTGACATCTCCCACGCGCTACACACAAACCAGCACTCATGAGTGCTGTCATCTTTGCCGTCTGACCCAGGGGCAAACGGCTGGCCTTCTGGAAGGCTATAAAATGGTTGCCGAGCCCACCAACGGGGTTGAACCGACTGCGAACCCGATGGGCTGATCGTTTCCCGTTAGAGCTAACTTTCTACTGAGTGGGGCAGCTGCATCCATTAAGCTTTTCGTTCTGTCAATCCCCCCGCCCTTGACTGCTGTCAACTGGAAATTTCCGCAGCTCCAATGTTAATGCAGCCCTGCCGCATATTTCCATGCATGTCTGCTGCACCCCTACTTCACTTTCCGTAGTGCCGACGGGGGCGGGATCAGCCACATTAGCCTCATGCCAACATCTGTTCAAGTGCTGCCATCAGCGGCAGCAGAAGTTGTGCTTGGCAAACCCTACAACACCTATAGAATGCAAGCACCCTTGTAAAGATTAGTAGAATATTTCTCAAAGACGTTTGTCTTTGAGTGTGTTCATTGTCCTGACTCATTGCTCATTGGCTGTCGTGAAAGAACAGATCGGCACTGCCAAGAAAGTGAACGGAATTGTGGGGAAGATCTTCGTTCCATCTTCAGACCATGCCTCGGACAACCTCTGAAGGAAAGATTCGCGTCCCGGGAAATTTGGGCACCTCAAAGGAACTTGGCAGCGACAAATTATATCCTATTCTTACCTCTTCACAAAAACCTCGACAATCTCACCTCGTCCCAAAACACAATGGAGAATCACGATAAGCTCGAGCGCTTCGTGCAACTCGTCCTGCTGGACAATGAGAAGGCCATGGCAGCGGTCAGGTGCATTCCGGTCGGATTCTACCAAATGTTGGAGGCAGTCGTCGACAAATATGACGGAGACGACCAGAACCATTCCCTCTTAGTCAAGGCGTTATACTTCGCCGTCGTCCTGCTCTACTGGAGAGGCGACATGGCTCGAGCCAGCGTCGTCGGCAAACGGCTGGCCCAATACCCGCAGACCGTGCAAGGAAACGACAAGGCCATGTACCGCATCATCATGGAAGATGTCGAGAAGACATGCTCAAGGATCGATGCTCGAGGCAGGCGCCCGACGTCGTGGGGGACGTGGGAAGACGACGTCCCGCGAGGCATGGACGCAGAAACCTTCAAGAAGTGGCTGTGGAGGGTGGAAGGTCAGAGCATCGAGAGAGGCCCCCGGGGGCTGAGGCGACGAAATGTGTTTCCTCCTTACGCCCTTCTCCCGCGACCCCTGCCAGAAAGATATAAAGACCTGGGAAGCTTCCGACAGAATCAGTGTTTTCTTGGAGAAATCGTCAGTACCTATGTGCTTGACTGCAGGGTCATGGAGCTTGTCGACACCCTTGATAGAGCCGTCTTGCTCTATTTCGATACTGACTCGCGCAAGTTCGAGGGGCGCCGTGGCCTCCTCAAACCGGGGCACACCGTGGCGGTGTTGAACGCCGAGAAGCGAGAACTCGGCGAAGGGACGGATACCATTCGTCATCAGCACCCGGAACGGCTGAAGGTCAGTCCAGATGCAAAGACTCGGTACCTCCAGTATTACAGGCTATGCTCTTGCAGCACTTCTCAGAGAGTAGGAGGCTCAGGTCTCTTTCCCACTTCACAGTGACTGACAGCTTTCTTCCGATCTAGATCTTCCCATGGCGCCTTGAGCACCTCATGGATGTCAGTGACATCATACAAGAGCACACGGTCCTGCCTGGGCGCCGAGGCAAGAGAAAGTGCCAGGGATGCGGCGCAGAGGGCGACGAGGAATCGATGACCAGTTGCGGCGAGTGTCGGTGCGTTTGGTACTGCAATCGGGTAAGTTTTGCGCCATCAAATGTTCGATATGGGCACTCACCATTCCGCCCCCCAGCCTTGAACAGTCGAGCTGACAGGAGAACGTGCGACCTCTTGACGGCCAGCCCTGCCAGGACCATGGCTAGAGGCGAATGGGCCATAGGGCCGATTGCAAGGTGCTACAAGACGCGGACCTCCGCGCGCTGCTGACGCTTGGCCCATGCGGCCTTCAGCACGCGGGCGATATATCATTCCCGCTGGCCGAGGCCTTGGGCTCGGCGTGAGACGGGTGGGCATGTGGAGGGAAAGTCTGCCAAGAATGCGGGCTCGCTGGGCGGTCGACACGAACGGGGCTAGTTTTTGGAACTTTTTTGGAGCATGAAACAAGTATTCGGGGCTGGCCAAGAGAATGCCAGCACTATCTGGACAGGTTGTGTGGCTTGGGAAAGCCCCTGCTTCCCAACAACATCCGGCGAGGAAAGCCGCGCCTATATCGGGCAAGGAGGTGTAAGGTATATATACTTGTTAACAATATTTTTCGGGCTCGCTCGGCCGCTTTGACTTGCCTGGGACATGACAACAAGTCGCCTTGCCAACACCAGCTTCCTGTCCACCCGCTCGGCCGTGGGCAGCGTCGATCCTTTCCTCTCATTCTCACTGGGCGGCTACGGCTGGGACGTGCACGGCATGCCGGCCGACATGGACGCCGCCAGCGCGAGCAGTCAGTGGACCGTCCACGGCGCCGCCGCCAACCGCCGCAACAGCAATCGTGGGCTCGCACCCCCTCCTCGCCCTGGGGACGCGCCCCAACAAGCCCAACATTATCAACAGACGGGCACAGCTGCAGAACGGCCCCCCTACCGAGGAACAACAGCTAACCCACCGCCAAGGCAGTCGGCAACACCACGGCTCGTCAGCGGGCCTCGACAATAACAGCCGCCGCCGCCAGCCCCCGCGGCGCAGCTCCAGCCCACCCGGCTTGGACAATCCATGTCAACTTCGGTGTTGTCTCGCATATGCGCTCGCCATGTGAATAAGTTGCTCGTGCTCTCAGGACGGGCCATCCTGATATGATGACTGTCCTGACGGTCCTTAACAACAATATCTCCTGATGTCTAGCTTCAACTGGCCGACTAGCCGTGGGCGGGGGCTGCGCACCGCGCCCCGTCCCCCATGTCACCTAGATGGGCGACTGTAAAGAGCATGCCGTAACGGCCTGGGGCCTCGGGTTCTACGACAATGAAGGCAAGGCCGGACTGACTGGGCGCCCATGCGGGCGTTGAGCGGTGCCGTATAGTCTGGGCCAGGCCGGGCATGGGGGGGGGGGGGGGGGGGGGGAATTTCACAGAATCTGTATTCACAACATGTTTTTTACGGTATAGTGTGTTGGGGAGCTTACAATCGTGACCAAAGTTGCCGGTCCCAGGACTGGATCCGGTATGTCCAGGAGCGGGCGCCAATGGCCATGTACCTCAAGTCGAAGCTACCCATGTACCTTTCTGTGCAGGGAGGAGAGCTCCTCGCAGCACTGCGGATGTACGGGACTTGTTAAGCGAGCTGTGGCCATACAATTGCCACATACGACCATACCCACTGGAATATACGAGATCCCGTCCGCTTTCCCCTAGTTAAACCAGTGAGGGCCGGTTTGACTAGTGAAGAGCGATTGGATCCCGAACAGCTGGCCAATGATAATTTCGGTTAAATGTTAACTGTCAATGTAACACCCCGTGGCGTTGGGCATCTCAGCCTATGACCGGCATGACGGCTCGATGCACAAGCCGCCTTCCAGTCATGACGAAGCCCCAGGGGAAGGTTTACAGCGTGGCGCTCGACGCGCGAACCGCCCCCCAGCCATGACAAAGGTCTAAAAAGAAGGATTACGGCACGACGGCCGGAGGCCGTCACCACACCATGTATAACTAGGGCCCGCAAGACTCCCTGTGAAGGGGTCTGGAGGGCAAGCAACCGTTTTCTTGTGTTCCTTGTTTTTGTTGAAGTACGGGCAGGCACCTTCTGCTGAATACACCACTGCCCGCACGTTTCCCCAAGACAGCTGAGTGACCTGAACCTCTGAGATCTCCCAGCGAGAACCCCTTCCTGTGCACAGCACGTTACAACTCGGTTGCTTCCACTACTCAAACCTTTAGTGCACCTAGCAATCCCACCGTGTCGGACGCAGGAGAACCCATTGAAGTGGACGACCAAGTCCACGATGAGGAGGGCCTAGGCAACGCTCCCATCCTTCCCCCAGGACGGATTCAGCCAACCGCCGACAACCCGCGGGGCTACCCGCCCTTCAGCCTCCAAAGTGTCGCATCGTACACTCGATCCCAGCTTGCGTACTACGTATCGCGGGACCATGTTACCACGAAGATCCTGCCCCAGTTCCAGAAGGCCGTGGCCGAACGCAAGGCAGTTCGCGAGGCACTTGGCCTCCCAGACGACTCGGACGACCCAGACCGTCCAGAGCCTGCTTTAGGACATACGGTTAGCCGACATACACCGCTTCAATCGCCCTGCCGGGCTGGGCACGGGCTGAGATGCCCAACAACTTTGGGGTATTACAGAAGTTCGTAATAGTCCTTTTGGTGTTTTGTCGTGCTACAGATTAACCAGATCTGATAGGTTTACACTCGCATCTTTTGCCCCGCCGGACTCCTATTGGCTGCCGGTAGGAGAAAAAGATATTTTCGAGGGAGGGTTTAAGCTGCTGCGCTGGCGGCTCAATCTTTGCCGTGCCAGGCCACACATTACTCCACCCGGGACCCCGCACCAACGGCTTGCCCACCGCGCCCCATCCCCTTCATTACCCCCCTCCAACAACCATCGGTCCCATTTCCTAAACAGCAGCTCGCACAGGCCCGCCCTAGCATTCGGGGCTCCTCAGGTTACGGCATCCATCGCCGGGCCCCGAGTGGGGCCGTGGGCTCGTCGACGCCTCAGGTCAGTCTTGCACAGCTGGACACGACGCCCTCGTGCTCCGGCAGAAGTCATTCCTCACTCTGCCAGCCGGGCAGCATGCGAGGAGACAAAGGTGCCGTGCTGACAGACGCTCAATATGGACAGTGTGCTTTCTTGCCTGTCTCTTGGCGATGAACCGACCCCATTCCTCACTTTGAGTCGAGCGCGAGCGCGCATCAATTAGCACCCTCCAACGACCACTATCGACTGACGAGCTCTCCCCACAACACCTGTCGGTCCCCAGTTGGCCGGGCTCTGACCATGGGAAATCAGCAACCGTATCCCGATCTCGAAGACCTTTGGTACGATGCCGACTCAACAGCCTTGCGTTGTTGCGAGTGTGGGGAAGCATTTGGAACAAACACAGACGCCCTCGTTCGCACGTTTCGCGTGTTCGATGAAATGAACCAGTGCTTGGGCGCCAGCAGGGTGATTTCAACGCCCCCGGGCGTCCTGGTGCTATACGACCGGCACCTGGAATGTCTTTTGAAGGCAAAAGTGCCTTACATCACAATCTCGCACGTTTGGGACACCGAAGTGTCCGCCACACAGTACAAGGGCCGTCACTCTCCCCAGGACGAAGTTGTCCGGCACAAGGCGCTCAATTTCCCCACCCACATCGCTCGGAGTATTTCGCAAAGCGTTCAAGAAAATCGCGAACTGTGGCACGATTACGTTAGTGTGCCTCAGGTAAGTTATCCAAGCATTTGCGGTGGACCAGCTTTTATATATTGGATTATTACTTATCAGGAAACTCTAACTTTTTCAGTGGACACCGGAGCTTAAAACAAACATTCTCGAATCGATCCATAAGATATACAACTTTGCCATTTTAACAGTGGTACATTTGAATGATGTTGCGCCCGTTACAATAAACGCTTTTACGCGTGGGGAAAGCGATGAAAAACGACGTCAAGGCATGCTTGGCATTTGCCGCGCGAAATGGTTTAGTCGCGTATGGACTGCTATGGAATATATCCGTAGCCCAAAAGTGTGGCTAATGGATTCCGAATTGCAGTTACATACCGACGAAAACGCGAACAGTCTTTTCCGAAATACAATGAATAGTTTTTGGGCTGGTCAAGTTATCAAAGCGGGCTCTACGCACAAATTCGAGGCCGATATCGACATTAGCCACAATATTGTTCCGTGGAACCTAGGGCCTTTAGATTGGTGCCGCAACCACCAAAAGCGCAATTTCGGGCTTGCTTTTTCGCTACTGGCACGGCGCGGCTGCCAAAGCCGGGACGATTTCCTATACGCGCTGCACGGCATTGTCACAGGATCGACGGCCGAAGTTAAAGGAATGCTGCAGTGCGTTAGTTGGGAGGAGCGGTACATACGCATTGCGTTATATTGCATCGAAGCCGGCGATTATACACCGTTATTGATAACCCCTGAATGGGCGCCTCAAGACGGTGAGCCTAACGTGCGGTGGATGCCGGCCAACAACGTTCGCGAAGGCTACCATGACAATTACGCGTACTCCATCGGTTCGATAACGGCGCCGCCTCGTTACCACGCAGAAACGACAACCAGACAAGACGACAACGGATTAGGCCGCGTAACGTTACGGTTACAACAGGCGGGCACGGTTTCGAAACGGGTGAAATGGCACGAATATCCACGCGAGGACCTTATGCGAGATTCTGCGCGAAACTTGGCGTCGCCGAGCGTGGAAGGGTTTTTGGATGCTTATGGGTCGCGCCAGTTTTTCATACCGCGGGAAACACTTTTACAGCGACTTTTTCAGCACCAGGACGGGTATCAAAAGCTGGAGCGGACCGTGGAAGCTCTGTCGAGGACGGAAGCCGGGCAGCCCTGGCCTGGCGGCGAGGTGTACTCGTTCAGGGACGTGTTTGGAACGCTCGACATCGAAAAACGCCTCGACTACCACATCACGCTGGGCAACATCCTGCACCTTACATGGCGGCGCTACTGCATTCTGGCAACGTGCCACAACTGCGGGACTAAAGCCGTGGTTAACGCGGCCCTGTACGGCAGGGTGGAGGACGCGCTCGGCGCAACGATGCACCGCATCCCGGGTTTGGGCTTCAGTCAGACTATGGACGACGGCGTTTGCTTGCTGCTAAGCGCTGACGGCAGCGGCCGCATTATCGGCCGCGCCATTTGGGCCACGCCCGCGTGCGCCTGCGCCGGGCTCGACGAGATGGTCACGGTGCAGCTGCCGAGGCTGCCGCTGCCCCAGCCGCGTGAGGGGTTTCTTCGTGCGTTGGGACGCGTTTGAGCGGAGCCGGTTGTCCGCCACTGCTAATATCCTATACGTTGGTTCATCGGCCCTGTGCACGAGCACCCGGCTTGTGAAGTGGACCCGGCGGCGGAGCTCCGGATCGGTGATCCCGAGAGCTCCTGAACCGGGCAACCAATGATTACGGGATCGGGCGTGTAACGTGCATCGCCCTCACGCCTTTATCTAATGCCGGCCTTTGGCCGGCCCTCCTTGCCAGATAGCTCCTTTCCCGTTCATGGACAATATACCGGAACCACCCAGTGATCTAGAGATCTTTGTTCATCACACAGTACGAGCGCAATTGCAGTCCTACCAATTGCGTAGAGATAAGTATAGGACGGTGAAGTTCTACCAACACTATGTTTATATAAACCCCTCTCCGGACGTCTTTATATCAGCGCCCCGCACGCGATCTCGGGGCTCGTCAGCCCCGAGCAGTAGCTCAAACCGAGGCATCCAGTCACTAGAAGGAGGCGTCGCTGCGGTGGCGCAAGAAATCCGGCAGGAAGCCGACGACGAAGCCAGCCTCTACAAACCGCTTTCCAACCCGCTGTTACAAGCGGGCCTCTGCTCCTAAGGTAAGGCACCCAAGGAGTACTTAGCAGCAACCCGTGACTTAGATGCTGAGGGGGTTCACAAGAGAACTTAGGTGCAGGTCCGGATGCTCACTCCAAGGGATACTTGGAAGCTAACTTAGATTGACTGATGCCGAAGCCTTTGTCAAGAACTATCTACAAGTGTAGGAAATCCTTCCTTCTTATGCCTAGTGTCTTCTGTGCCGACCGGTGCTAGGTCTGCTAAGTCGCTGATCACTCCTGATCGCTCGATCAGTGGTGATAAGTGTCTTGGCATTCCTTAGCAATCCTGAGTCACGTGTTCCAACAGGAGTGGGGTGCTCGGCCGCCAGCCTGCCGCCGCTCTCTGTCGTTTCCGTCCCTCCAGGCCTTCTGCCCGGCCTTGGTCGTAACAGGCTACCTCGTCCACTATTTCGTTAGCCACCGCCGGCTGCAGGGACTTTCAGCTAATGCCATACTGCCATCGAACGTTTTTACAATGGGCTACTACGGGAAAACTGGCCTGTGTTCCACGGGCTCGTCGACTACCACCCTGCACGTAATGTTTTGCACAGTTCGTCAACCCAATGTGTGGCTCTAGTTAAAGACCCCTCGATAGGGAACAGGTGGCATCAAGAGCAGAATCGGAAAATTCAGCGTTTATTCGTTCGCTAACATCTACAAGGTGTCTTGGACGTTGCACGTCTATCTGTTCGTGAATGTCTTGGCAGTTGAGAGGATGGCATGAAGGCAAAGTCGAGATGCGCAGAAAGAAAATAGAAAAACAGCGACAAAAGCAGACAAGAAATGGAGGGTGTTGAAACGCCTCGGAGTCTGAGTCCACGGCCGTAAACGAACCGGGCGTAGTGTTGAATGAGGACGAATGGAGAGTGTCTGTTGTGATTGCGCTGTCTAGGAAGAAAACGGGCGAGAATGGAAAAACGTGGCCTTGGGGGATAACGTAGGGTTTAGAGACCAGACTCTCGCCCGGGGTCCTCGAAAGGAACAACGACCTTGCCCCGGAGCGAACGTCTCATCTCGGCCGCGCGCAGCAGGTACGCCCGCATCGACTCCTTGCGCAGGCGGCCGTACTCGCGGTTCGTGCCCGTGAGCACGTACCGCACCTGCATCGCCCGACCGACGCCCGGGGCGGTGCACTCCTCTACGCCCTCGGCCGGCCGCGGCTCGGCGTCGTGCGGGCGGTCCGAAATCTTTCCCTGGTCCGTGTACCGCCCGACGAGCAGCCAGCGCACAATGTCCGGGAAGCCCCTGGCGTGCTCGAGCGCGTTCTGGATCACCGGCATCCCGTCGTCGTCGCCGCCGCCAGGCTTGACGTAGGCGACGCGCGCGCCGCTCCGCACCAGCAGCTTGACGGCGTCGAGGCGGCCGTGGGAGCACGCGGCCATGAGCGCCGTGCCCTCGGCGGCGCCCTCGAGCTCCGGGTCGGCGGCGCCGCGGTACAGCAGCCACTCCAGCTCCCAGAGCAGGCCCCGGGACGCGGCCAGGCACAGCGGGCTGAGGTAGCGGCGCGGGCAGGCGTCGACGTAGCGGCGCCACTCGTCGTGCGGCCAGCGGCGGCGGAGGCGGGGCAGGAGGAGGCGGCCGTCGCCGTCGTCGATGACGAGGGCGAAGAAGCACTTGACCAGGTCCGGGCCGGACGCGACGCGGCCAAAGTCCCAGCTCCCGGAAAAGACATAGGCCGTCATGCTCGAGTTGAGTATGGCGTCGTGCAGGGGGCTGTAGGTGGTCTTGTCGCGCGCATAGGGGTCCAGCCCGACGCTGGGGCCCGAGAGGTAGTGAAAGAGCGCGGGCGAGGAGCTCTTCTCGGCGCAGCAGCTGAGTAGCGACATGCCGTCGAGGTCGCGCACCGTCGTGTCGGCGCCGCCCTTGGTGATGAGCAGCTGGCACAGGTCGACGCTACCGGCGCGCGCGGCGCGCATGAGGGGCGTGTTGCCGTCACGGTCGCGCATGTTGGTCGAGGCGCCCATCTTCACGAGGAAGTCGACGCCGGCGTCGAAGCCGTTGTTAACGGCCCGGTGGAGCGGCGATGAGAGCTCCCAGTCGACGCCGTTCACGTCAGCGCCGCCTTTTTTGACGAGCGTGCGCGCTATCTCGATGGAGTCGCTCATGATTGCCATGTGCAGCGCCGTCGTGGGCTCCATGTGGTACTCGTCGTCGGCGAATAGCAGCCTCACCTGGCGGTTTACAACCTCCCGCACCACATAGTCAACCCCTGAGGCTTGCCTCACGACACCAGAGGCGATGGTAGCTGCTTTGCTTGCGCCTGAATGGGAGGCGGGGAGCCATTTACTAATGAGCAAGCCAGGTGAGGGGTCAGTATACTAGAAACCATGCCTCTGACCTTCACACATCCGCGGATAAGCTACTTACCGGTACGCAGCAGCGTTCGATGTAAGGTGGCCCAAAACGGTGTTCACGCCGCCGAGGTTGCTCTGCTGCACGGCGATGTGCAGCGGCGTAAAGTGAGAGTTGAGCCAGTTGGTCCCGCACCTGAGGGCCACGTCCAGGATGAGGGCGAGGGAGCCGGGCGCCTGCGGCCGGAGGACCGCGGCCTCGAACAGGGCGCTGACCTTGAGGAAGCTGTGCTTCTGGCAGCGCGTGGTGAATCGCCGGGCCCCGCTGCCCAGCAGGGCCCCGACGATGGGGTACTTTGCCGTCCATACGGCCAGCCCCAGGGCGCTGCACTCGCCGCACGAGGGCATCGTCGCGTCCGCGGAGAAGCCGTCGCGGAGCACGAACGACACCGCGTTGTGGTCCCCCATCATGATCGAGTTCTCGAGCGCCTCGGCTAGGTATCTTGTCGCCTTGGCCGTCCGCACTACTGGTACGACAGCGCTGGCCGAGGAGCTGCTTTGACCAGCGTCCTCTTTGAGAAGGTTGTAGCATAGGTGCACGTTCCATTGGATCGCCAAGAGCAGCGGCGTCCTCCCCTCGCGGTCGCGAAGGGTCTTGTTGGCGCCGAGGTTGAGCAGGGTCCTGACCGAGTCCGGATGTCTGGCCTGGACGCCGACGTGCAAGGGGGTGAGGCCGGTGACGTCGGGCGCGTTGATGTCAGCCCCTTGCGTGACGAGGTAGCGGATCGCATCGCTGGCGCCGCCTATAGCTGCAAAGTGCAGCGCCGTCATCTTGTGGTCGTAGCACGGGTCCCCTACGGGGATCAGGTGTTCCTCCAGGTAGAAGCGTAGGGACCCAACCTGGCAGTTGAGCGCCGCGATGTGTAGGGCGTGACAGCCCTGATAGATGCGCTTTTTCCAGGCCTCCTTGGCCAGGGATACGGTGATGGAAAACCTCCTCTTCCAGTCCTGGGCTGGGAACCCGGTGCACATCAGCTTGCGGAGGATCGCCACGCACCCTCTCGAAGCGGCAGCGAGGGAGATATCGAGACCGTCAGGCAGCCTTATCGTTGTGTCGGCACCCAGGTCCAGCAGCGCCTTGGCGCTCTCCTGGTTGCTCTTCATGGCGGCGAGGATCACGGGGCTCATCCGGTCGTCGGTCAGCCGGTTGACGTCTGCGCCCGCGTGTACGAGGGCGGCAATCTTGGCCGAGCGGCCCGCGACCCCGCTGCCTCTCCTGTCGCCCGCCTCGCTCTCGCAGACCAGGTTGTGGATAGGCGCTCTGCCGTGTCCATTCCACATGTCGAGCTTGGTCTTCTCGGCGTGCTGAAGCACTGCTTGGAACATGGCCACGTCGTATTTGTGGAACTCCTCGAGCACTGAGTATCCCCTAGCCTGCGCATGTACGCTCGCTCCTCGCTCCAAAAGGAGCTCGACGAGCCTCGACTTGCCGCCCGTGATGGCCCACTTGAGCGTCAAGACGACGCTTTCGTTGGCCCCGGCCGCGCCGAGACTGGCTGCGTTTAGCAGCACGGCCAAACAGGGAACGGAAAACCACGAAGGGATGTACTTGGACGTCGTCCACACGGCTGTGACGAGTGGGAGAAAGGCTGTAACCTGTGTCTGCTCTTCGTGGTACTTGATCGCGTCACTCATGCCTGCTGCCTCGCTGATCCGACAGACTGCATCAACAGCCACGTTTTGCGAGTCGCGGAATTTGTGGCAATCTTGACCCCGTTGCATGTATTAGAATGGAATTCGACCGGCTGCACGCGAAAGCCTGCTCGTTGCGGCATTGTATGTTTACGGGGGTATAGGAGGCTCGCGCCCCCCATGGCTGGGAGGAGAGCAAGGGACATGGGGCAACTCACAAGCCGCAATAACATTGTAACAGAATCTCTCCCAAAAGGTCTTCCCTTCCTTGTCCTTGGACCGAACGACGGACGGGATAAGAAGGGTCCGGAACACGGCAGGATCAATCAGCTGCTCAGCCCCCGGCGGCCGTGGGTTGGAAGGATTGCTACTCGGAGGAGGAGCCACGTCGGCGAGCCGGCTCATGAATTGCTCCACGGCAGGGTTGCCAGCCAACGACGCCACGGCCACGGACTCGGTCCCGTACACGCGACCCAGCTTCCTGGTGAAGGACTGGGACGCCCCCACGTTGAGAAAGTGGAAGGCTGTCATGTTCTTGGCCGTCAGCGCGCCGCGCTCGATCGCGCCGGCCTCGTCCAGGGCCTCGAGGAGGCTTTCGCGTCCCCACTCTGCGGCGAGGTGGACGAGCGGGATGTTGCTCCGGAAGGTCAAAGGATCGCCCTTGCAGAGCGGCAGCAGCACCTCGGCGGCGTCGGGCTCTACGAGCTCGGGGGACTTGATGTTGACCCATCGGGGCCGCTCGTGGAAAAATGCGATCGCCTCTGCCAGGGGCGTGCGTCCCTGTTTTGTCACGCAACGTAAGGCTTCTGCCAGCATCTCCGTCTTCGGGAGGCTATCCGTTGCGGGCCGGGCTGATTAGTAGCTGGCTGGGAAAAGCATCATTATCGTCCATCCACTCCCAAACAAAAACTTACTGCCACTTGACAAGCACCCGAAGCGTCTTTGCATCGTTGTTTGCCGCGGCGACATGCCAGACTGTCCGGCCGTCATTGTCCTGGGCTCGCGATTCCGCTCCGCGACCGAGCAGCAGGTTCAGCATGCTTTCACTTTCAGCCACGTGGAGAGGAGTTCTCCCGCGGGCGTCTTTCGCGGCAACATCGGCTCCAGTCTGGATCAGGACCTTGGCCAGCATGTATGCAACCTCTCCCTGGTTTTCCACCGTAACATGGAGAGCAGTCTGCCCGGCGTTTTCGTCCCACGTCTCCGAGCCTCGGTTCTCCAGCGGCTGGTTCACATCCCAGCGCGGATCCTGCATGAGGCGGAGCGTCTGATACGGCTTGAACTCCCGCAGATTACGCTCTCGCAGCTTCGAGTACCTCCGATCGCTGCACCTGATAGGCCGACGAGCAATCTCGGGATCCCCGCGCTCCTGGGGGAACTTTGAACATGCCAGCTCGTACCTGAAGGCGCAGTTCCACGCGGTAGTTAGCAGTAGGTCTAGGTCTTCTTCCTCGGCGTCGCCCCGGGGTCCCGGCGGTTCCAGCACAAGGTCTATATGCCTGTCCATCATGTACTCGCAGATCTTGTCGAGGAACCCCCGCGCATCTGACGACAAGGCCCGCCGCTGATGCCGAGCCAGTGTGTTATACAAGACCACTGGCGTGGCGTGGCTACCTAGATCTGGGAAGAAGATGTCATCCAGAACCTGGATGAAACCGGAGTCCAGCGATATTGGGGGCCAGAGCTCTGCTTTCATCAGATGGATGAACAGGTCCGCATCATTCAAGAAGGCGCATCGCATAAGTGCACTCGCCGCCAGGGACGAGAGGCCTCCCCCCGCGCGGGAGGGGAACTTGGTTGAGCAGCTGTCGCTTTGTTCCAGCAGGTAGAGGATGGTCCCTCGTACGTCTATGCTGGAGACGGAGGTCTTTTCTTGCCTCAATGGGACAAAAAAGTCCTGCCATGTCTCAGAATCGCCGATTGCAAAAGCCATTGGTCCCATGATAGCGAGGGCCAAGGGAGGGCCATACGCAGTGTCTGTGCCGAAAAGGGCCAACTTCTCAGGCTCACTCCATGTTTCTGTCATGCCGCGGCAAACATCCGGGAGACCGAGGGATACAGCGATATGAAATGCGGTTAGACGCCCGGCTGCCAGTTCGTCCACAAGCTGTATTAGAGCCTTGGGCGTGTGGGACAAGCTCGTAAGTTCGTACATCCACGGGAAGTGGTAGTTGAAATATTCGAGGAAGAATGGGATGGAGCTGTCTCTTTCCGTAGCATCGAACAAGACCAGGAGGCAGGATTTCAGACTTGTCAAGTCGGCTCTCTTCAGCATTTCGGGCAGCCATCCCGCAGCCAGACTGTAGAAGGGACTGTGTACTTGTCGTTCGTGTGCTCTTTGTTGCAGCAGCTTGATCCCCCCCACGGTCTCTTTGAATTCAGCAAGACCCACATAACGGAGAGCAGCAAGTGCTAGAGAGGTGCTGGCCTTCTCCAAGTTCATATTCGGCACGCTCCCGTGCCCAGCCGTCCTGAGATACTCGATGAAGGACCAGTGCCGGTAGGAGTATTGTGTGACTGGTGGAGACGTTTTGGATGTTCCAAGGCCGGCTAGTCCCAAAGGTACAGTTGTGGTCCTTTCAACCATCAATGCCTCGAAGTAGAAGGTAAAGCGAAGTTCGAGATGGCTTGCTGGCTCCAGTTCCTGCAAAGACTCGGCATCGGGTGTCAGAGCAAGTGATAATGCCTCGAAAAAGCACCTTTTTGAAAATGAAAATCCCTTGAAGTGGCCTGGCCCGGTGTGTGCAGACAATAGAAACCATGAAAGTGCATTCTCGATGACGGAACGAAGGTTGACGATCTTAGATTCCGTGGACTTGGTATGTTTCCCTGTCACTTTGCTCTCAAGCTCGACGATGCCGCTGATCATTTCCGTATATGTCAAGTCCCAGGAGTCCCCCTGCGGAAGCGGCAAGTTGCGGGGCGGTTGGTTTCCCGCTGGGTCTTGAATTTGAAGATACCATAGCTGATACTGGGCGTATTGGAAGCTGAGAAAGAGTAATCATCAGCACCAGCACCAGCTCAGACACTATGGGCTTTACAGGCCAGGTTAGGGGCGCAACATACTTTTTACTTTCAGCCACGGCATCAGCGGTTGCCTCCAAGAATTCCGGGAGCAATGGCTGTGGAAACACTTGTCCCGTCGATTTTTCGTGTGTCAGTTTGTCAGTGGTTCTCTTGAAGAATATTCGTAGATCGTCAGAAGAGGCCGAGATCGAGCAGCAGTTGTATTCCCACTCCGGGGCGACCCATTCCTGAAGCCTGAAGGTTTCCATCTCAATAGGGCGGCTCATAATCAGAATCTTTGTGCACTCCCAATCAAGGGTGCAGAGCAGCCGGAGGAGTTCACTTTGATGACTAGGTGCAAGATGATTGATCCCGTCGATGACCACATGGTTTTTCGCGAACGATTGCATGGCAGCTCTCAAGATCTCTGCGAGCACCTGCGGATCCTTGTAGTCCACCCAGCGAACAGATTCGCCGTCTGGCAACGCTGCCGTGCTCCCCTTGTCGTTCTCCATTCCTGGAAGTGCGAAACGTGTCTCTGCCACCGAGTATGCCTGCATATTTTGGGCCATGACCTGGGCCAGCAGAGTGCCCAGAATAGTCGCCGGGTTGCATGGCACACGGGGGTCGATAAAGAAGTAGCAGAGAGACCAGGTTGGAGACGTGACTTTTTGTGCCAGGTGGCTGAGGATTGTGGCCGCAATGACGGATTTGCCACACCCTGACGGCCCGGAGAGAAGCAGAAGCTGATGACTGCCCTGCAGCCAGTCCTTTACGCCATTGTGGTGGGTCAGGACCCAGTCGGCCGTGCCAGGGCATCTTGCGTCGAGGAGGTCCAAAGCCCTAGCAGTGCTGTAGTCGGTGGTGCAGAGGGCGTCAAGAATGCGGTGCCCCGGCCTCGCCTGCTCTGGGACGCGGATCTTGAGGAAGGCGGAAAATTTGTTCGCTGAGGGATGGCGGGTGGGTGGAGTCTGGTGTCTCCCCGACAGCAGACCCAGGACAAGGGAATAGCGGGAGAGCTTGACGGCGATCTGGAGCGTGGTCTGGGTGCTCTCAATGATCCAATGGGCGCGCGCGACGTGGTTAGGGTCGAGAGAGCTGGAATTTCTAGTTCGCAGCGCCTGTGCCAGACCGGAAAGGGCATTCTGGCAGGCCGACAAGCGACCGAGATCATAGCGACCCGTCGGCGGGGGATCTTCTCGTTCTGGATCTTCAAGCTTGGGCAGGTGGAGCGAGAGACGCTTGAGGGCAAGACACATATGCTCGAGGCTGTCCTGCAGCGCCTTCAGATCCCCAGCCACGGGGGTTTGGTTCTCCCTGGCGGCCTGAGCCAGCAGGAGGTAGGCGTCATCGGCCTCGTATTCGAGCTTGGTCAGCAGGGAGCGGGCTGAAGCGGCCATTGAGGGAACCATGGCTGCTGCTGCTGTGTGTCGTTCACCCGTCTCCCCTGGTCGTGTTGGGGCTGTCGAACACCTGGCGGATGAGGGTTGAGTGCGCGGGGTTGGGCTTCCAGCGGTCGACCCAGAGGATTGATGACTCCGTCCTCTTGTGGAGAGCGTTCTCTACACGTTTATATTTGGGCTCCAGCTGAGCGGATTCAACCAGGCAGACGCCCGACACAGCCCCAGCAAGTTAGTGAACCAGAGCTCGTGTCGAGGCAATCTGGCTGCCTGCAAACGCGCAGCTGGTCCGTCCCTCAGACCAGTTGCGAGACTGAATCGCCTGGCTGGCTCGGGCTTTTGTGTCAGCGCGCACCAGTGACGGCGCTGGGCGAGCTCTGGAATGCTTTATAGGATATCGTCGTTTCTGTGCTTGGAAGGGTCCGTTGGTTGTGGTGTTCTCGCGACCCGCGATAATTTTACGGGCTTCTCGCCACCAGACGGCAGGTGGCATTGCCACGTGACGGTGGCGCGATTGTTGATGACTCCCCGTCCGATAACGGCCTTACATGGCAGAAAAACACTTGAGCATTTGACTGCTGAAGAGAATTGAAGGAGAATCATCAGTCTGGATAGTAAAAGTGAGGAGTGCAGGTACTCGTAGTCTTAAATGGTGCGCAAGATTCTGCTCATACTGGCCGGGCGTTCGTTGCCCCTCCATCTGTTCCCGGGCGTGACGCCCGACTCGCGCCTGGTGCTACTGTGTTAAAATGCGTTGATTGGTGAAGGTGAAGGGCAGCTAGATACGTTCCCTTATATGGTCGATATCATAGCCACCTTCCTACGGGAGGGATTTTGCACACGTTCCATTCTAGATACCAGCCCTAGGAGGGTAAACTGCCTGGTGTCCTCCAACTGTCGCTTCAGCGAATTTTCGCTGTCAACTGCCACAGTGCTTGGCACAATGCTGGGGCGTATGCAAGGGCCACCTAACGACATGCAGTGCCCGTTATCAACCCAGTACATGCTTCACACGTTCAGTGCATTTGTCGCGGATGCACCTCATGGAAGGCTCGTATCTTAGCTTTGCCAATCGGGTAGCATCCATAGGGTTCAATGACTGATCGATTCATTTCCTCATCCAATCCGGCGTGAATACAGCGCCTGCAGAAAATACACTAAGCTCGCGCTACAAGAAACTGATATGTGATATCCAGGGCCTCGCCTGCCTCCTTTACAACACTTGGGAATGCATCGAACGCGTGCGGGGCCCCGGGAAAAATCTTGACCACCGCCTCGCTGCCAGTCGCCATCCACTTGGAGCTCATAAACACCGTATCGTCGAGGAGCGGGTCCGCGGTCCCGCAGAGAAACAGCGCCGGCGGCAGCTTCCCGCCTGGCATCTTGGCCGCCACGCCCGCCAGGTCCTCGTACAGAGGAGACACCTCGGCCGCGCGTCTCTGTTCGGGCGTCGCCACGGACGGAGGCAGGAAGCCGTCGACGCAGGCCTTCATGACGTCCCTGTCGACCAGCGCCGTGGACCCGGGCACGCTGGTGACCATGGACGGCATGCTCAGGCTCAGGTCGTAGCACCCGTAGATCAGTACGAGGCCGGCCAGCTTCGCGGCGGCCTGCGGCCTGTTCTTGGCCAGGTGCAACGCCGTCAGGGCCGCCAGATGGCCGCCCGCGGACTCGCCCCCGATGGCCTTGAGGAGCCCTCCGCCGAGCTGGAGCTGGCCGGCGTCGCTGACGAGATATTCCGCCACGTCGATGCAGTCGTGCACCGCCGCTGGGTAGGGATGGGTCGGGGCTAGGCGGTATCCAACTGAGACGACGGTCATCTGCACACCGTTTGCGCAGTCTTGCAGCCTTTGGTCAAAGCTGCCCGGTGAGAGAGGTGAGGATTGTTAGCGCTGACTTGTTTCCGCTCTGCCCCGCTCGCGCAACGCGATGAAATGGCGCGTTGCGCCATTCGTCGTCACCCCGCCAGGCTCCAATAACCAGCGCCCTCGACCGTAATCCCCGCGGATGCATAACTACTACTCACTCCTGGTGGCTTAAAGTCATCCATCCTCCCCCGTGGATGTGTATAAAGACGCCTGTGCTAGGCTTCCCATTGTCGGGCCGCAGCACCCGAACCGGCACCGTCCGACCCTCGTCGCGAGAAGCTATCTCCACCTCGCTGGCCCCTGCGAGATGTACCACCGCAGGCCACGGTACCGACTTGTTCTTCAGGCCTTCGACGAGCCCTCGCATAGGATCCGTTGCATTGGTCGGCAGGAACTTGGCGGAGTCCAGCGACAGATCACTTTTGATAGGCATGGTGAACGGAATAATTAGGCGAGAGCAAGCTTGAAATGGATAAAGGTGAGGGAATCTCGGCCACGGGTGAAGTCGCCAGGTTTGCATCACCACTGACTCACATCACTTTAGGCAGGGCACATTACGTTTTAAGTACCTGGAAAACGGCAGCACCCTGCTGGTGGCCTTGCACGGAACCATCGGCCAAAGTCAAATTCCGGCTGACGCCGACTGGGGCCCTGCCGCCCTACTTTAGCCCCAAGTATCCGGTCACGTTCCGGTCAGCCATCGTCAAGGGAAATGCCACCATCCCAAAAAGAAAAGTCCGCACAGGTTTCATGCAGTCATTTCCAACGTTCTGCGCGCGGATGGAAGGGCTCGCGTTAAATTCTCCCCATGGGCAGGGAATCGATGATACCCCCTCCCAAGGGTTTAAATCTCTCCAAACCCGAGATTATCGTCAACCTCAATCGCCCCAATGATGTCACCTGATCTCTAAGGCGGGCAGGTGGGTGATTCCGGAGAATAATGAAAGCCACGAGTCAAAGATCCCCAAGGTTCTCTGCGTTGTAAATACACACGCGCATGGAGGCAGACTTTTAGGAGCAAGGTAAGGCTTGTTGATAGGGGAGATGTATGACGGACAAACGGTGCAAAATAGGGTCTATTGTAGGCTTATCTAGATCTCTAAAGAGGAGGAAGAAGGGGGCACGCGGCCTTGGGCCTCGTGCCCTTTTATCTACAGTAACACCCCTCTCTTGCAGGCGCCGTACCCACTACCGCACTCCTGTTGATGCCGGCGGGTGCTCGGTAAGCATCTGCCTGGCGCAGCACCAGTGCGGAGCACCGGGTGCCCGTGCGGATATTCCGTGCCAAGGCCTGGAACAGCGCGCTGACCCTTGGTGATAGCCTCCTTTGTAACAAGATGCGGTGGTTGAATCCCCTTCAAGAAAGGATTGGCAACTTAAACCTGCCCTCGACTTTCACTTCAAAATCCGGTAACTAATCAATCAGTTGTTAGTTGTACGATAATCGCCGCCTTTGCAGTTATGAAAATCTTGGGAGATAGTCGAGAAGTACTTCTGTCGTGATATGCAAAGTTAGATAAACTGATAGGGTTTAAACGCTGCTTGATTTGTACACGAAATATCAGCAGTTGATATCCCCTGATATGATAGGACGCCACTTTCACTATTGTTCGCAGCCCGAAACCCAATAGTTTCCAACTTCATCGCCCTGAAAAATGGGAATGGAAAATAGCCACGAGGCTCCCTGCACGATGGTTGGGCTTTCTTCTTTCGGACCATAGACTCCAGAGGCACCGTTTCGTGCTATTGGATAAGTCACCTGTTCAGTAGGCTTTGATAGTCTAGTCAGGCAGGCGAGGCATCGGCCTACAGGCTGGATTCAAGTCAGGATCTAGGAACTAGCCTGAGAAGGCTTCAGGCGCGTTACCCAATGAATCATCTGGTCCAGCAGGCTATGCCTTACCGCATTTCGATCCGATTAATTCTCTTTGTGTCACATGTGGTTGTATCGATGACTTCACAGAGTCCACACCCACACGAGATAGCCTGCAGTTGTGCCCTGTCCGCCAACATTTTGCTCGAACTTTGCTATATCTCCCTCTTTCCCTTTCGTATTTCTATCCAATTTGGGGCCGTTGGCCATGTCTCTCGATGCGCGCTAGGAACAAACCATAAATCCATCACACCTCGGCAGGATTCTTCCCGACCTTCCTATAATCACACCCCGCCATAGAGCAGCCAAAGGCTCAGGCGCATTGGTAGTAGTACGGGGCAGAGACGCCTATGCAACTCGACCCAGACTGGCAGTTGGTGCACCCCGTGTACCCTTGGCCACCACACTGCCCGTACTTGGCAACCGTGCAGCCTGTACCGCCGTCGCCGCCACTACCCCCACCGCCTCCTCCGTTCCCGCCCGTCGGGGCTGGGGTACCGGGGGCTGTACCCGAGGGGCCGGAGCCTGCCTTGCAGGTGCTCTCGCAGCCGGTGCAGGCGCTGCCGGCCTTCTTGGTCGAGCCTCCGGACCAGACGGCCGGGCCCGGGGAGGAGTAGGACGACATGGAGGTGTGGATGTTGACGGCGACGCCCGGGTGGGAGGCGCCGATGAAGCCCGGGATCTGCACCGTCGGCGGGCTGGCCGAGCCTCCCGTGCCGGTGATGGTGATCTGGAAGCACGTCATGTAGAACTGGCCGCCGCCGGGGCTCTGCGCCGCGTGCAGCGCGAGCGCCTCGGCCCGGAGGAGGTAGTCGCCCGGCGCGATGGAGGACGGGATCGGGACGTTCATCTTGCCGCAGCAGCTGTTTGTTGTTTCTTGGTTAGTCTGTGGTTTCCTAAACGCGAACGGGGCTGGTGGTCACGTCTGGCTTACGTGTTCAGGTCCTTGGTCCCCCAGTAGTCGTCGTCGCCCGACGAGCTGCTCGACTTCTTGCTCCAGCCGTCCTCAAAAATCTTGAACCATCCGGCCGAGCCGTCGGCCTTGGACGCGTCGGCCACCTTGCTGAGGTAGACGGCGACGGGGCCGTAGTGGGCGCCGCCGATGGCCTCGTTGGAGCAGGACCTATCGCCGTTCTGCTGGTGCATCTCGACCGTGACGGTGCCGCCCGCCGGCACGGGGCACTTGCGGCTGACGGCGCCCGAGTTGGAGTTGCAGCGCATCTGCGTCGAGGAAACGTCTGTGACGGGCGAGTTGCTGAGCGGCAGGCGCGCGCACTGCGCCCCGAAGTCGACACCATTCACCCACAGCTGCTGGAACGTGGCGTGTGCGGCCACGTTCCTTGCCGCGAGGGCCAGAAGGAGAGACGCGAATGTTGATCTCATGCTGTCGTTGGGAACGGGATCGCTGTCGACCAGTTTGCTCGATAATCGATGGCGTGCTCGTGTCGAGAATGCGAGACCTGTAGGCGGTCTTTTTTATATCACAGCTAGACGGGACCCACCATCATCCCACGCATTCCATGGATGGCTTCACACAAAAAAAAAGCGCCTCCGATAGGCCGGCGCTCCATTTTGTCCGAAGGCCAAGCATATGACCGTCGAGCTTCACTCTAGTCCTCTCTTGGGATGCTCATCTCCATAACCGACCTGCCGAATGAGGTAATGCGGCCAACCGCTTCCCGGCGAGCCCCATCAGCACAGCTGCGTTCTCAGAGGAAGCGGAGGGGCACAGGCAGGTGCGACGGCGACTAGGGGAGACCCAGGTTGTCGCTAGCATGTAAGCCACGGGATCATGGATCCTGCACCCCGGAGCGGATGCAGCCCTCGTGTTCCCCCAGCAGAGGTTGCGCCGGCAGGGGCCCGATATTGCCCCAAGGGTGATAATGTGACCACTCCAGCGAGCGGGTGGGTGGTGGATTGGTCGGGTTTGGCCAGCCTGACCGCCCCGACGAGAAAGTCGTGGACCGCGTGAGGGCTGCATCTCCGAAGACGGGGAGGGCCCGAGTCGGCTGGAGTCCCGAAACCGCCGGCAGGGCTAGCGATGAATTGGGTAATGTGGAAGACCTGGCCCCGGGCCTTGGCGCCTTTTCGAGCTGGCTGCGGAACCCATCTGCCGAGATGCGACCCCACGCCCCCTATTTCTTTTCCATTGGCTGTCACGGACACGACAGAGCCCGGAATGATCAGAAACACATTCTGTTGAGAGCCGAGCCTGACCATGACAAGACTGCGCAAAGTGTGCCCAGTGAAGACCGACTATTCGATTCGGCTGCCAGATCCATGGCGCCGGAAGCTAGCATACATCGAGGGGGAATCCCAAGACGATTCGACGGCCTCTGTCCTTTATGCCACGCCATGTTTTGTACCTATCGGATATAAATAATGGCCGTGTAACAGGATGTCGCATTATGCCTCGAACTCGTGACTTGATACCCAAATGCAGAAGTTTACACGCTCATGTAGTAGTATCGAGTCGCCGGATCGTACTCCAAAATAACCTCGGCCTCCATATTCTCCACAGGCACCACGATCTGCCGCCACATGTTCACTTCATACGCCCCAGGCATCATGCCCGGCAGCACCAGCGCGCACAGGTAGCCATGGGACTTCTCACTCTCGCCGCCGCCTGCAGCCGGGGACACCTCGCTCCCGAGAGCGTCCCGAACCCCAGGCCCCAGCGCGGACTGCGGGCAGAGGACCAGCGCCAGGCTCTGGTGACCAGGTACCTTTAGCTTGAAGGCTGCCTCGGGCTCCCAGCGCACCACCATCCCGGGCCTGATGCGCTCCTGGAAGGGTAAAGCACCCAGGCTCCCCCGGAGACGCACGGTTCTAGATGAGGAGCCGTCGGTGGCTTCGTCGAGGACGTCAGCGTCGACGGATGTGGACGACTGCGGCTGCTGCGACACGGGCGGCGCCCGCCACGAGTCGACATGCAGCTGCCAGAACTTGGATTGGAACGCGCGGGCCTGCTCCGGGCTCACGTCGGGAGTGAGGAGGCATCGGCGGAGGAACTCGGGCATGGGTAGGCGGAGAAGCTGAGGGCCGGTCTCGGACGGGGCGAGAGTCCCTGCATCGACCGCAGGAGAGCCAGACTGTTCGGGTGGATGGACAAGTTAGCATTGCGAACGCTCTAGTAAACCAGCGCAACATGGGCTTCTCAGCCGCTTACGCTCGACTGAATCCACTCGCGGAGCTGCGCGTTGTTCCACGTGGCAGGCACGCGAGGGTCGTAGGGCCTGGGGCCCCGCGAGGGCACCACGACCCTGAGCATCTCGGCGTAGCGCAGCGTGTTCTTGCTCGCCCCGGTGTCGGCGGCGCCGGGGTTGACGCACGCCACGACGACGGTCCTGCAGCTGCGCCCGCTGTCGGGGTCGAAGACGTGCCGGAGCATCTTTGTCAGGGTGCTCTGGCGGAACGGCACGTACTGCTTCCCTCCCGCACCCGCACCCGCACCCGCTGCGGCCGACGCCGGCTTCTTGCCCCCGCCGTCGATGGCGGCGGCGTCGTGCAGGACCCTGCCGCGGATGCAGTCCTTGAGCGTCGACAGGCTCGCGTTGATCTCGCGCGCCTCGCGCATGCGGTCCACCCCGTGCTCCGACACGTCGCGCGCCGCCTCGGACCCGGCCAGGTCGACGAGGTACAGGAGGCCGTCTTCGGCCCCGGCCCCGGCCCCGGCCCCGCCGCCACCAGCCGCGGTCGGCAGCTCGATCCGGATGCGGCAGACGGCGTGCGACCGGCTCGAGGCGTCGTTGCGCAACGTGGGCGCGGTGGCGCGCAGCGCGGCCGCGACGTCGACGAGCGCGAGCAGCTCGTCGGCCGACCCGACGCGCCTCTCGAGCGCTCCCGCCACCTGCGTCTCGCCGAACGAGTCGGTCAGGACCGACACGGGCCGACGCGCGTTGAGGAGGTCGAGCGCGCTGTTACCGGCCAGCTCGACGATGGACGCGTATATCTGGCGGTCGCCGTCGGTCGCGCCGCCGAGGTCAAACAGCGAGCGCGCGACGAGCCGCTCGAGCCCGCTGACGGTGAAGGTCTTGCCGGAGCTTGTCTGGCCGTAGGCGAAGAGCGTGCCCACGCCGCCCGACCACGCCCACGGCACGAGCTGCTGTACGACGGACGAGTAGATGGCGTCGGTGGTGTCCTCTGGGCCGAACGCGCGGTCGACCTTGAACGTGGACGTCTAGTGCTTGGCAAGAAAACTTTAGAACATATCTTTTTGCTTTTCTTCTAAAGGGAAGAATCCGTGGGTTGTGGGTGATGATCCTTACGTCCAGTGCTGGCTGGCCTCGGATCGTCTTCCGGATCTCATGACAGTCGATTGTGCCAGGTGTTCCGGGCCGAGGTAGCACAGCCGTCAAGGCTCCTCCATCTTTCTCCTCGTCCAAGACCGGCCTCACCCTTGCAACCACCACGATGTCGGTGGCCGTCGTCCGGCCATTGCTCTTCTTGGTCGCAAGGCCTTCGTCTTTAGCTTTGAAGCCCTTCACGAGAGCTTCGAACCTATCTTGATTCGCTATCAAGAACTCTTCCATGTTGAGGGCACCCTAGGTTTCTTTTTGGTGTCTGATTTTGCTGTCATTCGGATGGATCAGTTCAGTTCTTTGATGATTTCCATGGTGTTCTGTCCTATATTTATACTAACCGGGCTGTCGCTGGCACGACAACCCCCTGCGACTGAAAGTTTCTGCCTAGTCGCCCCCGTGGGTGGTGTGCATCAAAACTCGCCGGCCAATACTTCCAATTCTCTTACCCCATGCATTCGCAACCAAGCTAGATATGGGTCGTCGCGGAGAAGGCGGCAAAGAAAGATGAATTGCTGCCTAGAACCAAAAGGTATGCCTGGACCATCAATCCCCACCCCATATTGCAGGAGCAGCTTTGCCATATCCTTCTGACCACGTTCCTCCGCGCAACGGACCGGCATCCAATCGGAAGCGCACTCGACACAATCGACCTGTGCATAATCTTCCAACATGAGGTTCAGAATATCTGTATGACCCCGTGACACAGCGATACAAAAACAGTTATGTTGGCACCGCGTGGAATGGGGATTTACGCCCGCCTGCACGAGCATTCGTGAGGTTGGAGCGTGCACATGCTGTGTTGCGTAACGAAGGGCGGTTTTGTGCTCCTTTGGAAATTCTCTGGCTCCGTCAAGGCGAATCGGACGCTGCGCGAGCCCCCGAGTTGACTACTTGCAAGCAATCTCAAGCTCATGAGCAGATCGAGATGGGATAAAGAATATATCTCGCAGCTGCGCCTGATGAAGACACACGTCGAGGCTGTCTAGCTGACAGACTGCCCACCTGAACCTAGGGGCATTTAAGTGGACCGAGGTGCATGTGAGCTACGCCGCTCCCATTCGCAATAGATCATGGCATCCCCTTGGCTTGCATCCCATTCGCTTTGCGTGCAAACGTGACTCCCATCTCCTCCAAGATGTCGGGTGCGTTGGCCCACCGCTCGAACCCCGACTTCGGGTCCTCGAGACGGGGCAGTAACGTAGGCCGCTATATCAGCACCAAACTGCCGTTTCGCCGTGGGTGCCGAGTGAGATGCAGTTGCCGTCGCCGACCAGTCGAGCAATCCTTTGACAAACTCTTCCTCATACCTGCTGGTCATGAAGAGCTGAACGCGATGTAGGGCCAGCTCCGACAGCTTCGCACGGAGACATTCAACCCATTAAAGGAATGTCTTCCTCTCTCTGCATTCGTCCAGCGCATCTATCAAGATGAAGACACTGCCAGCGAGCCCCAGCATCTTTCCAAGACACTGTGACAGTGCCCCGTCGCTGGGCTGGTCCGCGCCCCTCTAGTGGGATCCGTGCAGTTCGCGTAGCGTTCCTGCACAGACCTGTCGTTTGCTGAACAGTTGGAAGATTAACGCGCGGCACAGGCCGTCGGCCTTCTGCTTGACACTAGCGTCGAAGTCGAAGTGGAAGTCGAGAATGGCACGGGTCGTCTGATGTGGCTATATGGTCTAGTACAGTGGTGGCAAGTATGGTGTTGCCACAGCCAGGCTGGCCATGGAGCCATATATGTCGACGGTCACCGTTAGCCCACTGGCAAAACTCGGCGCCGTTCAGCAGCCACTAGCCAGTGCCCAGCTGTCGAAGCTTCCTTGCTTTGTTGTCGTTGGGAGCCATTTCCTGATCGCGCTATCTCCAATCACCGCCTTGATCTCCTCAACGTCCTGCTTCACGGCCCCGATGTCTTTTTGCACTTCTTGGAAGGAGAATGTTAGAAGAAATTTTTTGGAGACTGGACGAATATGGCATCAACCGCACATGGGCAGCAACTGACCAGATCTGAGCGCGTCGGCCAGCGGTTTCTGCTTGTCCACCCTCTTGGGCGGGAGACTCTTGATGAGGTCCTTCGCGTAAGCAGCAGCCATCATGGCCGCGAATCCTTGCCACTTGTCGTTCGTGTGGGTGTCGGAGTAGGCACAGATGCCGCGAATCGCCAGGCATGGGAAGTGATTCGCCAGGCCGGCCGTCTCCATCTCGACGCAGAGGATGCCTTGGTCCTGAGCCAGACGGTCCCTGACCACCGCGTTCCTCACGAGCGAATTGGACGATCCGACCAGCCCGTAGTGGATGAGAAAGCTGCTCCCCCTGATGACCTTGCGTGGATCTCGCTTAATCTCAGATTCCGAATCACCACAGGTGCCCCCTTTGCACTGCTCGTGGGTGAAGTCGCATTGATAGAGGCGGTCGCTGGGGTCAAGTGGAAGACCGAGTTCCTCCCTCGTCTCGACAATGCCCGTCTTTGCCACCTCGCCATCCAGTGCTTGCTTGACCTTCTCGTCGAGCTTGTGGCCATACCGCCTGTACTTGGTCTTCAGTCCAGCCACTGCCATCAACAGCGGCTCGGGCGGCTGGTTCAAATGTCCAGTCAGTCGGAAGGTCTGATTCTGCGTGTTCTTGCCGAAGTCGAATTGTATCACGCCACCGGCCCCGCTGCCGTCCGGGCAGCTGACGACAACATCGCCGAGGCGGACATCTCGTTCCTTTCCGTACGGCACGCCCCCGGCGATGCCGACCATCAGTCCGACGCGGACATTCGGGAAGCTGTTCACCATATCCCTGGCGACGGTGGCTGCCCGTGTCGTGCCGTATTGCTTGTGGGGTAAGACCGCAACGACGATGTTGTGCGACTCAATCCGGCCAAAGACGTAGCTATTATCGTCTCGGTCGCCGACCGCAGGCGTGTCCTTGTGGCTAAAGGCCTCGTCAAGGACGATTTGTGCTGCCAGGAACTCCGTCTCGATGGCGCATATCCACCCAATGGTGTAGATCTTGGGGTCTGTCGTGTCCGCCATTGCTGGGAAGGTACCGATAGATCACGGCGGAAATAATTCGAGAGAGCTCGGAGTGATGGACTGGATGTGAAGCAGCGTGAGTGAAATTTGCCTTGCCCCTTTCAACTTCCCCTTCACCCAGGACTAAATGGAGCACTTAAATCCATCTTCATGGATCGAGCCGGGGACCGAGCCGGCGCCTACATGGATCGAACCGCCGCCTACATGGATCGAGCCGCCGCCTACACGGATGGGGCGTTTTAGTCAGGCAGCCAATGGCTAAGGCACCCGGGTGCCCAACCCGGAATGCGACGAATAGACGAGCATCGCTAAGCCATATGTATCAAGTGTTTTGGTAAGGCGACGAATCGAAATGGCTGGCCCATTGTTTTCAACCCTGCAGAGGACCGCTGATTCAATGTCCCTATTTCCCCGATGCTTGCACAGCGCCAAATATTCGCCATTTTGGGAGAGGCACAGATGACCCCTCGAGTGCCGTTTAGCCCAAATAAGGCGCACCCAGAAGAGTACCGAAAATATAAAGGCTTTTATTAGCTGATGCACGCGAGATCAGCAGCCCGGGGCTAGACGGCACTCGAGGGGATAGAGAACTTGGAGGGGGATCCTCAAGCGACCTAGCAGGCAGCGGCTGAAGGAGCCAGGATGTCAGCAAGATTTTGGCAGTCGAAATCACAACGTAAAGGAAAATCGCAGCGTGTGAAATGACAGTCTATGCTCGGCGGGCGGCGCTGGCCAGCCTGGGTCGAAGGCACAAACCTCAGCCGGCACAACGTCCCGGGCCGATACAAGGCACAACCACGATGGCATCCGCAACGCTAGCGTCGGGCCATAATGGGGATGTTATTGGGCGGCGGGCCAACCATTAACGCAGGGCTCTGGTTCGGGCCGCCGGCCGCCGGCTGGGATCGTATCGGCAACCTCGAAGGCTGACGCGCCTCACCTGCATGACCTAGACCGAAAGGCCCGTCGTCGACGGCGTGCTGCACAATACAAAGGTACACGAGCTGTGCTGCCTTGTCTTTGTCTAGGGCACCATAACATAGCCTTGCTCAACTTGTGATGGCTCGTGGTCAAGGCACACATTTTCACTGACGTGCCCAATTTGACAGGATTCACCATGGCAGGATCAAGGAGGCTTGGGCAGTCAAGGACTAGAGCGGGGACACTTGCAAGAACCCGGAAAATCAAGGAGACGTGAATCGATTGACGCTAAACAAGGAACCGGCAGAAAGCCAACTACTTCTTGGCTATGAGCATCTCCCTCAGGATCCTAATCTCCTCGTCCCTCCTGGCCAGCTGCAGCTTCAGCTCGTCCCTTTCCTTGGAGACGTCGGCGACGACCTCCTCGAGCTCCGAGATGCGGTCGAGTTTCTTCTGGCGGTACTTTGCGGCCGCCGCGTTGTTGCGCCGGCGCTTGTCCGCCAGCGCGACGTCGTCCTCGTCCTCGTCGGCCGTGGACTGCTCCCGCGACCGCTTCCGGCCGCCGCCCGACGACGCGTTCACGGAGAAGACGGACATGGCGGGCGCCGGGGGCATCTTCTTATTCTTACTTGTCTTGGAAGAGGACGCGCGTGGCTTCTCGGCGACGGCGGCGGGGCTGGAAGAGGCATTGCGAGCAGGCGAGGGCGCGACGACAAGGTCGCCGAACAAAAGATGGTCACCAAGGGGCTCCTTCGGGCCTGTGTTCGCGGTTTTATTAGCTGGGGTTTGGTCTTGGAAGTGCCGAGTGGTATCAAAGATGAAAACGTACTCAGAGAAGAGACGCTCGACGCAAGGGAAGGCGTCGTCTCCACATCGCCGAAGGAGTCGGGACTTTGCAGAGCTAGGGCGGGAACAGGCGGGACCGAGGCGAAGACGGTCGTAGGATCCAACGTGACAGTGGCCGAGTCCCAGAGGGCCTGGTCGAGGAAGTCGATGGTCGGGTTGGAGAGGTCTGGTAAAAGAGGTGCGCAGGCGGAGTCTTCAAATTGATGCGGGAAAGACGAGAGATCAAAGAGCGGCGACGTCAGGTCACCGCCGTCGTCAAAGTTTACCGTCAACTGCTGGTTTTCATCGTAGCAGAAGCCGCGGTTACTGCCTGGGGCGGGCAGCCACAACGCTGAGCCTGTTGTAAGACATTGCCAACTGTTTTCGTCGACGATGTGCTCGGGGAGAGACACGAAGGCAGCTGAGGGGCCTCGATATATCTGAGGCCCACACTAGAGAGTGTTGGGACTGGGCGCTAGGGGGGAGGGAGTGCCGCGTGATGGCTAGTTTGGGATGTGATGAGGATTCAATCAGAATGATGGCCCAAGGCGGGGTGGCAACCGTTCTTTATACGTCGGGGCCTGGGAAGGCTGTGCTGGAGGGCCAGGCCAGGGGAGGCCGGCTGAGTTCTGGGGAACGTGGGCTGGCGCTGGCGCTTGGCCCGAGCGCTAACTAGTCCGTATTGGGAAATGTGAGCAATGAATCATCCTGATCACAATGAATCATTCTGGGGTTTCCTTTTTAGGCCTAGCTCATGCTGCCATCTCACGCAGCGCATACGTTTGACCTACCCAGGTCTTGTCGATGTGCCAATCTCTGGGGGCCTTGCTTCGTCTGACGCAGGCTTACGGCCCTTCCGGCGTTACTTTGCTGTCGACACCAGCCGCAGGTTGGCATGCAGCATATCTCAATCCTAATGAAGAAAACGATCGCTAGGAGGAAGATGATGCTGACTTTGCCCGTCTAAATGTACCGCCATTCCGGTCCAGATTCGTTAGGTACCTACCTTTACGGGGGCGCCTTCCTTTTCTTCAGTCACTCTCACTTTGGCTCGCATTCCCTCCCATGCTACGCGCATTTCTAGTCTAGACCATCAGAACTTGCTTGTGTATCGCGGTGTGTGAAAAAAAGGTAGCGGCTTCATTTTTATTCCAGTTCCTTGCTTTGAAGTCCATACGCCGCATCCTGATAAGTGGCCCCCACGCCGAAATAGCCTCCCACCAACACGAAACAGAAAACCCATTTTCGTCATCGACCCAGAATCCAGCCTCAGGGGGGGTAGAAACCCCATGTCCGGGGGCTCGTCGGTGATGCCCAGCACCCGGTCCAGCACCCCGACGGCGAGCTCGGGGTGCGCCATCATGACGGGGCGGACGTTCTGGCGAGCGGCGGGGTAGCACGAGGCGACGAGGTCGCGCGCCAGGCCCCGCAGCCTGTCCTCGTGCGACGAGGCCGACGTGTCAGCGATGGCCCACGAGGGCGGGGTCGAGTCGAACAGCTCCAGCAGCACGTCGGCCACGCGCGGGTCGGCGCCCCAGTCGGCCACGCCGCGCCACCCGCCGCGCGCCGCGCGCTCCCACCGGCCCGCCGCCAGGTCCGCCAGCGCCGGCACGTCGTACTTATCCGCCATGGCGTACAGCCGCATGTACAGGTACAGGCTCTCGATAGCGTCGCTGCGAGGGGCCGCCGAGGGGCCGCTGGCCGCGTAGTGGCTTCCCGCGTCTTGTCGTTGTTGGCTCATTGTAGAGCGTTGCTGGTGTGTGGGGTGGTAGTTGTGGTGGTGCCCTGTTGATCCTTGCTGTTCCTGGTGGTGGTGCTCGTCGGCGGGTAGGCCCGCGATGGCAAGCTGGAACCCCAGGCGCGGACTCGACCGCGAGGCGGGAGACGTTGGTGAGCTTTCTAGAAAGCCGGGGTCTGATACGTCCTCGGTGTATAAGAACTCGAGGAATTTTTGCACTACATCTGGACGGTCCTCTGGCAGCTCAATGACACCCTCATATTCCTCCTGGCTGCCCGCAAGGGCTTGGGCATCAGCAAACGCGTTTTCATTCTTGAGTGGTCAACGCGGAGGAGCGATGGGCAGTCGGTAGGGATGCATACGTTGACAAAAGAAAGGCGGACAAGGCATCAATCAAGGCTCATTCACACAACTCGGTTCATCAGGGGTAGATGGGAATAAGACATGGAGATCCAAGGCGACGAGAAGAGAAAAAATTGATTGCTGACCCGAAACCCTGAACTGCAGGCCGCGTCCAAGAAGGGGCACTGCGGGCAGACGATGGCCCTGTGGACCCGGAAATCGGTGCCCTGGCACCGTATGATGAGATCCGAGTACTTGCCGTTTAGGAACAGCTTGCCGATGCCCGACGAGTTGGAGCGCCGGACCCCGGACATTTTGCTAGTGGAGGTGGTGGTGTCATCCGGTTGCTACCCCGCTCCACCACAAGCCTGTGCCGCCGTTGCCAAGACGGGCTGGTTGGGCTCTGTCCACGGGGGACGCGGAGGAAAAGACGAGGAGGCGTGTGAATATGTGAAACGCAAGGAGCAGAGCTTATCGAGATGGAAATGATGCCAGCGGGCGGGCATTTGGTTGAAGCAGGGGCGGCGGGGTGCCGCGCCTCTAAATAGGTAGGTGCCTATGTATCGGCGGGGGTTTACCAGGACCAAGGCCCGACTTTCGTGGGACTGAGGTGATCGTCTGTCGACACCGCCCGCTGCACCAGCCCGCCTCCCGGGAGCGGCCCAATTGCCAGAGACACGTGGGAAATATAGCTCCGGCTGCAGCTGCAGTGTGTCAGCGCCGTGTCCTATCGGCCTTGCACCGCCATCGCGCCAGCTGTGGTGATTGCCATCGTCAGGTAGGACTTTTGTGCGTGGTTGTCTCAAAGCAGAAAGACGGGCAACCTGAGGAAGCTCCCGACGCTGCAGATCAGCCCAGGAGCATTGAGAGGGGCTGGGCGAGCTGCAGCTGGGGTTGTCTCGTTCGAGCTCGCTGTTTCTATTTTTGGCCGGCTCGGGACAGCTCTGGGGTCTTGCACAGCCCGCCCTCGAGGCTCAGACCAGCTCTGGTGGTGGGCTTGGCGCTAGCGCTAATAAGCGACGAACGTCGAGGGCGGAAAATCTCCATCGTGCCTCGCCCTAAGCCACACCGCCTCGCGGCAATTATTGCCGGTGGCGACGTGACAGCTGCGCGGAGAACGCGGTCTCGAAGTCGGCGTGCTGGGCCGGACTGGGCCGCTCTAGCCTCGGGGATAAATGCACATCTAACTACCTAGGTACTTAGGTAGGTATTTTGGAAGGCTAATTAGCCCAATGACGAGAACGAGACCGGGTCGGGCCCTCCCACACGCTGCAGATGTGGTTATAGTGTTCGGGAATCTGACCGACCATATGCTTTTTTTCGGAAGCTCGTCGGGTTATCCCCCGTACGAGTGTGCTGCGGAAGGAACGTTCATATGTACGGGGCGCCATAAGTATAAATAGAAAGTCAAGGCATTATGTGTATCTTGGTTCTCGGCAACGCTACTATGCAAACATGCTCCCGCTTCCTGCCAGCGTCGCTTCAAAGCGTGATCTCGACCGACCCGTCCGGCTTCATGCATTTTTGTATGCCGTACCGAGGCACGGCCACCCTGTGATCCAGTCAGGTCAGCATTGTCGCTCGCTCTGGTTTATTGCGAGCCTTCAAGATCTGGGATCACGAGGTGACACCGGTTCGCTCTCCCGGCTTCGCAAGCGGCCGCAGCTTGCCAGGAAACCTAGCCGGGGCATCGCCTGCAGAGGATCCCCTGCCATAGGCCTCGGGCGATTTTGTGGAAAGGGAGGGCGCTTTGAACTTACGTGTATTCCCAAGTACCAGTGACAGAGGTCTTGATCGTGTCCATGTACCGCTGCAGCTCGTCCTGCAGACCGTGCTTCCCACTCTTGTCGCTGCCGCCGGCCTCCTCTCGAGCTGCCATCCGTGCCAGCGCACTCGCTGCCGCCTCGAATCGCTGTCGGGATGCCATCAGCTCCGAACAGAGGGACTCGATAATGGCCTCCAGGGACTTGTTTTCGTGGTGGTACATGACCGGCACTAGATTGATCATGGCTAGGGTGGCCTAGTTCAATGGGCAAATCTCACGTTAGCCGTGCGAACTGTCGCCCTTTCTTTCCAACAGCCCTAGACCAGTGTATGGGACGGATACCCACCATTTCTTTCTTGAGTGAGAGGACGTCGTTGATTCTGCTCGTTGGGTTAGTCATTTCATTCCGCTTCCGATGACGGAGATGCCAATGCTGATGCCGACGGCTAACTGACATGATTATCCCCAAGTTCGCCTCGGTCATGATGACGCCCATCTCAGGAGTGTCCATGATGGCACTTGGGATGTTGGTCACTGTCGAGATCCTGTCGACATCGAAAAGAGCCTGTCAGATCATAGCCGTTCCAATGGCAAGCCGAGGGCAGGTGTAGAAGGGGCATTGAGCCATTGGTAAGTCCTTACTCTCCAACCAGGGCAAACATGCGAAACGCCGTCGTCCCCTGCCTGAACCTGAGGTAGTTCTCAGAGGTCGGGATGGAGCCCCGGATCCGCAGCTGCTGCTCCTCGGCGGTCGAGTCGATCCAGAACTTGATCTGGGAGTAGACGCGCTTGCGCTGCCTCTCGTCGAAGCGCGCGCAAAGCGCCTCGCCCAGGGGCTTGAAGAGGGCGCATCCGACGTTGGGCGGCGGGGGCGGCGGGGGCCTGGCGCCGATCCACGAGAGCGCGCGGTGCAGCGCGCGACGGCCTGCAAACAACGGCACGAACGATGACGACTGGGGAGGGGAGGGGTATGATGGCCAGGTCGGGAACTCGGACGGCGAGCAGGCGGCCAGCTCGAGGCCGAGCCAGTAGCGGCAGTAGGCGAGCGTCTGGGCCCGGAAGGCGCAGCCGCGTTCGTAGTCGCCCGCGAGGTCCTGCTCGCCCGTGTCGAACGTGTCGTCCCACACAAAGGCCCACACCGTGAGCAGGCCCATTGTGTGGAGGTCCTCCCAGGCTGCATCGGGGTGCCAGCTGAGGGTCGGGTGAGGCGGTTGTCAGTGTAATTTCATCCTTCCCCCCGACATAACTGGTTGAGGACCAGACTTACATGGATGCAAAGAGCGCAAAGTCGCTGTCGCTGAGCTTCTTCCTGTACCAGGCCTCGGGAACGGAACTGTAGTTGTCAAAAAAATCATTAGCCGAGGAGGTTTTGCGCGAAACCCTTCGCGGCGGAGAGACACCTGGTGTGCACTGTACCTGTCCAGCATGCCTTCCACAACATGCTTGAGTCGCACGTAGTGAGGGTTCACCCGGCCCGAAGGCCAGCCCTGCAGTATGTCGCCTAGCATGTTGGGGACGGCAATGGTGCGGCCGCGGAGCTCTTCGGCCAGCCTGGCATGGATGTCGGCCGGCGCGCCGGCAGTTTCTGAGCTGCCCATGATCCCTGGATGGTAATACGACACTCCTAGTCTCGGTCTATATCTTGTGCGGCTGTGCGTCCTGAGGAGGAGTTGTGGGATGGGAAAGGTGTGCGAAGTGGGAGATTAATTGGGCCTGTCTTGAACTTTGTGTCCTCTGGGGGTTTATATCTGGCAACCTGCACCGGCCACGGAGATAGTAAAAGTTCGGACGACCCATGGGTCCTCCAAGGGCGACGTGGAGAGACAGATGCGGGCAGCCGAACTCCAGCACCCGCAGTATCGAGCGATCCACGGCCATTTCTCCTGGAATGGGGCTCTTCTAGCCAGAACCCGTTGGAGATCCGAGACTAGGATCGGGTCGGCTAGACAAGTGTTTCTGCTCTAGGGAGGGCGTAGACGGCGTAGTAAAGTACCTTCCCGAACTAGAACTCCTCCCAGAGCGTTGACCACGACAGACTCACCCTGGCAAGTGATTCGCCCGTCTGGTTTTGTCTTGGCATCCCTACGCTAACGGTCACAGGAGTCGTCACACTTATCAGTGACTGGGTTCTCGGAAAAAAGGGTCCGGGCGAGATTTTTTATTTCCCAGTTTATACATCTAGACGGGCTTGCTTGCCCCTGTACCCAGAGCGGCTCCTGTAAGGGCGAGATGCTCTCCAGCGAGTCTAGGTAACGCCGTGTTGGGGACGGCATGTAACCTGTCACGTTCCACAAAATTGGACGTCGAGCGATCCCGGGCGACAGTGAACCCGGTGAGCGAACATGTCCCCGGGCGGAAGCGCGGGAGTGCTGCTTTCGCACACTTCATTGTCCAATGCTGTGTCGCTCCGCTTGCCTGTCTCACGCGCTGGGGGGTACCCCCTCACCGCCGCCCGAGCCCCCTGGTTATGCTCTTGATGGTCAGACCCTGGAAGTCAGGGCTGTTTTGAGAAGCGATCTCCCTTTACGGCCGGCCGTCCACGGAATCTTGGCTGGAAGCCCGCGTAGTCGCCTGCTGAATAATTCCCCTCCATAATGGTGGATCGGGTATGCGCATACATCACCCTGGGTTGGGGGCTCCTGACGTTCCATTCTTGAAACTGTGGTTCGAACTTGTCCCAGAATTGCGAGCGGTCCATGATGCCCTCTGGATGACGGAAAGTGGCATGGCAAAGGCGCCTTGAGTTTGGGCGTAGATCTATGGAAAGATACTCCGAGTTGGGTAAGATGGGCAAGACAAGAATGCAGGAGCTAACCAATCAAGTGGACTAGCTCGTTCGCTGTCGCTCTCCCTCTCAAGTTTGAACCAGCGCAGTCGGCCATTTGGGGTTCGAGATATAAAAGTCACAAAATCCTAGTCGGCGAACTGGTTCCTGTATTGGGTAAGCTGACATCTGTTGGTGTTGAAATACGCCAAGTAGCCTACTTCTACGAGAGGATGCGGGGGATCAAGTGACAAGGACTGGCCGTGGGCACTGAACAAGACGAGAAAAGGAGTTTACACTGGCGGGCAAATCGGGCCCGGTCTGCGGTGGCGGATAAGCGGTGGACGGCAGCCGGAGGAGGTCTGCAGTCAACCGCGCATCAAAAGACAAAAAAGACCACACGAGAGCCCGAAGCCGCATAATCGACATAATCGAGTGTGACACATGTCGGTAGCCGCGGTGAGACACATGCAATATTCAGGCAAGGGAGCGGAAGACTGCCTTGGTTGGCCTTGAAAAGTAGAGAGTTGGGGAGAGAGCACCCGGTCAACGCCGCGTAATTATGGGAACCAAGTACAAAGAGGTGGCAAGTCGGAGATACCTCTAAATAACGCGCTATTCCTGCAAGGGCGTTAATGGGGGTAGGTGGGAACCTGACTGTCTAAGATTCTATAGCAAGGTAAAGAGGTATCGTGGGAGTATGTACGAGAATGGAACCCATGCGCCGTGAAGAGCAAGACAAGGATGGCAGATGCAGATGGAGCTGCTCACGTGAAGAGAGAACAGCGAGACGACCGCGACTCCCAGCACGGACAGGAAGACCGAGGAGGCGGCCGCACCGCCTATGCTCGACGACGCGCTTGACTCTTGGGCGTTGGCTAGCCGGCTGGCGTGCTCCTTGCGGGCGGTGGATGCCAGCCATTCGATCGTCTCGTTGGTGTAAAGCTCAAAGTAGTTCTAGTGGTGCTTGCCCTTGGCGTCCTCGGTCTCGACGGCCCAGATGGGGTCGCCCGCATTGCAGTAGTCGCGCGTGAGGTTGGCATACTGGCGCAGTCCCTCGAGGTGTTCGCCTTCGCGCGCTCGAACGCCGTCCAGATGCGATGCTCCTCCCACGTTGTAGGTTTCGTTGGCCGTGCGCTTGATGGACCCAAACATCAGGACTCCGGCGACTATGCATTGGTTTGGTGTCAGTTAGCATGCACTCCAAAGGCGCTAGGATGAGGCCCGCATATCCAGGGTGGCAGATGAGGAGAACTGGCGAGTGGGCTTTACCTTTGGAGCCTGGAACCTCGGCCCGCTTGAGACCAGGGCGTTCCGGTTGCACACATTCCCAGATGGGACCGCCGGTGCTGCCAAGGATATCGCCAACGACAGCTGTGCCTTGCGAGTACCCGACGAGCAGCAGGCTCGAGTTGGGGCACTTCTTGGCGTAATCGGTCATCTGACGCTGCTCGGCCTCGGCTCCCTTGGTGGCCGAAAGACACCAGGCGTCCTTGCCATCGGAGCTGGGATTGGCCGGATAGACGATGTCCTCGTAGCCACAGCCATCGCCGTGGAGCTCGGCGTCGGCGTCGGTGCACAACCTGGCTAGGAGCTTGTGGGCGCGGCCCGGGTAGGGCTCGTCGCTACCCCGGGCTACAAAGATGTGGAAGGGCTTGCAGTCTGTAGACGGCGTGACCCCAGGCAATGTGTCGGTCGTGTACTGGTTGCCCTCGTTGGGTTCGTCCTGTGCAAGCCCGAGGGCGGCCAGGGCTGATAGGAAGGCGAGGCAGGGCCAGAACATGGTTGTCGACTGCAGGGACTCCAGGCGATGTGCTAGCTGAAGGGGGGCGGGTGGTCTGGACGCATCGTTGGAATGGACGTAGAGAAGGCGGAAGTGACAAGATAAACACAGCCGGCGATAGGCATTGCCGAAAAAGGAGGGAAAAGGTGGCTAGACGAGGCCATGGCCATCTCCAGCATTGCCAGTGCCAACTTTCAAGGAGGAGATTTCGATGCTTGGCTGGCGGTGGTAGCCTTGGTTTTCGTGATAAGCGGCCCCGTCGCAGCAGTGCCGACTTGCCGATGCCCAGACAAAGGCTTCGAGAAGAGCTGGAGGAGGCACATGGACGTCATAGGCGCCGAGGCTGTGCTCTTTTGACAGCCCCGCCGTTCCATGGTGTCGTGTGGGGGAAATCTCGCTAAGCTTAATCCAAGCTCTGGGTCTCTTGCAACGCCCAAAGAAGTCAACCCGAGGCTCCAAACGCGATCGCTCCATGGTCAGCATCCTCAGCCGCTGTCCCTTGCAGCAGACACAAGCGTTGCGGCTCCTTCACTTTGGCCGCCACACTACCACTACCAGATCTAGGTTGCCCTATTCGGCAAGTTGGCACGCGATAATGGCCAGCAACGGCAGCCGGTACAAGCTCGTCTTCTTCACACCGCCCGTCGACTTACCCAAGGTAAAGGCCGCCATCTTCGAAACGGGCGCGGGCACAATTGGCGAATACACTCACTGCTGCTTTACCACGTCGGGAATGGGCCAGTTCAAGCCTGGCGCGGCTACCAACCCGCACATCGGGCAGACGCGCGGAGGCTTGGAGGAGGTTGCTAAGGAGAAGTGCGAGATTCTGTACAATGGCCGAGAGCAGACACGTTCGGCGGTTGAGGCGATGAAAAGGCGAGTCGAGTCCATTTGCTTGCTTGTGCCTCTGCTCGACTCCTGAATATTTGATGTGGTCGACTCGACTGACTCGCGTCGTGTCCCAGGGCCCATCCATACGGGGAGCCCGCGTACGAAGTGTACAAGCTGGAGGACTTTTAGCAAAACCAAGCCGACTGCGCCGCCTGTTGGCCGCCCTCGCGCCGTGTCCGGGTCGCTGCTCGACATGTCGCACTATTCCGGGACTGGGAATACCGAATGTAAATCGTCGCCGTTATAACAACATGTTTCTCGTTCGCCCTGACTGCTTTTGGGCTAAACCAACCACCAACAACCACTACCTTTGCCCACGCCGCAAAGGTTTGTTCCTGGCCCTTGCCGGTGACTTTCCTCTCTGTTGTGCTTGTATTTACTAGTCTCAGGACCACGCCCTCTCCGAGGTTTCCAAAGTATCGGCTACTGGGGTTGCCCGCTAACTGCAAGGCCTCAAATATCTCTGAAAAGTTTCACGTCTATAAACAGCTCTCGAAAACCCACATGGAGCCCTTCTCTCCACATCCCAAGCCGCTCTTTGGCGCGCGATCCGAGGCTTGCGCTGACTTTGAAGGCTTCACTGGTACGGCCAGGCATTTCACCCACAATAACCGCCGGAACTCGGCCGGGCTTCCTAGCCTGGTCGGGCGGGTTCACGATGCCGGCTCGGGCGAATGTTACAGCCCTATTTATAGCCAGCCGAGGATGGACGAAAGCAGCCTCTTTACATCCGAGCGGCGGGATTCCTGAGAGAAACGGCGGGCCGTGGCGGACTTGGACGATGATACGATTCAAGGCGGCTGGAACCTCGAGGCTCGGGTTCTCTAGGGTATAAAAGGGGCGGCATCGCGCTACCTTTTGCTTTCCATTGATACCAAGCCAGCCACCAAGCATCCGGCTTCCGCAACGGGCCCTGCTCCAATGCAACGAGCTCGATCTCCCTCGCTCAAGCCCAAGACAAAGATCAGCAGAGACTCCTCTCGACGGTACGAAAACTCCCTCCCGCATGAGCAACAGCCTCACAGAGCAAGAGACTGACCTTGTGGCCGTGCCTACAGCCCCTCCCCTCCAATTCAACATGCGTTTCATCATCATCACGGCCCTCGTCGCCTCGCGGCCGGCCCTGCCTTGGCCCTGACGGTCGACTCGCAGGCCATCCAGGAGTGCGGCGCCCTGGGCGCCATGGAGATACCCGAGGGCGAGGCGCACACCCGGAGAGCTACCGCAAGTGCAAGGAGCACCCGCTCTTGCTGCTGGCGGGCGGCATGCCCACGACGCCGAGCGAGGACGGCGACGTGATGGAGGCCGAGGCGGTTGCGCTAGAGGTGCGCGCCGCCGACGCCGCCGACGCTGGCCGCCGCGTCTTCGCGCGCGCGTGCGCGTGCCTCAAGAGCGGCTCCAACATCGGCTGCGAGAAGGACTACTGCTGGAAGGAGTGCGGCCGGAACCGCGAGTGGTGCTGGCTGGCCGACAACGGGGGCACGGGCGCGTGGACGACGTGCAGAAGCGCCTTCCACTGCGCCGGCAAGGCCATCGGCAGCGACAAGCGCGCCGACTGCAGCCGTGGCAACTGCGGTGCCCGCGGGTGCAGCTGCTAGGTTCCGTCATGGTTGCGGACGCGGTATTCTGAGCTGTGGTCGGGGGAATGTTAAACCCGACTAGTCTCATCTGGTTCTTGGTGTCTTGATCTAATAGCTAGATGGCCCCAACCTGCCCGTCTAGGTACCTATCTTGCCCTAGAGATATCTTCTTGAATATATTTAAAGTTGCGCCCTGTGCAGCACACAACTCGCTGTCTTCATACTTGGCTCCTCCTTGGATTTTACCTGATTTCATGCAGCTGCGCCTAAGTCCCCGATTCTCCTATATGGGCATGTTTGGTACGCGGATAAGGGGGCAAGCTAAAGCTTCTACAAACACGACATCCCGCCCCATCGTCGTACCCACACGACTGCGCCGCGTGGAAGAGCGTACTGCTTTTCTCGGTATGGAGCAAAATGCCGTCGAGCAAACAACCAACGACCGCCCGCGCCGCAAAGTTTGCCCCTAAAAGCACGCCAACAAAGAAAGTCCGGCAGTCATGCTTGCCCGCTTCTGATTGTTCTTATCGACATGCATGGGTCGTGTGTGCCAGGCGGGCTGTCCCCGTCATTGTCTCATCTGAGTCCTCGCCCTCCGTCCTCCTCCCCTCGTGGTCTCGTCCTTTGTTGGTCGGGCTCGCTTGCGTCACCGGACCACACGCTCGATTCTTTTAAATTCCCCAGGCCTTTGAGAAGACGCCACCGCAGGCTCTCCATTCCTTCTCTCCTGCACTTTGCTTTCTCCATGGACTGGGAACTCTACCCCTAACTGCCGAACCCCTGGCTTAGCCGACCACTGAATACAAACCAGCCACGCAAGACAAAAAGCCAGCAGCCTCCATCCCTAATCAGCATTCTCCCAGTAAACATCACTACCAAGACAGCAGACTCGAACGTCCATCTACCATGAGACTCCACGTTGCCAAACTAGCCGTCCTAGCCTGGGCAGCGGCCACCCTCCAACCGGCCGCCGCCTTCTGGGTGCTCAACTGCGGCAACCCCGTCGTCGTCGACCGCGTCGACCCCATCACCAGCCCGGGCCGGGTTCCCTCGGGCCACGTGCACACCGTCATGGGCGGCGACGCCTTCTCGTCGGCCATGACGTACGAGGACGCCCTCAACTCGAGCTGCACCTCGTGCGCCATCACGGCCGACCTGTCCAACTACTGGGCGCCCGCCCTCTACTTCCGCCACCAGGACGGCAGCTTCTCGTCCGTGTCCAACTCGGGCGGCATGCTCGTCTACTACCTGCAGCGCGAAGACGAGCGGGACCCGCAATACGAAAAGGGCATCGCCGCCTTCCCGCCCGGGTTCCGCATGATGGCCGGCGACCCCTGGGCGCGCCGGCTCGTCGTCGACGTCGGCGACAAGGAGGCCCAGGCCACGCTGCGCGCCCGCGCCATATCCTTCGCCTGCCTCGGCCTCCCCCCCGGGGACCACGGCCTGACGTCGTTCCTGCCCAACCGCAAGTGCCCGGGCGGCCTGCGCGTGCAGGTGTCGTTCCCGTCGTGCTGGGACGGCGTCGGGCTCGACTCGGCCGGCCACCGCGACCACGTCGCGTACCCGTCCGACATGGACAACGGCGTCTGCCCGCCCTCGCACCCGCGGCGGCTCATGTACCTCTTCTACGAGATCGTCTACCGCGCCGACGCCTTCGACGGCGAGTGGGGGCCCGAAGGGTCGGACCAGCCGTTTGTGTTCTCGCACGGCGACCAGACCGGGTTCGGGTACCACGGGGACTTTCTGAACGGCTGGGACACCAAGGTGCTGCAGGACGCTATCGACGGCTGCCGCGGCGACATCCGCGGCGCGGAGGACTGCCCCGCGCTCAGGGACCACGTGCAGCCCGTCGCCAAGATGAACAGGTGCACCAAGCAGCAGGAGTACAAGGAGAAGGTGCTGGGAGAGAGCCTGCCGAGCCTGCCGGGCTGCAACCCCGTGCAGACGGAGCATCCGGCCTCGCAGAGGACCTGCGATACACCGAGCAACGGCACAAGAGCCGTCCCCGGCGGAGAGAGTCAATCTTCGGCTAACAGCCGGGAGACGCCTCTGTTGGGTCGGCTGGTGAGGCGGCTTGGGGGTCTCGGTCGATGGAGATTGCCTTCATGAGAGTTGAGCTTCAGTTTCTAATACCGCTACCGGCAGGCTGGCGCAGGCGTGGTTCTGTAAATAGGGGGCCAAGACTGATAATATCGCTGATGGAAACAGCCTAGACGTGACATACGGGGTGAATAGAATTTGCCGTCTGTCTCGATCCAACTCGCTCTCTCGTTCCTGCCTGCTTGCCAAAAGGCAAAAATGTCAACAACCTAACCCAGCGGCCCATAAACCGCCTTCTCCTTATCCCTCATCAGCCCGACCATGAACCACTCCGTGACCCAAGCCGGCACCACGCTCCGAAGCAGTCCCACCTGGACCGCGTGCGCGGGCCAGGGCACCAGCTCCCTCTGACCCCTCCGTGCCGCCCTCCCCGCCGTTGCGACCACGGCCCGCGCGAACTCCCGGGCCCCCGGCGAGCCCGCCGCCGCCGCCGTGTTGCCCTGCGAGCTCACGTCGCCCGGCACCACGGCCACAAAGTCGACCGCCAAGCCGCCACCACCGGCCGCCGCCGCCATCTCGCGCGCCAGCGTCCGCGTCAGGCACAGCACGAACGCCTTGCTGGCCGAGTAGGCCGCCACGCCGGGTATGCCGATGACGCCGGCGGCCGACGCCACGTTGAGGACCAGGGCGCGCCGCCGACCACTATTACCACCACCACCACCACCACCACCACCACCGCCATCAGCGACGGCGGCAATGAGGGGCGGCAGCGCCATGCGCGTCAGCCGCAGCATGAAGCGCGCGTTGAGGTCCAGGATCGCGTCCGCCTCGTCCGCGCCGTACCCGTCGAGCCGCCGAAAGGCCGGGCCCCGCGGGGCCGGCTGCCCGCCCACGTTGTTGACGAGCACCGTGACGTTGAGCGCGCCGCCGAGGACGGGGCCGAGCAGCGCCCGCTCCATCTCGGCGTTGGTGGCGGCCGCCGCGTCCATGACGACGGTGCGGACCGGGTCGCGGGGGTCGCTGTCGCTGTCGCTGTCGCTGTCGCTGTCGCTGTCGTCGTCGCTATCGCTGTCGCTGGAAGAGGAAGACGACGAGGGGACGAAGCCGACCTCGGCTCGGATCGCGTCCGCCGCCGCCGAGAGCTCCTCGGACTTGTGGCCCAGCAGCACCACCCCGAACCCGAGCAGCGCCAGCTCGTGCGCGATACCGAGCCCGATCCCCGCCGACGCCCCCGTCACGAGCGCCCAGGCCTTTGGGCCCTTGCCGCCCTTGCCCTTGCCCTTGCCCTTGCCCTTGCCCTTGCCGTCATGGTAGTAGTCGCGAGTGAGAGGGATCTTGGGGAGGAGCCAGAGCGCTGAAAAGTCGCAGAGCTTGTAGCCGACGTAGGCCGCCGTGGCCAGCCCGATGGTCTGGAGGATGAACCCAGCGGCGGCGCCCGCCCTGATTGGATAAAGTTTGAAACCGACAGGCATCATGTTACCTGGGGAGCGGCCTGTCGCCAGCCAGCTCAGCTCCGGTCAGCTGTCATCCAAACTTGGATATGAGCCGAGTCAAAGATGAGAAAAAGAAGGAACGGCACGGAGTGAGGGGTTCATGAGCCTTTTATACATTTTTCATCGTTACATTGCGCCTATCAGCTACCTGCCCTTGAGAGGTCGGCATCTTCCTACCCAGTAAATGCCCGATCCTGATAATATTGAACAGGAGCCAGAAATACCAAACCCCGACCACTGATTGAACAGAAAACTCGCTTTCCATCGTCGCTTTCCCCCCCCCTTCAGATGCCAGAACATGACCTGATGACCCCTTCAAGTACATGCACGACACCACTCCCACCATCTCATCATCCTCGTGGACCCCAAATGTAGTCCCCAGTTTGCCGCCGGGGGACGCCATAATCGATCTGGTTCCGGCACAGCGGGCACGTGTTCTGCGCGCTGGACTGGAACCACTTGAGCAGGCACGAGCGGTGGAACAGGTTCTTGCACGTCCCGCACCGCTTGTCCGGCAGCCGCTTGTCCGATGACACGAGGCAGTAGCAGATGGCGCACTCGCTCTGGTCCTTCATCATGGCCACCACGTTGCGCCGGAACGTCGTGATGCCGTCGATCACGCTGCCGTGCGAGAAGGTGATGACGCCCTGGGTCGTCATGAGCCACGACTGCCACTTCTTTTCCGTGACCGCCACCCGGTTCACCGAAATCACCGAGACTGGGTCGAGCGGGTACGACTCGGGCATCTTGATCGCGATGGCTGCTTCTTCCTCGTCCACCTGATACCCCACCGTCACCTCGCGCGCGCTCTTGTTGGTCTTGATGATGAGCTCCTTCTCGTCGTCCTCGGGTGGCTCCTGCTCGTCATTCCACTTGACCACCTCGTCTATGGTGTGGGCGACGATGAGTGGCGAAAAGTATCGCCTGGTCCAGGCCTCGACCGCGATCCTCGTCTGCTTCGACCGGCACTCGATGTACCAAGACTTGACCAGTCCGGGCACGTACCTCAAAGCCAGGTAGTAGACGTGCACAAACAGCCAGTGCATGTTCAGCTCCTCTGTCTCCGCCTCGGCGAACTTCATGTCGTACGACATGATCCTATCGGCCGTGATGTGAGCCTTTTCGAGATTGAGGGGGCGTGCCACCGAGTGGCCGAGCACGTCGAAGGTGAGGTCCAACAAGGGACCGAGCGAGCCGGTGGCCTTGAGGTTCTCGTAGTACTCGCTTCTCAGCCTGAATGCCGCTGCGCCAAAGGCGTCAAATATCACCACCCAGGTGAGGAGATATCCGCGCACCGGCGTCGGGAACCCAGCAAGTAGCTCGTCGTGGAACGTTTCCAGAGTTGGCGGGTCCAGCAGCAGCGAGAGAAGCTCGGCCGGCAGGTGCGGCTTCGTCTTCTCCAAGAGAATCTCTTCCGAAAGCCGTGCTTGCTCGCTGGGAATCTTCCGGTGAAGAAGACCGAAGGCGGCTCGCTGTATGTCCCTCGATGTGGCGTCCATTAATCCGTAGATGCCTCCAAGGTCCTTTATGTGCTCCAGAGGTATTCGCTCCGTTTGTCTGCAGAGAAGAGCGTTGACCCGCTCGGCTGGCTGCGACGTCGCGCCGTCCTCGAGCATCAGAAGTCGGAGCAGCCCTTCAGTCTTGTCCCCGGTAAACGAGATGATGGCATCGGCAAGGTCGTCATTGGGCTCGTCGAAGCCCTCAACCAGGCTGACCAATTTCAGCGATGCGTGGACGTATGGCAGACGACGATCCTCCGTTTCTCTCGCGGCCTTGTCCCAAAGGTGGCGACAGAAACCGAGGGCCTTCTCCCAGTGTGATCCGTAGACATCCTTGACGCACGGGAAGAGGTGACCAAGAGCGCGACAGCACTCCGTGGCCATCTTGCTGCCGAGGACATCGGGATTGTCGAACCACGACGTGATCTGCCTGACAGCAAACACGAGACGGTTGTTGGCCACCGGTGGCCCGTCTGCGGCGTAGATGGGCATACAGGCGTTGAAGAGGATGAGATTCAGAAGCGTCTGGAGAGAGTCCGGGCTCTTGGCGTAGGCTATGTCGCTGACGAGGCGATTCAGCATCATGCCAACGGCTGCGGATGAAGCCAGCAGCTCTCCATACCCCGAGAGGATGGCTGCGCAGGGCAGAATCGTGGCAGGTGTCGCGCTCATGGTGGCTATGCTTGTGACCCACAACTCCTGCTGTGAGGCGCGGAAGCCATGTCGCTCGGTAAGCATCCGGAGGATCTGTGCCAGCGCCCGTGCACTATAGACCGCGAGGGGCGATAGCGTTTGGGACTGGCCGATGAGGACCTTTACCAGTTCCCCAACAACGCCCTCTTTAGCCGGGACTCCACTCTGGCCGGGATCTGCGGCAGCGATGGTGTCGTTGATGATCCTGCGCGTCGACGAGACCAGCTCCTCAGCCTCTGCCAACTCTTCTGGCTGAGAAAGGCTTGCCCATAGCCTGTTCTCTTCCAGAAGCACAATCTGATCGGCAACGACATACTCGACCAGAGAGAGTAGGCACAGGAGCTCCACCTGGAATTCCTTGGGCAGAGCGGTGATTTTGAGATCCGAAGTCAGAAGCTTGGTCGTGTAGACCGCCATCCGAGCCGGTACCGAGAGCCCTTTCCGGTCACGGGGATGGTAGTGATGCTCGCGTCGGTTCGCCGATCCCAGAAGGTAGACGCCTCCCATATCGCTGGTTAGCGACAGCGATGGGTTGAGGCTGCCGTCAAGGAAAAGGATGAGTTGGTCGATCCACGCCGTTGTGCTGGGGAAGAGATCCTCCAGGGAGACCCCTGGCATCTGAGCCATCTTTGAGGCTTGATCAACCAGAGTGTCGACCCCAAGAGATGCCGGGCTTGCCTCCTCGAGGTTCTGCTGGATTATCCTAACGAGTGGAGGTCCGCCGTCCGCATGAGGCTCCAGGAGAAGTCTCACTCGCTCGGATTGGCTCGAAAGCTTCTGATCCGAGATCTCGGCCATTGACAGCAGCTTGGCAACCAAGCCCAGATGCAAATCGCTGCTGTCTGAGAGCAGTGTTGGCTTCCGCTGGGCAACTATTTCGAGCGCCTTCAGAGGAACTTCAGCCTCCGTCACAGGTTGGCCCTCGAAGATCGCCCAGAGACCCTCGGCAGTCTCGCTGGCCACCTCTGGTGCGAGGATGTCGAATGTGAAGCATGCCTCGAATAGCTCCCAGCTGTGATTTGCTCCTCGTGCGCACTCCAGGCAGTTGCGTTTCAGGTAGTCCTGGAGCGACGACTGTTGGCGTGCGAGCGGCGCGAATGCTTTCTGAGACAGCAGCTTGGCCAAATAACGGGTCGACACCGCTTGGTCTGGATGGCTCAGGAGGGAGCCTATTATCGCAGACAAAGCTGATTTGCAATAATCGTCCCAGCCATCGAGGTTGAAAAGGGATGCGAGGAAGGAGAGAAGAAATGGCGCAGAATCCGATGATAGCATCGTCTCCAGCGTCGCTTGGCTGTCGGTCGGGAAGAGACGCTCGAGGTCGGGCATCACCTCTTCGCGCTTCAGCAGGAAGGGGCATTTGGAAAGTGCAGCATCAAGGACCGAAGCAGCTCCGAACAGCTTGTAGGTTCCGCGTATGAGAACCTGCATAGCACCGAGGAGGAGTTTTGCTGCTGCTGGCGATGTGATATCGACAGCCACTTCGGCAGCTTCTTTTGCGGTGTTTGAGCTGGTCCTCTCGTGAATGCCACCAACTACAGAGTAGAAGCGAGTACACTCGTCGGCCAGAGTCTTTTGAGCCTTTTCGAAGTCTTCCGGCGCTTCAGAAAGCGAGCTCTGCAGATTCTCGACAAGCTGGTCCGAGATGGTGTTCCAAATCTCCTTGGCGACCTGGGTGATGGTAGGGTCTGACAGGCTAGACAGCATGAGCGTGGCGCGAACCGCAACGGTCAGCTGGGTTGTGGAGCGACTGGCGACTCCTTCGGTATGCACGTAGTCTTCAATCAGGGGCTGTATGTACTTGGTGGCAAGGTCGGACCGCAACTCTCCAGATGCGAGTTTCGGGGACAGCCGCCTGAACACAGACAGGTACGTAGACCAAGCGTCAAGGGCGGCGGTGGCAGGCTCGCTCCGGTTCGAAATACCCGTCTTGATGGACTTGAGAGTATCCGCAGCAGTCTCTGGCGTGAGGTTCTCCTGGGGCATAACGGCGATGAGCTGATCAAGGAACTGCCAGAACATCGACGGTGCGGCGCTCCCCTGGGACCCCTTCTCCAGGAGGACACGGAGTCTCGGCAGTGAGGGCTTCTTGGTCCCCCAGATTTCTGGGTGAAGCTTTGTCAAGCTAGCCAAGACTTTGACCAGATCTGTCGCAGACCCGGTCTGATCGCTCTTGACAGCCTCCGAGACGAGGAGCTTCCCGACCTTGGGGATATGTGCATCAAGGGCGGCTTCTTGTGTCTCCAACGCCAGCGAGAGGAGCTGGTAGTACTGTCTCCTAACAAAGGAGTCTTGGGAGGTCGCGGCGTTCCAGACGGCATCCAAGGAGAAGAACCTGTCGTAATCCTCCTGGTTCTTCTGAATCTCGGAGACGTCCAGTCTCTGCAGCAGCGCCATGACGAGAGACAAGCCTCCGCTGAGAACCCTGTGGTACTTCGCTTCGGAATCGTCCTTGGTGGTCGAGCGCTCGTCGCTCAGGCTGTCGGGCGTCTCTTGAACGGCCTCGATGGCATACTCGAGAATCTGCGGCTGGCAACGCCTCCAGAACTGAAGTATCTTCTCGTCCGTGTTGAAGAGAGACTGTAGTGCGTCGGTGGCGGCGCGGGCAACGACGCGGTCTTTATCGTATGTGCCGGCAAGCCATGGGCCGACGATCTTGGGGATGCGCCTTTCCATGCGCTTCTTTGCCGACTTCACGAGATCGAGCAGCAAGGAGTGGGCGAGCTCGCGGACGCGACGAGAGTTGTCGACGGCGGCGCGTGGGTATATCTGGACCCACGCGTCCAGCACAGCATCCTCGACGCCATCGGGGGCTGAGGCAGGCGGCTGCTGCTGGGCGTGCGATACCAGCTCCTCGAGGGCGCGGGCCTTGGTGGTGCTGTCCTTCTTGAGCACGTTCTTGAGAGACACGGCGACGTTGGGGTCCGAGATGGAGGACAAGTTGGGCGGCTCAAAGAGGTACGAGAGACGGCTCCCACCTGCCGATGACGAAAATGCGCCGAAGGGGCTAGGGGAGTGGCTGGAGAAGCCCTTGGCGCCACCTGCGGCGCGCGACTTACCCGAGAACCTAGTCATATTTGCTGGGTGGTTGAAGGAAGGCTTGTGCTCTGGCAGATGTGCTGTTCGAGATGTGGTCTGGGACTCAAGTTTGATTTCGAGGTAATGTTGATGTTTTCACGACACTAGGATTCGGCCGTGGAATTGCGGCTGCTGTCGGCCAGTCCTATACATCGGTAAGGAGCTATCTCCGTTCGTCGAGCCGCTGGACCGTAACTCCGCAACCTTAAAGTTGACGCAGCGCCCGAGGCTGCAGAAAGTTCTTTTCTTCTTTCCCCTTGCGCGCCGTGGTTGACGATCTGAGGCGCAAACTGTGTTCAACGTGTCCAGCCTTGTGTGACGTGATTTGGTGGGGTAGCTTGGTGGAGTGGCTCTTGAATGCGCGTGCGGGCTTCGCTGAACAAAGGCCGCCGCGGGAACAAAGGGTGTGTTTATTAACTAGCAGCCGCCGCCGCGAAGCCAGAAGACAACTTCAAATCAAGGTACACTCATCGCGCCGTCTTCTATGTGTTTTTCCCTCAATTTATCATGAGGCTGAGAACACCCCTAGGCTCAGGCAGATGCGCGCATAGCAGCTCATTCTTGCTGAATGGCGGGGTCACCGCCGGTGACTCAGCCGGGTTGGGCGCTGTCGGTGTGGCTTGGAATTCCAGCGGCGAGGCGCAGTCATGGTTTTGATTTTCGTATTCACTTTTCCTAGTACCACTCCCACGATCACTTCAGGTTTGCCGATCTAGGCAACTAGGCGCCTTGTAAAGTCACTTTGCTCGGTCGGCTTGGTTGCCTCGTCCAAAAGTCTGACTCGGCGTCAGAGAATCAGGCATATGTTCCAGGTTGCGCTACCTCCCATGCAAGTGTTCCATTGGTTTCTCCGATGCGGATCGCCATTAGCGTGGAGGAGTCGAGTTCTTTCAACCGCCGAGCCGTGGCTTTTTTTTTTTTTTTTTTTTGGCTTTGAGAGCCCGAGCGAGAGGGAACAAAGCGGACCCATCACGCTAGCTCAAGGTTCCCGTCGGGCGATCGCCGTCGTGATCACATTCTCTCGGCGATAGAGCAGAGGCCACGGGTCACTCGGAGCTCACCTCGGCGCTCTGCTTCTCATTGTATGGTCAGCCAGTGTACCCGGAAGCGGTGGGCGATCGCTCTTTGGCTGGCACGCTGCCTGTGAAAAGTCGGGGTTGCTCCGCCATCCAGAGCCCTGCACGCTGTATCACCAACGAATGCACCCTATTGATCGACTTGGCCATAGGTACCAATGGGTGGACGCGGTTTCGTAAGTCGGCTAAAGCGGGCCGGCGGATGGCGCCATGTGTGTCCCCAAGGCCAAAGTGTCAAACACCGTCATCATGCCCAGATCAGGTCACACCCACGTCTCTCATTCCGACTCACCAGCGCTTACAGACACTAATGGTACATGGTGATACACACATGCCTTTATTCTGGATGCTGTGTACTAAAGTTAGCACACAGTAGATCGGATCCAGCGAGAGGGAATTGATGAATCCGGCCGAACACTTGTCATCCTTCGTTCCGATCCTGATCTCCGTCTCAGAGTCCGGTTCCCTCGGAATAACAACAGCATGTCCCAAGCCGCTAGCAATCAACCGGCCACAGCACATGGCCTTTGGAGAGTCAGACCAGTCAGGCAACCCGCGGCATCAGGGATCACGCAGGGCCCCCGTCAACCCCCTGCACGGCCAGCCGTCGTGGTGGAGCCAGAGAGCACCTTTCGGGCCAAGTCGGCGCCTCTCCCTGGCTTATCTCGATTCCCCGCAGGTCGGCCGACGTCATAGTGCATCCCCAAGCCTGCAGGGAGCCAATCCCAGTGAGGATCCCGTGCTCGGGACCCACGGCGGCCCTCGCGCGGCGCCCCGGTTGGCTTCTGATGGGATGGATCGTCATGATGTTCCTTGTCGTAGCCGGTTGGCAATGCACACCTGCGCGTTTCGCCAATGCCCCCAGGGGTTGCCGCCCTTCTTGCCGTCTGTTCCACGCTTGTGCTGTTGCTCGTGTTGCCTTCCTCTTATGTACACACATCTGCCGCCGCTAATCCCCGGATTCTGATTTACACTCATCCCCCACGCTTCTTCTCCCTCCATCTTCAACTTCCACCTTCCCAGCCAGTGGCTGGCATCTACTCGCATTCCTCATACCCGGCACCTCCCGGCAGATCATATCCTCCAAAACCTGCTGGCAACGGGCGTCTTCCTGCCTTTCATGCTACCAAGACCTCTCGGTCCATCACAAACCTCCTTCTCCTTTGACACTGTAAGTACTCCTGGTTCCGCTTGCTCGTCTCACTGACTGGTTATTCTCCAATCAACTGTTTATACACCCTCCCCTCTCTAATCTAGTGTTTCCACTTGTGTACACCCATCAGTATGTCTGTTGGAGTAATATGTAGCATTGGATATACAATGTCTTTATTCTATATTGTGCACCATCGCCTCGTAGGCTTGGCAGAACCATTAACCACTTACACATGCCTCTTAGAGTCGGTAGTCCTACTGGTAGTATGAGCCTGTAGAGCCATCCTCCACCATGTTGACCAGTATCGCCTCCTCGTCGCGCCCTGCGTGCTCCATACACGTCCGCGCCGCCGGCATCCGCTCCCTAGCCCGGTCGAGCGCCGTCTTATTACGCTCACAGGACCAAACGCGTGGCATCCGCCATGGGTCCCGCGGCCCGTACTTGGACCCCGAGTCTGCCCAGGAGACCACGAGTCAACGCAACAGGCTCAAGCAGCTGGAGGCCAAGAACAGGAAGCTGACTTGGGACAAACATCCGGATGCCTTGCCCGTCTGCAAGATCGAGAAGCGCATGGCCAGCCACTACCAGCGCGCCCAGAAGCCCGATGCCCTGAGCTCGAGTGCCGGCGAGACTGCTGGGTGGACTGGTGACAACATTGAGGCCGTGGAGCGAGGCGCGCTGGAAAACCTCCTGTTCGGCCAAAAGGACAGCAAAGCCTCCGCAGCCAGCCAGCCCAAGGCAGCCTCTGCCACCCAGAAGGCTTCGGTCAAGACGATGCCACAGAGCGTACCGCAGTCCACCTTGGATCCCGAGTGCATCATCGATCCCATCACGAACCGCAAGGTTCTCAAGTCGGCGACCAAGGCCTCGCCGCCAGAACACAGCCCAGTTTTCGACACGGACATGCCTGCGACCTCTGAGGAATTGAGGCAATACAGTCAGGTCAAGATTGATGACGACGGAAAGAGACGCGTCATCCACCAATCCAGCCATAGTGGCGTGTTCTGGCACTGGGACAGCGGCGTCAAGGTGGCTGGCGTCGAGGCATTCGCCGAGATCGTCAAGACCCATGCGGTGAAGCGCAGCGTCAACGGCCTCTCAGCTACACTGGCCAAAGAATCCGGGGAGAAGGAGTACACCGACCTGAACAAGTACAAGCCCATCCTTGAGCCTGAAGCGCCTGCCCAGCAGGATGAGGCACCTCAATACGAGGATCTAGACAAGTACAACCCAGTCATGGACAAGAGGACGCCTGTGGCCCAGGATCCCTCGGCTCAGTACAAAGACCTTGACCAGTACAATCCCGTCATGGAGAAGCGCACGCCTGTTCCCGAGGATCCCTCGGCTGCGTACGAAGACCTCGACAAGTACACGCCCGTCGCGCACAACGAGCCCGACGGCAAGCTCGAGTCGCCCTTCGAGAAGGAGACATACACGGACCTTCCTCAGTACAGTGCCGTCATGTACAATGAGCATGACGGAAAGCCACTGGACTACGTGGAGTCGTCATACGACCCTACCGAGCTGGCCCAGTACGGTGCTTTCATGTACAATGAGCCAGATGGCAAGCCACCACCAGCACAGAAGCCCGCCGAGTATACGGATCTGAACTTGTATGGGAAGGCTGTCAGGTATCAGGAGCCCGACGGCAAGCCGGCTTCAGCGGCCAACGAGAGCCAGACGTACGATGACCTGAACGAGTACGGCCCTGTCTGGCATCTTGAGCCTGGCGGAAAGTCACTCGAGGCTCTAGCTGCCGAAGCCGCAGCCTCCCCCAAGCGCTACACCGACCTCGGCAATTATGAAGCCGGCGTGCGGTACCAAGAGCCAGACGGCAAGGCGCCTCAGCCGGCCGACGCGGTCGTTGCGTCCCTGGGCAAGCTCGACGCGATCCAGGAGCAGAAGGGCCTGCCCGTCTATCCCGAGCCCACGGACGAGCAACGCCACGCGGCGGAGCTCGAGCGCCTCCGCGCGAGCGAGGCGCGCGACGAGGCCGCCGTCCACGCCCTCGGTGTGATCTCCGAGGCCCCCCGACAGGACCCCAGTGGGAACTCTGCTCAGCCGCAGCCGTCCGGCCTCGCCGCCGAAGTCCTGAACAGTAAAGCCCCCACGCCCTCCTCCGTCCCCCCGTCCCCGCGAGGCCCGTTTCGATCCCGACTGACTGGTCCCCAAAGGATACGCGCCGTCCTCGACCCCTTCTCCAGAACTCCGCAGGGCCTAGAGACGTCGTATGCAGACGAGTGCGCTGGCGCGCCGACCTGGCCGACCTTTGTCAGGACGTACGGCGAGCCCGCCGCGTCCGCGCCCGTCACGCCCCCGGCCGCGCCGGTTCAGCAGCCAACAGTATACAGGATCTTGGCCTATGATCCGGCGACGCAGGCGGTAACCACTGCAGAACTCACCTCGACCGTGCCCGACAGCTCCGCCGCGCTGTCCCCTGGCGAGGCCCTCCTCAAGCTTTCCCGTCCTGCCCCGTTTTTTCCTTATTTCTCACGGCTCCAGCAAGACGGGTTCGAGATCGCATCCGGCAGCGGCGACATGCTCATCTTTCGTAAAACCCAATCGCCCATCGCCGCCAACACCTCGGCCTCGCAGGAGACAGAGCCCCAATCGGCGCTAGATGCCCCATCGGATGCCCTCCCAAGCGTCAACCCCATCGACATGACGGGGTCACAGCCGTTCATCTGGGAGCCCGCTTCGGCCAAGTTTGCGTCACCGACGGGCTACGTCCGCTATGAACCCGAGCCGGCCGTCGACTGCAGGCCGCCTCCTCCCCGCACCCATCAGCAGCAGCAGCAACAGCAGAGTAAGCCCACTCCCAACAGCGATGGTTCCTGGCCGTCAACGGCTCCTGGTGCGCGTCCGGCGGACGAGCCTGGCCAGCGCCGCCAGCCGGCCCGGCTGGCCAAGCGGGTGGTGGTGGGTGCGACGTGGATCGCCGGGGTCTCGTACGGCCTCGGCGTCGTGGCCGACTATTTCAAGTCCGGCGGCGCTGACGGCAAGGGGCCCACTCGGTTCTAACTCCCGTCTGCCGGATGCTCGTCTCGCTCGTTTCTTTTCTCTCTCCTTTTCTGGCATCAAGCTTTCTGCCTCGGGCTTCCCCGTTGCAACACCTTTCGTTTCGTGCCAACCCCTCTTCCTGCATTGCATTTTGGATGGATCTTTGGGGCATATTCGCACACGTGATCGTCATCACTCGAGGCGAATCTGGAGCATGTCATCATCCTTCCTGTGGTATCGCGTTTCTGTTTACTCTCGATTCCCCCTTTTCTTGCATACACACATTTGATATCCCGGCGTTTCTGGCATTGGGCGTGGTTCGCATATGGCATGGACAGCATTTCCAGCAACATTCGTTTTTTGCTCATTGAATACCATTGATGTTAGGCTATGTACTGAATTATGATGCTATGCTCTCCGTAAAAATTTTGTGTTGGGGGAAGCTCTGTGTCGACTTTTAGGGTCGGGTCTCTGTTAGTGGATACGTGAGTAAAGGTAGGTAGGGTGAACAGATGACGTCTTCATGTGCTGCATGTGGGGGAGACTTCTTTCAACCGGTGGGAAAGGTGCAGTGAGAACAATCTGGACCACAGGGTGCAACTGGATGAATAGGCCATGTTGCCTGTAGGAGAGGGTGCTTGCACCCACAACACCATGTTCCGCGTAACAGCAACCGCGCAGTGATTCCAACCTCGCCCCACAATGAGGGCCCAGTAGGATATGAGCGATATGAGTGCATGTCGACCCAAAGCACAATGAAAAAGAAGGGAGAAACAAAGGAACAAGACCACAAGACGCAAACAACATGAGCACGAGTAGCGGTTCCGATGACTTCTTCTTCACTGGGCAGCACCGCGTTCGCTGAATCCAGGCCCGGTCTTGACGTCGGCGATGGAGCTCATCTGCAGCGAGTGCTTCTGCTCCTCTCGGTTCCAGCTCTGGCGGCGGTCCATAGCGGGCTTCCAGGCCTCGGCGGCGGTCCGGGCTCGCTCGGCCGCCTCGCCGTCGAGCGAGTCGCGGCGGCGATGGTGCTCCGCCGTGGTGCCGGTGGTGGGGGAGACGAGGGCTTCCTCCAGGTCCGCCGACGCGGCGAGCGCCTCGGCCGTGCTCTGGCGGCGGGCCTTGGGCGTCGTGTGGGCCTGCTGCTGGGCGTTGGCCGAGGTGGCGGTAGAGCTCGACATTGTGACAGTGGAGGTGGTGGGGGCTGTGGTTGTGGTGGGGTGGTCGAGGTTGGCGGCGGCGCTATTTGGGTTTGGCCTGATGGCGAGCGGGGAGGACTGCTGCAGCCGGGCGGTGGTGTTGGGCATTCACCGATTCTTTGGAGGGTGGCCTGTCTCGTTCAAGGGTGGGTAAACTGAAAATACGTTGGGACTATGATGAGATTGACGATGAAGCAAACAATCCGTGGCTTGGGTGGTCTCGAAACAATGTAGAGATTCTGGGTGTGTCTGGATGCTTTACAAATTGCGAGGGGACGTGAACTGAAATACCACTGTCTTGAAACCCCCAAACCTGGACTGCTCCTGCTGCTCCGTCATGAGTCTCGAGGTCTGATCTATTACGCAGTCGCCACCAGCCACCACTCTCATCAGCTGTTGTCGCATGTCCCCCGTCCACTCGGATCAGGGCCAGGACGCAGCATCGTGCGGGGTAGGGAAGCCGCGCACGAGTGAGAGGAAACGCCTGAGGGGCAGGCAGGCTCAACTGCGGCCTCAACTGGCCCGACGCTGTGTCTTTCGATCTGCCCACGTTAGCTTCCCGCCTTCCCACTACCACCGAGTGGCCGAATACGGATGGCGTGCAGGCACGGTGTGGCTGCCGTGGGGCTGCTGCAACTCGGCTGAAGTGGCAGCCAGTCGGGGGAGGGAGCACGAGATGGACGTCGCTGCTGATTCGGCCAGTCTCTTTGTCGTTCAAGTCAAGCCAGACTGCCCGGCAACGGCTCGCGGTGGAAAGGGGCGATGGGAGCTTCGGAAAGCGGCGGGTGAGACACGGTTTAATAGTTTATTTTGCTGGCGGTTGCGACCAGGGGCTGGACTGAAGAAAGCGCACAAAGACACGACACGAATAGAGCAAAGTGGCTCGGCTGGTGACCTAATGCAGAACACGTCAGTGCTGATGGCTTTTTTTTCTTTCAAAGTTGGACCCAGGACCATCTTATTCATTGCACATCTCGTCGCGCGGAGTGACGCGTTGGGATATAAAAAAAAATTCAAACCCTTGCGTTGAATGTGGGCTGGGGTCCGCCGCGAAACGTGGATCTGATCGTTGGTTCGCCGATGCCTGACATGATGAGCCACGCCCGGGCAACGCGAGATGAGCACGGCTTTTCGTCTGTGGGCATTCATAGCGGCGGATTGGGTGCTTTCATACCCACCTTCATATGTTTTACCGGGTTACTTTGATACCACCATGGCTGCAGCATGCCTCTACATACAAACAATCAAGCAATGCTAAGCTTGTAGTGTGGTTTGGCAAATCCTCGCTGCAAGGAAATAAAGCCCAACTAAAGGCGTTTAGTAGCGCCGCCCCGAGCTCTCAACTGAGCCGGTGCCCGGACGACGCACCTAGTCTCGCGGGCAGGGCAGGGTTCGGGCAGGCAGGGTTCGAGCGTGGAGCAGCTAAATTGGCCGATCGGAACTCCGTTTTCTGCCTTTGCCTGGCACTCGACATGGAGTCGGTTCTCGGGCCACGGCGCAGCGCGTGCTCTTCAAACATTGAACCTTCATTGTTTAATCCATTCTCGAGCATGTGGACTGGACTTGTGGGCAACGCGGCGGGCAGGTGGGGTGGAGCAACGACGCGGTTTTCTGGTGTTGGTGCGTGATTTCAGTGGGAGGCTGGCTATGACATGCAGAGACGCGCCGTCGTGCCTGCTCCATCGCCAATGGGCGCACTTGGCTGCCGCGGAAAGCAGGGAACGGATCCCAAGTAAGCCAGACGCAAGTTTTGATGCTCGTGGAGCCGACTGACCGACTGAACTGGGCGGTCAGCTTGCTCGGAAGAAACCGAGAATATCAACAGGCCAAGAAAAGGGGAACGAGAATGGAGAGCAGCAGAATAAATAAAAAAGCAAAATATCACAGACAGCAATCTGGAGGCACACACGCCCGCCCGGAAGGTTCAAACTAAATATACGTCATGGGCCCAGCGTTGGCGTGGTTTTAGCACGGGCTGTTCGTTTTTCTTGCCGTGTCTGGCTCAAAATGGCAAAATGTCCCCACTAGACGGCACAAGGCCTGGCGGTGTTGCGCCCCAGTGGGCTCCTCCTGGCAGCGCTGGGGCCAGGCCTGGAGCCACGCGCGACGCCCTGCAACTGGCTCGCTAAATTACACCCAACCCACTTGCACGCCAAAGACGCGCTTCTCGTGCAGCCGAGATCGCGTCTGGCTCGACATGGGCCCAAGACTGGCAAAGTGTGAGACGGCCACACGGTCACCGCGAAACCTCGTTCCTTGTGTGCGTCCCGTGCCTCGCTTTAAATCCCAAAACTCCCCACAACGCCCAATTCCTGCCCTGGGCCTCTTTTGAAGAGGCCATCTCCGTCCTATTCGAGAAATCTGTTTTCAGAAGGCTGAATATCCAGATATCCCTTTTCTTCTTCTGTGCTCCTCTCATCGTCCCATCATCCCCTGGTACCGAGACCCTGCCTTCCCTGCCTTTCCCTGCCCTGTCTCCTGCCTCGACCACTTCCACGCCCGGTGCGGTAGGGGGAGAAGTTGGCGGCAGTGGGATTGAAAGAAGAAAACATTCAAGCAACGCGACTTTCTTGCTCACATCTCGCCCTGGCCTGGGCGGCACCTCGGCTGGCGACGGAGGCGGACAGCTCTCTCAAGCCTCATCTCTGTGAGGGCCCTACCTGGCCGTGTATACTGCCACCATTGTTCACCATTAGCAATGGACTCCTCGCCCACCAGGACCATGGCTGGGACGAAGCGCCGGGCCGCTTCGCTCCTGCCCGCCTTCGAGCCCCTGTCGCCGTCCCCGGTCCGGCCTCGGCCGGCCAAGCGACAGGCACGAAACAATGGCGCCTACAAGTACCCGACGCCCGTGCCGACCTCGAGCACAGGCATCATGTCCTCCTCGCCGCCCCGCGGTGGCCCGCGTCCGTCTCTGCAGCGGACCGCCTCGGTCATCTCTGAACGCGCCCCGCTCGCCTCGGTTCCCACTGTCGAGCTTAACGAGAACGGCGAGGCCCTCCTGATGGGCCGATCCAGCAACTCGTCCCACTATCAGCTCTCCGCGAACCGCCAGATCAGCCGGGTACACGTCAAGGCCCGCTACATCCCAGCCATGCATCACCTGGACCCTAACAAGGTCGAGATCGTGTGCGAGGGATGGAATGGTCTCAAGTTGCACTGCCAGGGCCAGACCTGGGACCTGGGCAAAGGTGACATGTTCGAGTCCGATTCCGAGTCGGCCCAGATCATGATCGAGGTTCAGGACGCCCGAGTCCTGATCCAATGGCCCAAGCGTGACCACCACGAGTGCCTCGGCAACCTGTCGGACTCGTCCTGGGACGAGTCGCCCACCCGCGCTCCGCGCGGCTACGACCTGCCGTCGAGCCCCCTGTGCAGGAACAGGCTTATCCGGTCTCCCGAGTCTCCGTCCCCCTCGAACCTGCCCTCCATCGCCACGAACCTGGGCACCCTGCTGTCTGGACCCGTCAGCGGCGGCTCGGACGGCGAGCAGATCCAGATATACGAGGACGCCAGCGGCGACGACGAGCCCGAGCTGCCCAAGCAGCAGCCCATGGCCGATGCCAACGCCAGCTTCATGACCGAGGCCACCCAGAGCTTCTCCAGCGATCTCAGCGAGCCCGTGTCCGACGACGACGAGCAGGAGCAGCACAATCCGGACGAGGAGAACGACCCGATCGTGCACTCGTTCGGCCCCTTCGGCGCGAACCTGTCCAACCGCATGGCGTCCATCACGGCATCGAGCCCCAAGATGCGCACCCCCGTACTCGCCCCTCCCCACATGCGACGATCCGCCGCGAGCGGCACCAAGGCCCTCGCCGATAAGATCGTCTCGGCCACCGGTGCCCTCTCCACCGTCGTCGCCACCGCCTCCACCACCTCGAGCAGGACCGCCAGCGCCGGCAACAGCCGCAGCGCCAGCCGCAGCGGCGACAGTGAGTCCCGCAAGCGCGTCGACGACGAGACCCCCGCCCCCGAGACGACGACTGCCACCGCCGCAGAGCCCGACCTTGCTGAGTTCGACGTGCAGGCCATAACCAATCACGTGGCGAACCAGCTGGCCTACTCGCGGCTCTCGTCGACGCCGCTGTCGGCCATCATGGCGCAGCTGCCCGCGCTCGAGCGGCTCGACGGCAGGCTCACAAAGGCCTGCCTCCGCTCCATCATCGAGGCCGTCCCCTGCATCGGCACCATCCCGCGCCAGGGCAAGGACGCGGCCGGCAAGCCGCTCGAGAGCGAGTACTACTACGTCCCCGAGAAGGACGACGACGAGCTGCGCCGCCTCGCCGTCACGGACGGCATGAGGAAGCCCAGCCTGAGGAACTGCAGGAAGCAGCACAAGGTTAGTTTCTCTTATTCGTTGAGCGTTGGGTGACGTGCAGCACGCTTTACCCCGCCTACCCAGTCAAGGCACGCAATCAAACAAACCTCTTTGCTGACCTTGTGCCCACTCCTGTACAGCAATACTACTGGAAGCGCCCCAAGACCCCTTGAGCTGCTTGTCATACCGAAACCTAAGGGCACCTCGGTGCCACGGCCCAACCCAAATACCCACCTATTCATCCGGACCCGAGATTTAACTCGCAAAAGATTGGGGCAAAAACGGAGTTATCAAACACGGGCAGTTGCTGCCATCCTCTTTCGCGAGATGAATCCTCTCCTCCATTTCTATTCATCATCAACGCAATTGTCGTTGCATCTGCGTCCCCTAGTCATCATTTCTCCTTCCTCACTGTCACCTTGCCAACCTCCCTCGTTTCCTTGCCAGCCACCATATTGGTATACCTTTTTTACTTGCCCTGTTCTGCATAGCGTTAGGCGTCACTATTCCCCCGGGCTGCGACGTGTTTCTGGGTCCCTCTCGTTTCCTTTGTTATTTTTTATTTTTTTTACGTACTCGTCTCTCTCACCACTGGGCTCCATGTATGGATATTTCGTTTGGGCGTCTGGGGGAGCGAGGGGCTTTTAAGGGGTTTTCTTGGGCGGGCAATTCCTGTTTGTTTGGGACCTGATCGGTGGCACGAAGAATACCCAACCCCCCTGGCACCACCTTTTTACCGGTAGGCTGTTTTCGTGATGGTTATATTGGTCGAGGATGCAGGTCGCAATTCCCACAATCTAAGCTGGCACCACAACTCTTCACCTGGGGGTTATGAATCACCTTGCACCCAGAAAGACGTATCTTGTGATCGTCCCTTGACATGAGCCATTCTCCGGCATAGCATAGGTGATATTTCGGATGGGACGGTAACCTGCTGCATTGCAGTCAGCCTAGCCTGTGATCTTGTGCTCAAAGGGGCCCGCCAACTCGTCCCCGGTCCAACCACATGGCCCATGCACTTGGTTTAACCTTCCCTACCAAGATCGACAACCCGCTCGGTGAGCGGTCAGACGGGCAGCGTGGCAGATCGGATACTACTCACGAACAGTCTTCCTCAAGAAACCATGTAATGCTAGCAGTTGCGGCAACCACCAGATGCACATTTTACGGTAAATGTCGTCACACAAGGTTGACGGGTTTCATTCGTGAACCTAGGGAGATCTAGCGAGGAGGAGCCCGAGGGCGGTCGCTGTGCCGTTCTCGCCGCCGATGTCCCCCTCGTGGCAGAGGGCTCTGGTACACCTCGAGCATGTTCCCTGGGCTTATAGTTTCTTTCCTCCGTGTGGTGAATGACTCCATCGCGCCTTGACAGTCTGTGGCTGACGGACATGCCTCCATCGATATATATATGACGCGTCTGAAACTCTGTTCACGCGTGGCCACAATGGGCTGCCTTGTGAGTGATGCTCATATTTTCTTTACATGTGCTAGTGTACCACGATATCAGAGCGTTTCACCTTTGATGTAGACCCCTATCCGTGACTCGGTTCCCTATTGACAAAGTCTCACTCATACAAAGACGATTCACGTCTATTCCTTCTCTGTTTACACTCTCTGCCATTCACAATAATTGGAATCACGATATTCGTACACGGAGAATGGCACATGTACATTTGTTTCCAGTTGTGACTAGCGGCCACGCCGAGCTAATCTGGCTAGCACAGGCAACCTGCCAGGGCCACGCGTTCCCAAGTCTGGACAGAGCTACCAAAACGACCACAAGTTCCGAGGGTGCCCGCGGAATGACGGCGGGCACCAAGATCAGAAAATGCCGATAGTAAAAAGCAGAAAACGCCAAACCATGGGTCATGAAAAACATGCCATAATATGCATACACAAGACAACAACAACAAGAATTACGAGCAGCCCCTTACCCCAGCCGTCATGAACTCCGAGACATGGACTGGCCCCCGAGGTCCCCAGACTCGGCCAGCAGCGCCGTTCCGTCGGACCCGCCGCTCCCGGCCCTGTCCCGCGGCGGTGGCGGGGCGTAGGCGACGTAGGGAGACGGCGACGTCGCCGGGCCGTTGGGCGGCGAGCCCGGAGGCGACAGGGACGGCCCGTAGCTGAAGCTGCCGCTGCGGTAGGGGCTGTACGCCGAGTACGCACCGCCGCCACCGCCGCCCCCCTCCTGATCGTCCTCGGGCACGGGCAACAAACCCCTGGAGCTGGCCCAGCTGACGCAGCGGGTGGTGCCCGAGGGCGACAGGGCGTCGAGGGCCGAGAGGCCGCCGTCACTGCCGGCGACCATGGAGCGGCGCTTGACGTACTCCTCGAACTCGGTGCTGCGCTCGTGCGAGTACGGCTCGCGCGGGGGGCTGGTGGCGACGGCGGCGCGGGGCTTTGCGACGTCGAGGCCGCTTCCGCCGACGTCGAGCATGGTGAGGATCGAGGACCCGCCGCTGGAGACGCGCCGTGTGGACCGTGTGGACCGTGTGGACATGGACCGGGCGCCGGCGACCAGGGCGCCGGCGTGCTTGGAGACGGAGCCGGAGCGCGAGCAAGAGCTGCCCAGGCTCGCGGTCTGGGACGGGTACGAGGTCTCACTGCCGTTGTGGTAGAAGTCGTCGCCCAGCTCGAGCCGGCTGTCGTTCGGCAGCGTGCTAGTCTTTGGCGGGGTGCTGAAGCCGTACGACTTTGCGTTGACGGCTGGCTGGTAGTCACTGTATTTCAGGTGCCGTCGGTACACGAGGATGGAGTATATCGTTGGGACAGTGGTGGCAAGCCTGCGAGGCAAAGGAGCGTTCTGTTAGTCTTGTATACTCGGGGGCGAAAGAATGGAGGAGCGTGGTCCGCGTACAGTAAACCGCCATCGATGCCCAGCCCGATCAGGGCGTATTTCCCCTCCAGGTTCTGCAGGTGCATGGCGACGTCCAGGCCGAGGACCGCAAACGCGAGCACGGTTTTGATGATGTGCGAGATCAGCATGGCCAGAGGCGTCAGGGTCTCGGTCACGAGCTTGGCAACCTCGCCGAGACACAGGCCGAGAGATACAAGCGAGAAGCCGACGTTGCAAACCTCCCATCTAGGTTCGAAGCATGTCAGCTTCTTTTTGTTCGGCTCCTCTAGAAAGCATCGCTAGCTGGCGGCAACGAGGCAGAGAGGTAACCTACACTATCTTGACTGTTGACACGTTTTCCTTGGTTTCCTCGTCCTTGAGAAGCTCCGATGTAGCGACCAGTTGATAGGAGAAGACGCCCATCAAGCCAAGGAGAAAAAGGATCTGCAAGATCCAAAATGGCACCAGCAGGGCGAGACGCCACCTGGCACGGTCAAAGTGCCCTTGTTCTCTGTGTTTGCCCATTCTGAGCAGTTTTTTTGTCGATGGTTGTTGAGTTTTAGGTTTGCCTCCGAGTATCTCTTGCTTGGGACGAGACACAGAACTGCTCGAAAATGTGAGGTTATGGGAGTATGGCGAGTTACCCGGCATGAGGCTGCGATGGTACTATGGCAAGCTCATGTTCTCGACGGGCGACCAATATGTGAGAGAACCCAGCGCTTGCTAGCGGAAAGTATGCCGTGATGGACAGCCAGTCAAACCGACACGTCCCGATTTGTCCCAAGCCTTTTGTGATCGACAGGTCTGGGGGGTAGCATCGGAGCGGGAAGGGAGAGGAAGAAATAATAAAAAATAGCCAAGACTACACCACGCAAGAGCCCGCTGGGGTCCTTGTCCCAAGCGTGCAGCCACATGGACTAGGGAGCACAACAGTCTGGGAAGGAAGCACAGGATAGTTCGTGCTCTTCACTTCACAGAGCCCGCTAGCAGCTCAGCCCCTCTTGGGCTGGCGCCGAAGTCCTGATCTAGCACATGCAATCCCGAGCCTAGTGCGGGCGGATGGGGGGTACCCAAGCCACATGCCGGAGCCCAGCAGGCAGGCTGTAGTCCTAATGCCGTGACCACGTCCCACGGGCGCGGGGCGTGGAGTCCAAGAGCGAGCGGTGACGCGGGAACGGGAAAAGAAAGAGAGAGAAAAAAAGCCAGAAAAGACAGCAAGCAAGGGAGGCAAACTGTGTGCTGGCTCTCAGCTATTGGTGGGTCCGTTTTGCGTCCCTACGCCATCGTCAGAGCCTGCCCCCCGCTAGGCCGGGTTTAGGATAGGCTGGGTAGGCGCCAGCCTGGATTTCCAAGTCTCTGCCGGCATCTCGTGGGCGGCCGCTTGAGTGAGGATTGGGCGCGGCTGAGCGGCTGAGGTGCAAGTGCCCAACTTGGCATGTGGGATTCCTTTTGTCCTGGCGGATCGGGTGTGATGCGATGCGGTCGACCCGGGCCTGAGCGAGCAGATTATGTCAATAATCCAGCGCCTTTGTTTGGCCTGCATTCCCTTACATTACCCTACATTCATCCCTCTGTTTTGTTGGCGCACTCAGCAGCAGGCTCGGAATCTTCCGCCCCTGCATAAAAAAAAGGGCTCATCCGTAATAGGTCAGTAACAGCCAACGCCACTTATATATGTGTAGCTGCTGCAACCAGGTCGTTCCTAGTTGGCCAAGTAGAGAAAGTCGTTGGGCCGTCGATGCCACAGCAAGCGCGCGAGCTGGGCAGGCCTTGGACAAACGAGGGTCAAGTGGAATCAGAAGCTCGGATTCCGTCCGCATGCTCGCTCCCGCAGGACCCGCCTGGTGGTCAGGACGAAGCGGATGCAGCACCGCCCAGCCCTGTTGTACTGCAGTCATGGCCTCCTCAACAACGAGGAGCAGCAGCAGCCAACAGCCCACCCTGTGCTGTTGCTCCATTGTCTTTTGGTGACCCATCAAGGTGCATATGTTGTGCCCGTCTGTGTGGTGGTAGTGCTTCTGCCGTCGCCGCTTTGGGATGTGCGTTTGCACACCGCGCGCCAAACCCACGCCGAGCCCGGGACGTGGCGTTGACAAAGCGACTTCCTCGGTCACCGAACTCGCGCAAGACACAGGCTCGCCGAGGGGATCGTGCCTCTTTTTGTGCCATTGGTTGTGCCATTCCTCCCAGTCAATGCCGAATTTTCTGGTCAAGTTCTAGGCAGCTGAAGAAATGATGTTTGTGAAGGAGCTGGGGATGGCGTGACGCTGTTGAATCACCCATTGTGGAAGTGAATCGGCAGCCAGTGTGCCACCATAATCGAGGCTGAGCTGAGGCAGCTGTTCTCCATTTCCACATCACTCTACCCGATCCTTGGGATTGTTGCTGCTAGTCACCCGGTTCCATATCAGCCAGCTTGGCATTTGACGGACACAAAGCCAAAGTCGACATACCAGACTGTGCGTGTGGTCTGAGCAAAACAAAACAGCGGAATGGGTCATTGGTCCTCATCGTTACCCCAACCAGGCCTCAATGAGAATGATTGTCTCCCCGACCCAAATAGGTGGAGCTGAAGAGCTGACCCACCAGACCCTGCCAGGGGCCTCAAGTTTGGGGCAAGAGCTCTCCAGCCCCGGCCCGGCGTTTGCCTTGGGGCGTGGGGCGCCGCCCCCTTGGCAGTGGGTCCAGTTTCTGGCTACCTACCATCTGCGAGGGAAATAAACAATAAAAACCCACCTCCCAACAGGGGGGTTAAAACTGGAGATCACAGGGGTGGCTGAAGGGGGGTCACGTGCTGGCATGAAGATACTGCCATTTTGAAGTTGGTGAAAGAAGGAGAGAAATCGAGAAATGCTTTCAAAGGACGAGAAATTCTTGAAGTCTCGTGACATCCCCGCGAGTCACCACGACCCTGCGCTTTCCAGTTCCAACCCCCCTGTTAACCCCCTGTTACTGGGTGGGTTTTTATTGTTCAATTCTCTCGCAGATGGTACGTAGCCGTGACCCCTGGCCGCCACCTTTTCTTCGGCATCCGGTCTCATGTCTTTTTTAACCTTGGACCAGGATCAGGCCTCGAACAGCCCTCCAGTCTTTCCTCCCGCAGACTTGTTCGCAATATTCGTAATCACAGACATCATTTTCACAGACGGCAGATTTGTACAGACAGTTGAAAAAGAATCGGCTGCAGGCGAGCTGCAAAAAAAGAAGTGTATTCATAACGGGCAGTTTGTCTTGTGTTGATCCGCCCAGAGCGAAAGGCAGGACTCTCCCGGAAGGCCCGGGTAGAGCCCCTGCAAATCCCTCAAAATCATTGCTGGCTCAGATGTCTCCCTCCCCAGCACAGCCAGAGCCAAGTTGACTAGATGGTGGCGCTCTGGCTGCTGTGTCTATGCATTCCGACGTCCGATCTCGGTCTGGCGTCTCCGTGGTATCCTTCATTAAGTTGTAGTGTATATCCCCACCGTCTCTCCCCCACGACCGGAGAAGGCTCGGTACGTAGTTGGCGTGATCGATGGGTTCCGCGACCAAGTCATCTGACTGTCGTCTCTCCCCCTATCTCATCCCCGTCTGTCATCCGCCGATTGTTGGCGACGCCAGTTTACTGGCCGTTGGCGGCAGCGCCAAGGTAGACTTTGGTCGAATCGAAGGGAATGACCTCGCCAGCCTCGTTGGTCATGGCCGGCGCGTTGACGGCCACCTCGGCAGCCTGGGCCTGACGCTTGACGACGACTGTAAAGGAAAAGTGTTAGCATGTCTCAAGCCACGACTGTCATGGTCCATGTAAAGCGCGCCACATACCAAAGCCCTCGTTCTGCGACAGAGAGGAGGCCGAGACGGCGGCGACCAGGGCGAAAACGCTGAGGATGGTGAACTGCATCTTGAAGGATTGTGTTGGTGGTGACGAAGCTGTCGACTTGATTTCGTTCTGGAAAAATGGTGAAAGAGACGAAAGCAATGATTTGTCGGCCGGCGACGAGCAAGATTACACAGTTGACTGGACTACGAGTTGTGAAAAACGGGTGGTTGAGAAGAGGATGGAGACAAAAAAAGAGAGAAAAGAAGGCAACGCTGCTCTAAAGTGGACGGGCCCTATATATCTGTGTCCGGCTGCTACACTCGGCCCTGTGATTTCTCTCTGGCAGATTGGGCATGGGTATAACAGCGATCATCAACGACGGCCGGTCCGGGTTTCATCCAGAGCCACAGCAGAGGATCTCGAAGATCCGAGGGGAATCGCCGTGGCTTGGCCGGTAGCTCGGACCATGCCCTCCACCAAGCAAGGGCAAGGCACCCCCGAAATCCCCCTCAAGGTTGCAGCTTCTACGTACGGGGGCTGAGAGTCACGGCTTTCCTTCGGATGGCCCGCCTGGTGGCCGCACCCTGGCCCGGGCCAGGGTCCGGTGTCTGGGCCAGAGACCGTGTTCTGACCCTCGACATCCAGAAACAAGGCTAGACCCCGGCAGCCATGGCCAGAAACAGCATCTTAGCTCGGGGTGTGCTGGATAAGCTTGATGGCAAGCGGTGGCGGCGGCTCTTGCCCCCCCAACCGCAGGTAACGAGATGAAACGCAGTCTGTCTGCGGCGGTTCGTCTTGGCCAAACCCACGCCTTTACCCCATGGTCCCGCGTCTTGGCCCCGCTGTGGCCACGCCCGACGCGTCCCTGTTATGCAATTAAGGGAGGATCGCCAAGACAATTTTATATTTTAAGCGCATTTCCTTGCCGCGTGGCGTTTGGGTCATGTTTGGAGGGCATAGGAAACGAAGGCCTGGGGGACCCCCCTGTGGAAATGCGACAGTCGGGGCTGGACGATCAGACACAAGTGGGCCTTTTTCCGTCCCTTCCGTGTTGCAGGAACAACCCCGTCCAGGATACGAGCAGGAAAAAGAAAAGACGAGTAGAGGAATTGATTGGATGTCACCAGCCTGGTCCAGATGATTCCATCCCGTGGAACCAAAGGTGGCTCTATTTCTTGCGTCTAAAAGCTTATCCAATTTGCCGGTCCCCAGCTCCTTCTAGGCAGTGAGAGGAGAGTGTGTGCGTGTGTGTGACATCTTGGCCTTCCATGAACTCTCCTTCTGTTCCATGGCAACCGATCGACTGTCTCGTCTCGTCTAGTCTAAGCCTAGCTAGACCTTTAGCTCCCGTTACGTCACGTCACCCTATTGATAGCGCTGAGCCACAGCTGTTTGGCAGCCGTTTGACTCCATCAATAGTGGCGGCGCGCCGTCACGACTCATGCAGTGCCGTGCTGCCAGCCCGGCCGGAAACTCATGGAAGGGGCACAAGCTAAAAACACAGCCGGCCGGCCAGCCTCTGAGGCGCCTTGTCTCGAAAGGACGCCTCGGGGGAATTTCCTCCTGATGATTATTCGCCGAGAGACCACTAAGCGCTCGGAACATACAGTCTCAAAACAGCCCTCCGTTTTGATGCACATTTCAGCTCCAGCCAGGCCAGCCAGGCGGCCGTTGGCCTCAGCGTGCCAACAGCCTCACGAATCAGCTGCTGGACAAGGCCCAACAACGGTGATGACGCCTCTCAAGCTGACACCTGCGCCAGCGTTTGAAGTCCCCACCTAAAAGTGGTACATCGTTTTTTTTTTATCTTCATTATTTTTTTCTGTTTTATCCTCCCTTTTCGTCCCTGGCCCTCCGTCTCAAAGCGTCTCTGCCATCACATTTCGCCTTTCTCACCATGCAATCTCGTTATCCCCATCCACCGCCCGCCCCGACCCTCCTAGCTCCAGTTCTTGTGCTCCACCGTCCATTTATCAGAGACCAGGCTGCCCGGGGATTTGGCGTCTAGAAGGATCTGTTTGGACTTTTCGTCCTTCCGGAATTGCCACTGTAGATAGGCGACGGCGGCCTTGCCAAACTTTCCTCCGTTGGTCGCGCCAAAGGTGCCGCCATGGCCCGTGTCCAGGCTCGTCTTGTACGCGGGGACGCCTCCAGGCAGGAGCTTGTAGTCTTTCTCGGCCTGCCCAATGTCCCAACGGGGGCGTTGGTTGCCCCTGTCTGTCAGCGCGCCATGAAACCGGCAGGGAGGGCTCTGGAAACAGAACGTCTCTGACGGGGCGTTCAACTCACGTTCGGATAACCCATGTCCTTGGGGCCGCCCACGAACCAAGCGACCGGGACGTTGATCTTCTCGAGCAGGTACCTCCTCTCGTCTTGGAAGATGGCGATGTTGAAGAGCATGACGCGCTTGACCCGGGGGTCGTTGTATGCCGTGGACATGGCCGACAGCCCGCCGCAGCTGTGGCCGGCCGTGATGATGTTGTCGACGTCGACGTTGCCGTACTTTGACGCCCCGCCCTTGGCGGCCCAGTCCACGGATGCGCGCATGTCCGTCACCAGGCTCTGTCGGTTTTGCGCAACTGGTCCATCCGCCGAGATGACGTACTGTAATGAGACGATTAGGGATCTGCTATTCCGCAGGCGGCCGCACACATACATGTGCAGATAGAGTAGTAGCACAGCGTCAACATACGCCGTGGCTTGCGATCTCGAGCAGGAAGTTGCGATACTCGGACCCGCCGCTCATGGCGCAGCCGCCGTTGCCCCAGGCGATGAACCCGAGTGACACGTTGCCGGCGGGCGGCGCCTGCGGCGCGTAGATGGTGTGCCCGGGCAGCGAGGGATCCGTCAGGACGCGGGCCGGGTAGGGGCCCGAGCCGGGGCCGGGCACGCCGCCGCCGCGCGGGGTCTCGGGCCCGGTGGCCCCCGGGTTATTGCCCGTGCGGGCCAGGTAGGCCGCCAGGTCCGTCAGGCTGATGCAGAAGATGCCCCCGGCGATGGTGTCGTCCCCAGTGGGTGGGAAGTACCCCGGCCGCGGTTGGAAGGGCTGCTGCTGCTGCCGGGGCTCGAGGCCGAGGGGTGACGCGAGCGCGCTGGTCACTGCCAGTGCGGCGACGAGCAGACTTGAGATGGACGCCATATCTATGAGTAGGATGGCAGACTAGTCTTAACGGGGTGGGTGTCTGTTGGTGTTGGCTAGGCTATCCTTGGTGACATTCCCAGACTACGCGGGCTATAGGATGTCACATCTCGGAGAATCTGATCTCTTGGATCGGAGATCCCCCCTGGCTTTTAACCCCTTTCTGCTTCCCGATGATACCATCGATCGACAGTTCATGTCGGCAGCAGCGCTTGCCGAGCGACAAGTTGACCCGGACGGTGGTGCTGTCCGGCACTCATCGTCGGTAGTGCCCCCTCGCGAGATTTCCCCATCGGGAATCACCGCCCGCCCATTCGCGGGCCAATATGGGGCTCGACAATAGCCGGATGAGCGGCAACCGTCCTTTACGGTCCGAGATGGCAATCTTCACTTCTCGATCGATGGGAAGTGGGCAGGGTCGTCGCCATCGCCGTGTTTTCGCTGGCCGCCGTACGGAATTTCTGGGCTGCGGTCTGGACGGCACTATCAATGGAACAAACATGCACGGAGCTCCAAGGCCCGTCGCGTGTCGTCGACTGCAGCAGGTCCCCGTTTGCGCCGTGCATGACGCGTCTGGATTCCGAGCTGTGCTCCAGGAAACGGTCAGCTCCGACAGGAGGAATTTGAGGAAACATGAAGAGCGGCTTGTTTGTTTGTTGGCTCAGCGAGAAGCTCTGCAAGCTTAGGGCTCAACTTTTGCATCACATGAAGCAAGAAGGAAGCTGAAAACGCTCTATGCCAGGTCAGGTATAAGCTCAAGCTTCTTTGAGTTGTCTGCTGACAGCTCGTGCGTTTGCGTTTCATTCCCTTCCCTCACCCAAACCCAGCTGCAAGCGTGAGCTTCCAATTCCAACCCCGCATTTGCTCAAGCCAACCGCCGCCCCAACCCAACCCAATCTTGGGCCCCTCCCGTCTTTTCCCGCACTGCCATCTCGCGTCCGCCATCTCCTTGGTGCTTCTCCATTTTCCTCGTCATCGGTCCATCTCGCTTACCCTGTGCCTTGCCTTTTGCCGCCCGCCAGCCCGTCCAGCCTCTGCAGTCGCCGCCGCCCCCCTTTGGGCGACGACCGCCATGGCGACCACCGAGCACTGCCTCTTCTGCTTCGAGACGCTGGCCGCCCACCTCGGGGGCCGCGAGCCGCTGTCCCTCGCCGAGGTGCAAAAGTCGTGGGCCGCCTACGCGGCCACCGCCGACGGCGCCAAGTCGGCCGCCGCCGCCGCCCCGAAGCAGATCCCAGCCCTCCGCCGCCTGGCCGCCGCCGCCGCCGCCGTATCTCCGTCGGGCGCGTCGTCATCGTCGTCGGCCGGGTCTAGCACCACGTCCCTGTCGGCCGACACGGCCGCCACCACGCCCAACAACAACAGCGGCGACCAGCTGGCGGCGACAACAACAACAGAAGCAGCATCATCCCCACCGCCGCCGCCGCCGGCCGAGTCCCCGCTCTTCGTGACGTGGAACACGACCTCTGCGCGACACGGCCCCTCCCTGCGCGGCTGCATCGGCACCTTCGAGGCGCAGCCGCTCGAGGAGGGCCTGTCGGCGTACGCGCTGACGGCGGCGCTGCATGACACGCGCTTCGACCCGGTCCGGGCGCGCGAGCTGCCCTCGCTCGAGGCGGCCGTGACGCTCCTGACCGACTTCGAGGACGCGGACGACGCGGACGACTGGGAGCTCGGCACCCACGGCCTGCGCGTCAGCTTCCACCACCACGGCCGCCGCTACGGCGCCACGTACCTGCCCGACGTCGCGCCCGAGCAGGGCTGGGGCAAGGAGGAGACGGTCGTGAGCCTCATGCGCAAGGCCGGCTGGATGGGCCGCAAGGACAGGTGGCGCGACGTCGAGCTCAAGGTGGTGCGCTACCAGGGCCGCAAGAAGAGCGTCGGCTACGAGACGTATAAGCGCTGGAGGGACTGGGCCGACAAGAACGAGCCTGCGCCGTGAAAGCGGGGAGGGCCGGTAATACACCCGTAACTGATGCGTGCATTTCTTCATCGCTCCATGATTGGCGACGCCTGCTCCCCGCTCTCCCAGCAAATGGTGACCAGTTTTATAAACGGGAGTCAGGCATATCATGTCCCTTTGGGAGCGATAGAAGGCAACAGTAGATGGTTTGCCCCATATAACTGCACGAGTTCCGACTGTGCGTCCATCTAATGAGTGAGCCGGGAGATTTGCTTGGGTTTGTTTTGCTTTTCATCACCCTACCGGCGTACAAGGCGAACAGTGACCCCGGGGATGCTCTAGGCATATCGTTCTAGGGTTTGATAGTTATCGAGGTTAGAAGGAGCTAGGGCTTGGGTGCTGACTGGAGGCCCTCAACGGCCTTCCTCGGATTCACAGCAGCAACCTCACGATTTTACAGGAGATATCTCGAGACTCTCGATCGTGACAAGTGCAAAATATTGGAATTACGCAGCAACGGTTCGACTGCGTTGGAGGCCGGACTACAAAGCCCACATCCGTCACGGAATACATCTGCCTCCCTGCTGTCTAGTAAATCAAGGTTCATGATGCTCGTGGTGATGCAGTTGAGATACATCCCTCGGGGGCGTCGAGCTGGGTCCCCAGAGTACATAGACCTTCAATTCACTTGACTAATCATATCTAAAACAGCGCTGACATCAGTTTAAAAAAGTGCAAGCAGCATTATTAAACGCAGGAACCATATCGCGGGGTGTGTGACTCCGTCGACCCTTCAAGATACCACAAGAGAGGCTTTCTGAGAATTATTTGTTATCTAGTTGTAGGCGCCGACTTGATGCAACTCTACTGTCCGGCCCCGCGGCCAGCCCCGGCGCCGCCATCGGCACCAGCGCCGCCACCTCCCATCATCGACCGCGCCCTAGAGAAGGAGTATGTCAGTACACTCGTAGACTCACAAACCTCATGGGTCACAAAAAAAGAAGGGGGGCGCGAGAAAGACTCACATGTCTGCGATGGTGGGATCTGACATGAGGGCCGACATGTCGGGCATGCCGCCGCCGCTGCCGAACTGGTTCGCCATCTCGCGCAGGCGCGGGTTGCTCATCAGGTTGCTCATCATATCGGGGTTGCTCATGAGGCTCTGCGCCATGGACGCGAACATGGGGTTGTTCATGATGGAGCCGAAGTCGGGCATGCCGCCGGCACCACCGCCGGCGCCGGGACCGCCAGCGCCGCCCAAAAGGTCGGCCAGGCTCGGGGTGGCGCCGCGGGCGGCGTTGCCGGCGACGTTGAGGCCCAGCTCCTCCACCTTCCTCTTGGCCGTCTCGTAGCCCTTCTTCATGGGGTCGCTGCCGCCGTTGCCCTCGTGCTCGATGCCCTTCTCGTAGGCCTCCATGGAGCCCTGCGGGTCCCCGAGCGCGAACCGGGCCAGGCCCAGGCGGCTCCAGGCCTTTGTGTACTTGGGGTCGATGGCCACGGCCGCCTCGGCGTCGGCCCGCGCCTTCTCGTGGCTCTTGTCGGCGCTGTAGGCGGCCGCGCGGTTCGAGAGGTAGATGACGTTGTCCGGGTTCAGGGACAGCGCCTGCGAGTAGTAGTCGACGGCGGTCGTGTAGTCCTTCTGCGCCATGGCAGCGTTGCCCTTGGACTTGAGGCCCTCGGCCTCCTTCTTCTTCTCCTCCGAGACGGGGCCGGCGGCGGCGGCGGCAGAGGACGAGTCACCGGCGGCGGGCTTGGACGCGCCCTTTAGCTTCTCGTAGACCGAGTAGATCTTGAGCAGGTTCTGGTCGCCGATAGCAGCCGAGACGGCGGCCTTGTCTGTGGGGTCGACCTTGAACGACTCGGCGATACAGTTGACGGCCACGTCGATGGATTCCCGGTCGTCGGCGGCGAGGGTGCCGTCACTGGCCGAGGCCGTGAGGAAGTCGCAGATGGCCAGCGCCAGGCGCTGCTTGGATGTTGTGGCCTTTTCCGACCGAGTTGGGACATGTTAGAACGCAAGCCATGCGCGAGGGGCGCTACAGCATGAACATCGACCTCTGGTCAAGCCTCGCTGCCGCCGCCTCATCATGTGGGGTTGGGAATTACCCACCATATTGGTAGTGACTCGACTGTGCTGTGCTGAAGACGGTGATGGGGACGAGGACGTGGCGGTTCGTGCTGCTCGGTGGAAATACCAAAGGCGCAAAAGAGTAGATAAGGGCGGGCCGTAAATGTAGAAAGGGTCTTGGGTTTGATTTGTCTCTTTTGTTTTTTGGACCGCGCTCCCGCCGCAACACACTCCACCCTCGGGTGGTGGAAGCACATGGAGGGGTCGAGAATCACAGATACCCCTGCAGGCCCGCGAGGCTGCTGCGCCACGAAGCCACAGCCATGCATTCAGGCCTTCAGGGCGAGAGACGGCAGCCCAATAAAAATACAAAATATGCACTTCCGAAATGCGATCGATTTCTTTGTCTTGTTCTTTCTCAGCCTATTTCTTACTCGTTCTTTGTTTTATTTCCCCTCTCATATGCAAATATTCGCCCACTTTGTTTTAAATCATCGTATTACCCCAAATTCTGCTGCCTCTTTTCAGGCTTGTTGATCCCCAGAAACCCCGGCTGGGCCCAGGGGTGACTCCGAGGACGCACCACCAACTCCCCGCTGCGCTCACAACACCCGGCGTTATACGCCCTACCCGGTCACCTGTTCACCAGCAAGGGACGCCGGAATGCGGCCCGACCCCCGTGTGCCTTCGGGTTTAGTTTGTAAGCCGCCTCGGTAGCGGCACTATACCTCGACGCTCGGGCTGTCCCAAACATCGACAACGTCAGGTGCAACAAGAGCTTCGCAAAAAATACCCGTGGCAATGCTGGACGCGCCAAGAACGAAGTTCACTTATGATTTGCTCCTGTTCTGCATCTTCCCAGATAGTGCGAAGACCGAGGCACTGCTGCCTGCGAGCTTTAAATGACCACGAACTGCTCAAAGTCTTACTCTTTCGGCTCTCCCTCGCCCACTTTGGCTTTTATCATCTCACCATCCATAATGCCATGTACATAGCTTTGTCCAGCAACAATATGACCTTTGGGAAACTCTCGAAGGATTAAGGGGACCGCAGCTTCGAGGAGCACTACGATCTTACCCCCCTCCCGCACGTTTGGGTGGCCGATACCGATATATTCTTGAGAGGTCCGGAAAAATGAGGCCGTACAGGTTGACGTCGGCAAATCGGTACGCCTTCACAGTTTCAGCCAACAGGCCAGCGAGCACTTTACGCACAGTCTCTCCATCCTTGAGCGATCTCGAATTGAACGAGTATGTGCTATCGTTTTCAAGCTTGGGAATGCGGCGGAAGCATACTGTGCCCTCTCCGTCGACGCGGAAGCGGTCCAGCCAGAGGGTGCGCCAGAAAGCCTCGAGCCTAGTGTGGTCCGTGAATAGGTACAGGCCCTGGTCTTCCACTTCCGCTAGAGACTTCCAATGCTTGAAGAGTGAAAGTTGGGCAGCGGTGACCTCTTCTTCGCCCGACCCCTTAGCGCCTTCGAAATGTTCTTGCACTAGACCCACAAGGTCCAAGTCCCAACGAAGCCTAGTTCGGCAAACCATGTCGACAGTGACGCTTCATGGGAGGAAGATTTCGTCCCATGCCTCAAATTCGAAGGGAAATGGCGATTTTGGGTACAGGCTAGCGTTGTAAACCTGGATTTGGTTGGTTATAGATTCGTTCCCCGTAGGTTCCGTTGAGGCTGCCTCTGGAGTTGGAGGTCTCTCGGAATTGTGACGCATATACGCGCTCAAAATCCTGTGTGCTGAGAAGCTGTTGACCTAGATCGAGGAAAATTGAAAAAGCTGACGACGTCTGAAGTTAGGAACCCGTGTGAACTTTGTCGAGTAGTTAGGGGTGAAAACCAGTCGCTCTGGGGTTTCGGAGGGAAGAATGCTCAACAGGGCAAACAACTTGTTGCAAGGGTTCGTGGCCGCGAAGCTTCTCGTTAATGACACCAAATCTTCTATCGCCACAGCTGTGAGTCCGTCGGTGAGGTGGGCAGGGTCTGCATCGTCAATGGGAACGCTTTTCGGGTTTTCTAGACAAGCGTGTTGAGCAACCTTGACATCCGGTTGATCCTGGTATGGGGATCCCTAGATGAGAAGAATACGAAGTGCTTTAGGAGAGAGATGGTTCTAAACAGGCACATTCGAAAAAGCTCCCAGTCGATAGAATGCGGGCCGTAGAGGGGGGTGACCTTTTTGGCCAGCAGGAGCTCCTGTAGCACCCAGACTCTTTGCCACCATGGCCGATAAAGGATCTTGATATACGCCTCGGACAGCTTAGCCCACACTTCAATATTCTTGTGAGGGTTCTAGGCCAGGTTTCGCTCTGTAGCAGCCCGATGGCCTGCATCTCCGGCTTTATCGTTGGTTTCCAGCTCCCCTGCATTGACTGGAGAAGCCTCCAAGGTGCATGCGCCTGTGCCGCTCTGGAGGGTGTCTATGGCCGTACTCCATAGGTCTGAATGGGAACCAACCGGGCAGCCGAACCTTTGGGAGACTTACCTCCAAGTCCTCCCGCACGAGCGCTCTGGTGACGGAGATTGCTGTAAAAAGTAGTGTGGTTTGCGACTCACGGCCGACCCAAGCCACGACACTAGCGGCGCTGCGGTAGACATTGTCCATCCGCGCGACCTGTTCCGCCTTTTCTTGGTTGTTGGTCTGGTCGATGCAGACTGCGTCGACCCATATGACCCTGGGGCCCCCGGTTCAGGGGCGTAGATGCCGTAGCGCCACGTCCAGATTTTTTTCCCACTGAAAAAGCGAGCCCATTGACCGTTATCTCTTTCAACTTATGCAGTGATTGATTCCCCAAACGTATGATAGCGCCTCAAACACAAGGTCCAGAGACAGCGTGGCTTCGAAGAGCGTACATTCGAAACTTCTTGCGAGCGAAGACGGCATCGAGGAGAAGATGGCTTCAAGTGCTCCGCGCAGACTCTGTACGAAGGCCCTCCCAAGTGCAGCTGCTGCAAAAACTGGGTGGAGGAGTACTTCAACGACCTACGGGACACCATCGAGCGGCAGGCCGACGTTGAAAGCAAGGCGCTCGTCGTCCGTATGGCCAAAAACCACTCGCCCGGGAAACCCCTGGTACTTCACTCGCTGGCCATCCAAAGCCAATCGCCCAAAAAAAAAACTCGGCGAAGTTTTTGAAGGGTATGCCGACGTCACCACAACTCTTGCAAAGCCGGTGTCCCCCCCCTTTGCAGTAATGTTTGCAACAAACTGACCGAAAACACAGGCTCCTGGAATACTACCGCGGCATTCTAATCATGGCCACCAACCGCGCCGACGTCATCGACCGGGCCATGCACAGCCGGATCGATTTAACGCTCCACTATCCGGACCTGGAGCCGGCCACCAAGGAGCAGACATGGAGGCAGTTCGCGGGCCGGTGCGTGGGACACAGACAAGGATTTCTGGCGCCTGTCTCGCCTCCCGATGAATGGGCGGCAAATCAAAAACGTGGTCAAGGTTGCTGCTCTGCTCGCCTCCCGGGAGGAGGAGAATGCCGGACTGAGTGCCGACCACATCAGGACCGTGCTCGTGGCGACGAGAGAGGAGGGCGATGACTTCGACTTCCGAAGCTCACGCTTCAAGGGGCGGTCTTGGAAGGCGTTTTGGAAATTCCGGTGAGGCAACGTCGTGGACTGGAAAGGCTTTCAACAGCCACGCGCGGCTGGCGGTTGCTGGGCGGGGTGTTGCGGCGAGTCGGGTTTCCCTTAGTTTACTCTTCGACCTCGGTTTGCTGTGCGTTTTAACATATGTTCGCCTTGTTCTGTGCGCTTCGGCCTCCATGCGCGTTTATCCGTTCTGCTTCCGTCGTTCCTTGATTCATATTCGCCCTTTCCCGGCAATCTCCACCCGCGGGCCGTTTCCGCCGTTGAGATGCAGTGTCGACATGGGCGACGCGGGCCCGGTCTCCATCAACCGCTTCGAGTCTTGAGCCACCAAGAGGTGACTCATCACGCCCGGACGATAGCTGGCTTGGCTGACTTGCTGGTCAGCGAGTGCAAATCCTGTTTAGATAAGCTCCTTCGGAGGCCTCCGGTATATAGCCCCGACCGAAGTTGACGGCGATGAGGATTTCGTTAGCTAAAATAACTACTTAGCCGCCTGTTACTACCCCGTGGCATACCAGGGCGGACACGGCGGGTGGAGCCCTTGGCACAGTGACTCCAGCCGCCCTTTTGATGATGGAGATCGTTAGAGACACCGACCTGTTCGGCCATTAGGCCGCGCCGGGCCACGAGCTGGACCAGCAGCCAGCACTTATTCATAGCAGTACTCGTAGTGGCGAGTCTACAGTATGCAGTACAATACTTTTGGGATCACAAGAGGTGCGTGCACTTAAAACAGTCAACAATGCTTGATATGCACTCTTTGCCCAAGTCCTGACGGATCCCGTCATGTTCTATGAGGTCCGCTGAATCCCACCCATGTCGCCCGCCTTGCCAAACCAACGGTGAGGAAGAAAATTTTAAGCCGAAAAAAAGAAAAGAGTTATACACGCGATGAGCTTGTGATAAACAGTTTCTACAAGCGCCTGCAGCCCATACAGCTTCCAGCAAGGTGTCTCATGTTGCCGTCATGGAAATCCTCACGACGCAGCCGAGGTGGAAGCACCCCTTCTTCCGCCAACCCGTCGCTCGACATTCTTGACGCGGCGGTTTTTCCGGAGCTCAACCTGCCGATACTTGAAGTAGAGCAGGAAGGCGTCCCGTAACACGACGAATAGACAGCCGCCCATGAGGCTGCGTCCCCACCGGTGCTGAAGCAGCCCCCTAGGCTTGCCCCAGGCCGGCGACCGGACCCAGCGCGATGGCAGTGTCACGCGCAGCAGCTCGCCCATCACATACGATATGTGCGGCAGGAGCAGCGCCGAGACGGTGCCGTTGATGATTCTGGACCAGGTGCCGCCCGTGCTACTGGCGCCGACCTGTCGCTGCCACTGCGGCCGGTCCCGATTCTCCTGGCCCGCGTCGATGGCTGGAGGAGGATCGGCCGGCATAGCATCCACCGCGGGCGCCTCGGCTACAGCAGCGACTGGAGCTTCTGGCACAATTTCCTGCAGCTGAGGGGGCGTCGTGGCCGCAGCGGCGGCCGCAGCGGCAGCAGCAGGCTCCTGGCCACGCTCAGCCGTAACCTCGACATTCATGTCCGCCTGCACGGCTTGGATGGCTTCCTCGAGGACAGCACGCGCTTCCGCATCGCCTTCCAACACCACAGCTCCCTCCTCATCGTGGACTTCGATTTGGAGCCTGCCGTCCTCATCCACCCCAACCTCGACCTCGAGGAGGCCTTCCCCGTCATCTCCCTCCTCCTCGTCATCATCTCCGAGATCAATAGCGTCCTCAAGGAATATGTTGACGAAGGCGCCAGCCAATCTGAAGATTGCCGTGCCGATGCCGATGTTGTTTTCATTATTGTTGTTGTTGTTGTTGTTGTTGTTATTGTTGGCTCCGCCCCGATTGCCAGCTCGCTGCTGGCGACCTTGCTGTCGTTCTTGTTGCTCTGGTGGCTGTCTCACCTCCGTCTCGTCCAGAACTTGGTTACCACGGAGAGTTTGGTTGAGGCGCCTCTCAAAGCGACCAAAGAACTCGTAGTACATGTGACAGTAGGACAAGCTGATGCACGGCATCACTGTCATGGTCCACTCGGGGGAGAGCGGCCACATGGGCATCTGGTCTCGCGCCGCCAAGGAGAACCCATACTGCATCGAGAACCCGTCAGTAAAGATACATAACCAGGGTTGTGGGTATGTGTACGAAGTAAGACCTACGGCAAGAGAAACTGGTAGGAGCAGGTATGTGTCGATGCCAGGAATGGCCTTGTTAAGTAACAGACCTGGCATGAGCAGGTGCAGCAACCAAGCTCTGCTGACGAAGGCATAGGTCGGGGCATGCCTCCACCAGACGAGGCCCGGGGGTCTTCTGCTCATGTCACCCACACGCAGCCAGGCCATGGTTGTGTTGCCGCCGGCGAACAGCGACATGGCCGTGATTCCGTAGTGCGCGGAGCCGGCCACGGCAAAGGAGCCCATCATGCTGAGCAGAATGATGGGGGAGGTGCGGCTGAAGGCGCGGTGGGCGCGGTCACGTAGCCACATCATGGGGTCAAAGGGCTCAAACACCTGGATGGCGCCCTTGCAGGCTGGGCAGCGCAGGCCGCCCTTGTTTCTGGAGCCGCGCCTGCCGCCGCCGGGGCCGCCCGAAGCCTCCATTTGCGCCACCCACTTGAGCATGCAGTCCTCGTGCGCTTCGAGCGTACAGGGGCACGCGTTCACCCAGGTTGCCCTGGGTGTCTCGTTGGAGTTGAGCAGACATATGAAGCAGACGTGGAGGTTGGGGTCCGATATCGACTGGGACCTCGTCGGTTGCGGCCGTGGGCTGGCAGTGCGTGCGGTACTTGTGGTGCTTTCGGTACTTGCGGTGCTCGCCGTGGCGCTCGAGGTTCGCGATGGTGTCAGCGCGCCGGTCGCTGTGGTTGTGGTTGGTGTTGGGGAGCCCGGCCTGTCGGTGGTCGGAGATGTGCCCGAATCGCTCGACATGGTGGGCGAGAAGGGTCTCCCGGGATGGGAGTGAGGTATTGACGGCTGGGCCGATTGTCGAGCGTTTGCGATCAGGAGTGATGGGATTCAGCTCTAGAAAAGGTGAGGCTCCGACAAACGAGGGACCCACTTGAGCTTCCAAAGCGGGGCGACTGATGTTGCACAGAGACGGGGCAGCCTAGACCCCTCCACGTCACTGTGCGTTGATACTAAACAGGACGACTCTACTGAAACATAGGGGACAGCATAGACAAGCAAACAAAACAGGTAAACCATAAATAAGTATAGGGGATCAGAGAGTGTTTTCTACAGCTCCTCATGTAAGCAATATTCATACTATGATACCTTCCTTCTGCTCGGCGAAGAACTGGACTCGGTTGAGAAGGCCGTTCATTTCCGAGACTTGAATTGTACTGGCGTGCCTGCTAGGTAGCACCTCCCTCCCCATACAGCCGGAGGAATGAAACATCCAGCAACATCTTAGCCCACTATATTCTTCCCACCCCTTTGCTCCTCATAATAGTACCAGGCAGGTGATGCTGTGCAAAAGTCCAACCCAAAAAGGCATATATACATAACCCATAGCCCTCATTCAAATCACTCAAGCGTGCCCTGTCCAACAAAGAACAGGGCGCTGCCGCTGCCCGGCCTACTAACCACAACAGCGCCTTCCTTCTGCTCCGGGGTCAGCTCCCGCTTGGAGTAGTACTCCTTCTCCCAGGCCTCAGTCACGGCGGCGACCTTGTCGGCGGGCACGAGGTGGACGCTGCAGCCTCCCCAGCCGGCGCCCGTCAGGCGGCTGCCGTAGCTGCCGGCCCTTCGGGCGATGGCGCACAGCTCGTCGATCTCGGGGCAGCTACACTCGTAGAGGTCGCGGCACGAATCCTGCGTCTCGTTCAGCTTCGCGCCCAGCAGCGAGTTGTACGCGGTCGTGTCGGACCCCGACGAGGAGCCGGTGACGTCGGGCTTCTCGAGCAGGGCCATGAACTCGAGGACGCGCAGGGCCTCGGAGAAGACATGCTCGGAGCGCTGACGCAGCTTGAAGCGATCCGCGCGGACGGGGAAGCGCGAGGTGAACTTGGCATTGAGGTCGTCGACCGTGGTGCCCAGGGCCGCGGCGACCTCTTCGCGGGTGTAGCCCTCCTCCTTAGTCAGAGTGGAGCGTACGAGCGCCAGCAGCAGGGCGAGCTGCTCCTGCTGGGCCGCAGGGGCAGCGGCGCCGCCCGCAGCCGCCCGCGTGGCGAAGTAGGTCTCGTGGAACCCGTGCAGGGAGATGCCGAGCGGTGAGCTGTCGGTCGGCAGGGGGAGGCCGGGCGGGTTGAGCACGGCGTGGAGGTAGGCGGCCGCCAAAGTGCACTCGACTACGCGCAGGTTGTACTGGACCGGCCCCGTGACAAACTTATTGGCCGTCACGAAGGACTGAGCAATGACGAAGCAGAGCTCCGGGTTGGTGGATGGGAAGAACACCGGCTTCGCCGTGAGGGTTGGAGTAAAGGAGACAAAGAGCGCAGAGCCACGCTGTGAGAAAACCGAGGCGGACTGATCCATCCTGTTTTCAGGTCAGTCTGGGTTGCCACACATGCAAACATACCAGGGCCTCGCTACTCACCCGCCAGAGTTGACGCCGACGCCACGCTCGCTGACTATGGCGAGCTCGGTGAGCTCCTTCTTGTCGATGTCCTTCTCGCCGTTGGCGACCATGACGGCCAGCGCGCTGGCGCTCGTAAAGGCAGCGCTGGAGCTCACGCCGCCGCCGACAGGGACGGTGCCGTCCATGAGGACCCGCATGCCGGCAGGGACGAAGCCGTCACCGCGCTTGCGGCGCAGCAGCTCAAGGGCACCGCGCAGGCCGCACTTGAAGTAGTTGGTCCACTCGTGCACGGTGCTGTCGATCTCGACGTCGCCAGAGACGGGCAGCGCAAAGTCCTTGGCGGGGAATTTGTCGCCCTGCACGTTGGCAATCTGTACCCTGTATGTGCCCCCCGCGCTGCTGCCCACGTCCTCGGGCGACACGGCGATCAGGGCGTCGGCGGCGATGGCCATGGGCAGCACCGAGTACAGGCTGTAGTCGATGTGCTCGCCGATGATGTTGACACGGCCCGGTGACCGGGCAACAAAGGCCGGCGCGTGGCCGTACAGCTCCTGGAATCGCGCAACCAGGCGCTTCCAGCGCGCCTGCTCCGAGTCGAGCGCCGGCGCCGGGTAGATGTCCGCGAGGGACTGCGCCTTGGGAACAGGACCAGACATTGCGAAGATGGTGGGTTGTGGCTTCGGGCGGGGCGAGAAGGAAGGCTAACACTTGCTGGGCTCAGGGGCGGGCTATCTTTCCTCGAGACACCTCGCACACAAGACTCAACGGCAAATTCCACCACAGTCTGGTTTGCCGTACTTGAGCTGGTTTATACAATCTCCAGGCGGGTTATCTCGAGACATAGGGTCCATCTTTGCTCTTGTGACGGCAAAAGCTTGCTTGTCGGGAGCTCCAAGCCCCGCATCTCGGATGCAGGCCGCGGCTCGTCATCCCATCTAATCTCCAATATTACGGCGGGGATTTTTATGGTTGGGGTTCCAGAAGTCACCGAACAGCGCACATTCACTCACGCAGCATGCGATTTCCGCCGTTTTCCGCCCCAGTCAGTGGAGTGACGCCCCTGTCACGGCGCCAGACGCAGGCACAAAAGCCGCAGTCCCAGCACAGCCTGCGTCTTGCAATTGAGCAGAAGCGCAACTTCGGTTGGTGTTTGACCGAAGGGCCAATGCCTGCCGAGCGTCATCCCATGATGCCACAGCCCACAGCCCACAGCCAACATGCATGTGTTTCGGTGAATGGAGCGTGCAATAGCTATTGTGCGTACAATGATTGATATCTTGTGTCAATACGTCTCAGTAGGGCTAGGCGAGTTTTCAATTCCGCAATCCATCAACCTTTCTTCGTCCCGTTTCCCTCATCTCTTGATGCCCGCGTGCCCGCGTGCCAGCGTGTCACCCGGAGTTGGCGTTGCACGACACCGCCGGTCATCCCGGACGCTATGCGGGATCGACCGCATGCGTCCTGCAGCCCTGCTCAGGCGCATACACGGTCGCTCAGGGGGAAATAGGGGACAAGATTGGCTGAAGGTAGTGTCAATTTCCAGACCGTGACCACGCGTTGGGGTTGGCCAAGGCGGGTTAGTGCTTGCATGTCTAGCAGAACCTTGAGCCTAGGACTCCAGCGCCTCCTTGTTGCGGCAGGTGCGGGAACAATATAACTCGGCCAGGTATCGCAGCCTATCATCGGCCTGAGCCTTCTGGTCGGATATCCATAATATCGGAAGGCCAAGTTCATAGCGTTGCCAAGCCGAACTTGGACAAAGGCAAACTGTCGAGCGTGGAAGAGCGAGCAGACCTTGTAGATGTTCGCTCTTTGGACGTATGTCCTCAAATCCGCCAGCAAGACGGCGCAGACGATAAAACCGCGAATCAAGCCGTGGTCAGTTCCAAGCTGAATGAAACTGTCCAGATCGGCCGTCGTATTACAATACCACCCAAGCACACAAGCAACTTCTCCATATCTTCAGGCCGGCCGCACTGATGGCCCCTGTTCATCCTATGTGGATCGGCGCTATCAGGAACCACAGGCTTGGTGAACCCATTTGAGTGGAAGGTGCACGGCCATTCTTGTCAGGGAGATGGAACTAACCGGCCCGCTCCGCCAAAGAGAAGGGAATGGAAGGAAGCTAGACGAGCAAACAGAAAGTATTTCCGAATAGGGGGCCTCGCAGCGGAGCTTCCACCATGAACAGATGCCTGCTTAGATATTCATTAGCAAGGATGCCTGGTTGCTGGGACAGCCCTCATGCAATGGCCAGAGCCTGGCGGATCACGTGGCAGCCGGTATGTTTGTGCATTCACTTCGTTATTGGCTGGGCTAGACCCATAGGCACCCCACATGGTCGTCTGGCTGACAGCGACATGGTGTGGTGGGATGAGGACCAAGCTGCCTGCTGGGTTGGTCTTGGGGACTACAGATGACGAACGGCCGAAATAATTTCCCCCTCCACCTCACTAAACCCAAGCACCCATCGCAGCGCGTCTGCCTCCCTCGATAATCTTTCGCGCCTCGCAACTCTCGCCCAAATCTTGTCGCGACAATCACCTTCGCTTCCAACCTCAGCACGCCCGTCACCTCCACGTCACACAGCGAAAATGGGTGAATCACGGTAAGGCAACGCAACCTGCTTGTTGGCCTGGACCGCTGCCGATTCTGGACACAACGCTCCCTCGAGTTATGCCGCCCGACTCGACGCTGACGACAGGTCTCTCGCAACAGACAGGAACTCGTCCAATGGCTGAACAGCCTTTTGCAGCTCAACATCACCAAGGTTGAGCAGTGCGGAACTGGGTAAGTCTCGCGCCGCCAGAGCAGGCCCCTCTCCCGCTCAGAAACAACCGATGCCGAAGCTCCGACACCGACGCCGCCGCTGGCAGCCGGTCCTGCATCTGCCCGAATCCAGCTCGCCACCCCAGTCAACCGCTCGCTGACATCTAGCCCGCCATCCAGAGCCGCTCTGTGCCAGGTCTTCGACAGCATTTACCTCGATGTCCCCATGTCGCGAGTCAAGTTCAACATCAACAGCGAATATGCATACATACAGAACTTCAAAGTGTTGCAGAGTTAGTCTCATGTGCCCTTTCCCTCGACTCCCTTCACAGGCGAGTGATATCGCTCGCGCCGGATCTTGGTATTTGGATTTCGGATTTGCAGTGACGCTAATAATAATATCCTGCGCTCCACCACTAGACACGTTCACCAAACACCAGATCGACAAGCCGATCCCCGTCACCGCCCTAGTAAAGTGCAAGATGCAAGACAATCTCGAGTTCCTGCAATGGGTCAAGCGATTCTGGGACCAGTACTACCCGGGTGGTGAGTACGACGCCGTCACGCGGCGGAAAGGCGCACCTCTGGGATCGTCGGGAGCCAGCGCCGGTGCCCCCCGTGTCGCTGCTACCGGCGGCGCAAGGAGGGGAGGTACAACTCCCACGACCAGCGGAGGCCGGACCGCGGCCAAGGTAGGCCTGGGGGCTGCCGGTGGTGGCGCGGCCTCCGCCGCACTGCAAGCCGAGAACAACACGCTCAAGGAGACCGTCGTTGGTCTGGAGCGCGAGCGCGACTTCTACTTCAGCAAGCTGCGCGACATCGAACTGCTCGTGCAGAATGCCGTCGATGAGGATCCCGAGCTCGAGAAGCAGGAGGACGGTCTGGTTAAGCAGATCCAGGTCATCCTCTACTCGACCGAGGAGGGCTTTGAGATCCCCGCCGAGGGCGAGGCCGCGGACGACCAGGAGACGTTCTAGGCTAGCGGCGATCGATATCGTCCCTCTTGAAGACTCTTGCCCTCCTGCCACCGAGACCTGGCGCCGCCGTATCTTCCGACGGGCTGGTCCGTGGTGACGGAGAAGCAAAGCCCGTCCTTGACTTGGCCGGATTTTTGAGTCGAGCTGTATCGAGACTGTTTCATGGTGGTTTGGTTCACGGACGTCCGTGGTTATACAAGTGACGCGATACCTTGGAGCACGGATATCTGAAAATTTGGTATGGGCATGGGAGCGAGTTGGGCCTGTTTATGGCGGGCCATGTAATTCGGGCGGGCGTCTTTTACAAGGGTTAAAGACTTTTTTTCACTACTACCTTCGCCTCCCCTGGTGTTGGAATGTTTGAGTCATCTGGCCAGCGCATTCACATGTGGCGGGCCGTTGGCGGGTGCATCTGAGGGGGGCCTCTCTACTGGATTAATACAGGTGATCGTAAGATAGAGTCCATACAATACGCTAAACGGAACATACCCACAGATGTTCTAGCTGAGATGTGCCGATCACCTTAGCCAAACTAACCACTGGAGGTGCAGCTCTCGTGAAGTCTTTTCTTGAACCCGCGCTTTTGGCCATATACACGACGGGCATTTCAACCGTATTTGGCCAAATCGTTAGGAACAGGTGCCACCCTCGATATCAGAGCCACTTGTCATAACCTCATGCCACTCAACCGCCTAGCCTACAGTCACCCTCGTCTCACGGCTATCAAGCAACACAGCCCCGAACTGCTGCGCAAACCGACCAAGGATGTGTGTGTGATTCACTCGGCTTTCCCCATGATCATTCGTGTATATAAATTGCAACACCTTGTTGGGTCCGAGGCAGCAGAAGGTCTCTCTCCAGGTGCTCGACGAGGAAAATCACCATGAGTTTTCCACGAAAGAAATATCCAGCCCGAAAGTCGCATCGACTTTACGAGTTTTTAAGTAAAAGATAGCCAAGCACGCCTGGAGTGGTCTCAGAAGCTCACCAATCTATTTAGACTGTCCCTTATCCATTGATACAAGTACACCAATCAGGCCAGCTCCCCGGGAAGTCACTTGCACGAGAGAGGAATGCAGTAGGAAGATAAACTTCTCGCACTATCGATGTCCGTGGTGTGGAACCATGATCGATCGTATGGTCCTCAGGGGCTAGTGGTATGGGCTGCGGTAACAATGTATTTCAGTTAGAAACGATGGCTACAAAATAACGCGAAGCACTTGACAAGCCCCTTCAAAGACAATTTGTAGAAAGATTGCTTTTGGAGTTGAAAAAAACTCAGCTCGGGTTACTTTCACAGCAGGACTTACTTTACCCAGTGGCTACTAGGGAGATGATAGCAGAGCATGCTACCTTAAATAATAAATTTCGACTGTTGTTGCCACACCCTCTTTACTGCAAGGAGTTAAATGTCTGTGTTCTCGCAGTAGTTGTCGTGGCGGTTATTCTTGCAAATACCTGTTTAACGGGAGTGCGCTTGTGTTACTCTCAAACTACATAAACGCTTTGGCAAAACCCAGGCTCGTATCCTTGCCATTGCTCGCAGATTTAACTGATGCACATAGCGGGCGTGTGGTTAGGTATGGTTGTTGTCGCGCCGATGCTGGATGCTTGCGGAACCTGAGATGGAAGGCAAGCGATCTTGTAGTTTGGCCCCATTTTCTTGTGCCCTTTGATTGGACCCACTGGCCAGGACCCACTTAGCTGGTCTGAGTGTCGACGAATGACGCAGCATCGACCGGCCAGGGGAACTCCGACCCGTCTTTGCACCAACCAAACTCTGCACACTCCGTTGGCTAGATCGAAGCTCCCAACAGACCAGACGACGACACGACACGCTCGATGGTGCGAGCTTCCCTATAGAGATCCCGCTATTCCGAAACCTTTGATCTCTACTCTTAATTTTTTTCCCCTTGGCTTGTTCTAGCGCATGTTATATCGCGTCGTTAATTCGTATCCTCTTTTCTGTCATCCTTTGTCTGTTCCTGTGATACCCTCCGTTGCCTGTTCGAACCCCAGCCGGCAATCGCGTGACTCCGCCGACCGACTCGCGGAGTCTTTGGGCGTCCGCCTCAGTTTCTCGCTCCTTGGCCAGGCACCCACGCTTGCGGCCACATTCCCTCGACCGCCTATAATTCGCACTTTGCTATTTATCGAAACCCCACAGCCTGCTGCTTCTTCGTCTTGAAAGCAGCGCTTACGACATCTGACGCCGCCTCGCCGTCCACCACCGATCGCAAGCCACTTCTCCATACGATTCACGATGCCGCCCCCGGTCGAGATCTCGATTCCTTCAACGTCTACCCTGTACCAAGACTCGAAGCCATATACGAGCTATAACATCACACTCCGCCTCCCTCTGCGGTCCTTCGTTGTACAAAAACGGTACTCGGAGTTTGAGCAACTACACAGGACACTCGTCTCCCTCGTCGGCTCGCCCCCACCCGCCACCCTCCCCACAAAATCGTGGTTCCGCTCTACGGTATCGTCGCCAGAGCTGACGGAGCGACGGAGGGCGGAGCTGGAGCAATACTTGCAGGCCATCGCGGGCTCGCCGGATCGGCAGTGGCGCGACACCCCCGCTTGGCGCCAGTTCCTCAACCTACCGGCGTCCACAGCTGGCTCGGCAGCGTCGGCCTCGGGCATCCATGCGGCGTCAGGCAGGGGACTGCAACACGCCGTCAGCAGCTCGCAGCCGGACCCTGCCGAGTGGATCGAGAAGCACAGGCGCATGAACGATGCGCTGCGCGACGCAAGATCGTGCCTCGCGCGCAGGGATGCGGCGGCCGCCGATGGCTCGTCGGGCGGCGGCGGGAACCGTGCAGTCGTGGAGGCGGCGGCGGCAGCCAGGATGGCGCTCACACAAGCCATAAAAATCCTCGCGGCGCTGGAGGAGGAGCTCGGCTATCTCAAAAAGGCCGGACGCCTGGGCGCGGGCGAGCTCCGACGCCGCGACGACATGCTCAAGGAGGCGCGCGACGACCACAGGTGGTTGGTGGAGCTGTCGTCGAGTGTGTCGGGCCCCGGCGCGTCATCCTCGGCCGCCGCCACCGCTGGCGGCCCCCCGGCAGCTACAGACCGAGCGGCATTGGTCGGAGCTGGCGGATCCAGAGCGGGGGCGGGGCGACCGAGCGGTCGAGTGCTGGGGGCTCCGCTCCAGGAGACCGAACGGACGCGGGAGCTCGACAACGCAGGGGTTGTGCAGCTGCAAAGGCAGCAGGTGGAGGAGCAGAACGAGGACATGGAAGTGTTGTCGCGTATCGTCAAGCGTCAAAAAGAGATGAGCCTTGCCATCTGGGACGAGGTCGAGACGCAGACACAGATGCTGGACCATCTCGGCGACGATGTCGACAGGCTGGACGGCAAAATCAAGGTCGCCAAGAACAGGACGAAGAAACTCGGTTCATGACTACTTGGCGGGTGGCGTCTCTACTATACAACGGATGGGCCGGAGAAGGAGGCACCAGAGGGATACACAACCTCAAGACTGGACTATTCCCCAAGCCTGTTGCTTCACAGGACCGCCGGCATATTGGTGCGCGCCATCATCCTCGTCGCAGAAATCGCTGTGGTCCTGACATGGGTCTCCAGGATGTCGCGGCGGGGCCTGATGTGGTGTGTCGATATCTGGCTCCTGATTTTACCATCTCACGGCACATGACTGAACCCGACGTAGTCTTGTGCGGCTGCCACAAATGACCGACGGCTGTACCACACACACACACACACACACACACACAGCATCATATATTTACAGCGTTGTACCCTTGCATTTTCATGTTTCTACTCAAGTTGTAACATTCCCACATTCCTTAGCGATTGGAAAGAAAGACGATCTCACTCGGATTTATATACTAGCCGGCTTGAGCGTTTATAATGTGAAGAAGGACATGCCCTCACTGAGGGACATGTATTTTGTCAACCTGGTGTTGTCAGGGCCCAATTCTCAGGCTACTGGACTCAAGAAGCCGCTGGCACCTCGGCCTGGCCGGGATTTCGAGATATGAGTTCCTTGAAATTGGGAGCTAGGAAGCCAATCATTTGCCAAACTCAAATTGCTTCCTATCGAGCCAACTTAGCTCCAACCAGGCGCGTGGGAATTGGAAAGCTGCCCCGCGGTCATGAGTGGGTCATTTTCGCCACAAGGTGTCGCTTGACCGGTTTTGGCCAGATGCATGATGCAGTTGCTCAGGCAACGGCGGATTGGCTGGCGTCAAGTTCCTGTTCCCGTCCTTTTTGTCACCAGTCTTCCTTCGGCTGGTCTGAATTCGTGCCCAACCGCTGGGTCGGGCACAACTTGACAACTTGAAGCCTGTTGACATATTGCCCTGGCAAAATGGTCTGTTGTGGTGGTGTTGACGAGTAAAACAAGCGGAAGCAGTCAACGCTTACCCTCATCCTCAGCTCTCGTTTGTCCTGGGCGCCCCCGTCGGATCGGCGGGGGGAGTCACAGGATTGTTTGTGTTTGATTTGTTTTGCTTTCCTTGTTCCTCCGATATTGGATGATAGATGTGATCAACTTCGCAGGCTACCAACGTATCCGTACAGTATCAGCGCAGTACTGTACCCCTCTCGGACAACGGCCGCCTTGATTCGCATTACATGCGGGGGTTTCTGCCATTGGATCACGGAGCACGCTTCTAACGCGTTTCTGGGGGAGCATCGTCGCGCCACTGGTCTTGGCTGACGTTCCCGAACGTGTCACAAAGGGCCGGCCGAGCGTGAGGGTGTGCGTGGAGAGAGAGGTTTTCTGGTTCGGAGAAATTGACAGGTGCCCAGAGTGTGACCATAGACAGGATAGGATATGTTGTCCAGATGGCTGCCAGTGGTGGTGGCTGGGTGTGTGGTGGCCGCGCCATCCCCGCGGTGGCTCTTTTCGGGGTCGCTCGCTTCGCTCCTGGTGAGAAGCTTAGCAGGAGGAATTAGTTCCGTAATGCATTGACTTAGGTCGGCGGCAGCCGGCTAGGTACCTAGACACAGAAACCAGCTCAGGGGGCTATCGCTGCCTTTGTCTGCGCCCACCCGTTGCGGTGGAACGCTGGCCTGGACTCCCCGCAGGACTCGGGTCGGCAGCGGCCCTCACAATGTCTCGCCCACCCTCTGTGCCAGTGTCGGATATGAAAGTCTCGAATCAAGGCCACAGTGGAGAAGCAAAACGACAGGAAAAATCTTCAAGGCGGTAAAAAACGTTGATCTAGACCGAGACCGTTTCTGCGAGGCTCCAGTGCCAGCCGCCGAGGCTTCCGAGACACCTCATCGGCCTGTGCCTCACAATTTCGGGAGGGTGGGGTGGAGAACCCGCTGCGTGGAGAATGAGTGTGGCTGGCTTTGATTGGGTGGCTCGTGCGGGCCGCCTGCGGGCACTCCGTGGGCCTGCTGGCAATTGGTGCCTGTCAAAAAAAAATTACGGCGGCTTTTGGTGGGTGGTGTCAACACCGTCCTGGCTGATCCTGTGCATGGGCATATGCTGCACAACCTGCCAATCGTGCCCTCACTGGTATCCTCACGAGCAGACATTTCGGCTGCCCGTCCGCAAACACTGGCTGGCTGGAGTTAGCTCAAGTACCAATACATCCCAGCCCACGCCCCCCTTCCCCTCCGCCCAGGCTCGTTTGCTCGCTTGCTTTGCCGACTGACTGATTTAGATACGAGAATCTTATTGACCCTCGCCGTCTCCTGGCCTGCGCTTTCTGCGTGGGGAGGAGGCTGGCGTTTATCACCGCTAGTTCGACTGCCTTCCTTGCCATCGACGACGAGTGGCGCCCGATCTTCTCGTTTTTGTTCTTTGCTTTGCCCTGGCTCCCCCCTCCCGATCGATCGGTATGCAAGTTGTTCCCTGACATCGGAGCTAGGTCCTGTTCTGGGGAGGTGCTGACCTGGGGCCCAACTTTGACAGACTCGCGCCGCGCCCGCCACCGAAACCGCCAGAGTGATGTCTCCCCCGAGCCGAGCATAGACCTGCGGCCTCTCTGTTTAGAACTGGAACAAGAAAGGCAAGCCCTTTTTTCACAATGAGCGCACCGCCGCCGCCGCCTCCGCCTCACGGAGCAAACCCTAAGACGACTCGTAGCGGAGGTCTCCCGCCCGGGAAGTACGATGTCTTCATAATACCGGAGCACTCGGCTGGTGCTGGCTTCCTGTATCTGCCCTCGCTGCGGACGAACACCAACAGCTTTGCGGCTGGCTTCGCCACGGCTCTCCTGCTAGTAGTCCTGGGCCAGAGCATGGCCCCCGCCTTCAAGCAATGGTGGACAACGTTCCAGGGCATGGGCAACGTGGGCATGATGATGCTCACGCTGGCCGTGGGACTTGGAGCATGGTCCCTGGGGAGGGCACAGCAAGATGGCGGGTCCGGAGCCTACGGTTTCACCCGCGGGTTCAGCGGTAGTCATGACGGCTCCGGGGGAGGACCGTTTGGCGGTGGAGCCACGCCGGGGTACGAAAGCTCACCGCCTCCCCCGCCCCGGCATGGCCCGTCCCCCAACCACGGCTCCGGGTCACCTCCTCCGCAACGGCCACCGCCGCCACCTGGGCACGGGTCGGGCCCGTCACCGCAGCAGCACCATCAGCACGCGCCGCCGCCGCCACCTGGGCATGGGTCAGGTCCATCGCAGCAGGAACGCCATCAGCATGCGCCACCCCCACGGGAGCAAGACCCGCGCCCGTCGTCGCAACAACGTCATCGGCACGCACCACCACCTCATGGACGTGGCTCGGAGCCACCCCCGAGGCGACATGAGCAACCCCCGCCGCCCCCTCCGCGGGAGGAGACATATTCACCCCCGCCCCCGCCGCCTCAAAGGCCACGGCAAAAGCCGCCTGCTCCTACACCTCCACCGCCAACGCAGCCTTCCCCAAGAAAGAAGAAACATGCGCCTGCTCGGACTCCAGCTCCTCAGCCACCTCCACCGCAACAGGCACCGCCCCCTCAGGCAGCACCGGCACCTCAACCAGTGCCGGCTCCTCAACCAGCACCAGCTCCTCAGGCAGTGTCAGCTCCTCGGGCAGCACCAGTTCCTCAAGCAGCGCCGGCTCCCCAGGTAGCGCCGGCTCCTCAGCCAACGCCAGCTCCTCAACCAGTGCCACCCCCTCGGATAGCACCGATACCACAGCCTCCCCCTCCCAGGCCAGAAACACCCGTGCAAGAGAAACCGAAGCCTGCTGCTCCAAAGCCGGAACCTCCTGCGCAAAGCTCGCCAAAGCCTGAAGCACACAAGGGGGCCTGGGAGCGCGCACGCGAGGAGACAAGGAGGAAAGAAGAGGAGCGAAAGGCCAGGGAGGAGGAGAAGAGAAAACGGGAGGCTGCAGCTGCAGAGCTTGCGCGCGAGGAGGCTAGGAAAATGGAAGAGGAGCGGAAGGCCAAGGAGGAGGCCCAGAGGAAACGCGACGCTGCTGCGGCAAGACTGAAGCAACTCCGCGAAAAGGAAGCCCGCGAAAGAGCGCTGCGCGAGAAAGAAAGGCTGGCTCGCGAGAAAGAGCAACAGGAGCGTGAAGCCAAAGAGAGGGCAGAACACGAAGCCAAAGAACGCGAGCTGCGCGAAGAGCTCGAGAGGAAAGAGAAGGAGATTCGCGAACTTCGTGATAAGGAACAAAGAGAACGCGATCTCCGGCTGCAGCGCGCCAAAGAGGCTGCTGAGAAGGCGGGGCGTGAAAAGCTGGCCAAAGAAAAGGAGCGGGTGGCCCAGGAACAAGCGAGGATCCTCAAGGAGAAGATTGCTGAGGAACAGGCAAGACTCCTCAAAGATAGGATGGCCCAGGAGCAGACCAGACTTATCAGGGAGAGGCTGGCCCAGGAACAGGCTAGGCTCATCAAGGAGAAGGAGCGCCTGGAGAGGGAGGCTAGGGAAGCCAAGGAGGCCAAGGAGGCCAAAGCCAAAAAGGAGGAGGAGGAGAGACAAGCCCGCAAAGCGAGTTCTTATGTCTACTCGACCGGCGAGAAGACGACACTGTGGCCAAACGGCAAGCCGACGATACCTGTGCAACAGACGGCTCCAGCTCCAGCTCCGGTTCCTGCTCAAACCCCAGCCCCAGCTCCAGCCGCCGCCGCATCGCCGCCGCCGCCATCGTCAACCTCTTCTCAGCGACAGCCACCCCCTCCGGCATCCACAACCTCCTCGTATCAGCACCCACCACCTCCTGCCTCCTCGACGTCATCATATCACCACACGCCTCCTCCGGCGTCCACAACTTCCTCTTACCAACATCCACCGCCTCCCGCTTCCACGACTTCATCTCACCGCCAGCCACCGCCGTCTTCGGCCTCCTCGCAGCACCAATCGTACGCGCCATCGAAGCCTCCTCCGCCGACGGCTCGGAGCCATGTCGACGAAGAGGAGGCGTATTCGTTCCGCCCATACGACACGCCGAAAAAGTCGCACCGAAAATCGAACTCGAACTTTTCCGAGTCATCGTGGGCGCCATCGCAGTCAACGACGCGTACGACGCCGCCGCCATCGATGCGGATGCCATACTCAACTAAAGACCCGGAAAAGATTGTTATCCGGGCGGTCTATTGTTTTCTCAACCAGTTTTCTAAAACGCCGGGGTCGCAGCTCATCTCGGGGCAGGGGACGGTGACGGACGGGCTGATATTGCGCATTACGACGGAGGGACTGTTTATCGACGACGATGTTCGAGGGGTGCCGCAGCGAGAGTGGGACGTCAAGGCGTGGACGCTCAAGCAAGTAGAGGTATGGTGCCCCGCGCATGTTGATTTGATGGCGAAGGAAGACGAGCTGTCCAAAAAGGGCGCGTCCACCGGTGCCAATGCGAACCCCAGCGCTGCTTTTTTCCGCGGAGCCGTGGGCGGGTCCGCCCGCAGGGAGCGTGGGCCGAAGACTCTCCTGGGCGACGAGGCCGACGCATACCTGGCCGAGATGCTGCGCGAGTGCAACGACAACTGTCGTCTCGGCCTCTCGGACTATGACCCGCATTACCGTCCTGCTGCGAGTCGTTCTTCTGCGTCGTCGAATTCGGGATCTCGAACCGGAAATACTAATGAAACACAGACGGGAGAGTGCCAGACCAAGGGCCTGCATATCCTCCGCGCCACCATCAGGGATCAGGAGGGGAAGCGCTATCTCTTTGTCCTCGGGGAGGAGGAGGGCTGGAAGGTGGCCATGGGTCTTCAGCGGCTGCGCAAGGGCTCGCAGATCCGCGGCCTCGGTGTGTCGAGCATGAGCGGTCTGGAGACCAAGAACACGCTCGAGACGCTGGGTTGGACCACATGATTTCCTGTTGTCGGATTTTTGGAAAGGAACAGAGACAGAGATGGAGGATAAGGGTTGTGTATGGGGGTGGCGGAAGGTTTGTCATGTCGTGCTGTTGCCTTGAGGCACATGCATCTTCCCTGTATGTTGATCCGCCATCCGGAGTTGTTGTGTCTCCAATGGAGTCTGGCACTCACCTTGCTGGGAGTGGAGAGGAGAGACGTGTGTTGGTTTTTTCTTCTTTCTTTTTCTTTCGGTCTTTGGTGTTTCCCCCACGATCTGTTTTCCATTATACCACCTCTTTGTTGATGACGCGCCGGCGGCGGCGAGCATTTGGGGATTGCAGCATGGCGCGGTGGAGTTCAGACAATGCCTAGATTTCTTTCTGCCGAAGGAAGGGAGGGCGACTTGACCATAGACTTAGAACATCAGTGTCGGAGCATATGTGGATTTAAACTCGAAATACCAGGAGACTTGATGTTTTATATTCTGTAACACTCTGGAATGGCGTTGCCTTGGGTGCTCGACACTCCACTTTGTGTCTTGGATGGGTAAGATGCATTTTTTTTTGACGCGGGCTACATCATCGCATGGCGAACCATAGCACTTGTGGGAGTTCGACAGGTTTAAGCAGTAAAGCAATCCAGGGGGTAGTCGTTCTCAGTCCAGCCAGGTATGCCTGCTTGCCTGTGGCTAAAATGGTCACGGGCCGAGACTGTCGGCATGGGCGGCCTGTGCCACTGTTGAGTATGATACCCGAATCGGGCAAGTGCCGGGGCGGCACCCCTACGTCATGACACCAGATGCTAATGATGCGGTCCTTCCTCCGACACATAACTCAGCAAGAGCCGAGCTCCGCCTCCAGCAACATTGATCTCGAGCAACGCATCTGCAACTACAAGCCCGCTCACTGCAAACTACACCTGACTTGTTTTATCTTCAACTTTGTTCCCCTTTTCCACCGAACATAGGACCCGCCAACATGCCTCTCGTCGTCCCCGGAATCACGCAGACGAACTCTGCCGACAAGACCACCGAGTGGACCAACAAGCTCGTCGGCAAGAAGATTGAGGACTCGGACCACTCTGAGACGGTAAGCTGCTTTCCCATCGTGTGCGATGAACCCACCGGGCCGCTGGCTAACGGTGAAAACGGCCCCGCTGCTCCAGGTGTTCTGCAAGAGAGACCTCCCCGAGAAGTGCCGCGTCATTCAGCCCGGCCAGGTCGTGACGATGGACTACGTCGAGGACCGCCTCAACGTCAAGGTTGCCGAGGACGGGACCGTTGCCACCGTGTACCACGGCTGAAGGAGCCAATCTACAGTCGAAGATTGACAGAATGCTGGGACCTGGACGGCATTGAGGAGGGGGTGGGTGTAGATACGCCTTGGCAGGGCGGGCGACGGCTCAACTTTTTATGGTAAGGAAAGATCGCGGACTAGGGGTGTTTACTAGAGATTCTAGTTACTAGGAGAGGTGAAGAGCACAGCACACACATCTGAACACTAAAGACCTAAAACCTATTACGATTTCACTAGGGCCAAGTGGGCGACGCGCTGGATGGTGATGTTCACAACCAATAGGGCAGGCAGGCTTGCCTGATTGATGCAGCGACGTCATGTCCAGAGGGACGCTCGCTGGGATGGGCGCTGCAGGGACGGTGGGGGTGGGGGTCCAGAAGGGCGATTGGCCGTTGATAAGGCGCCAATTCGAATTTTTACCCCGCGACCTCCACTGGGCTGGATTCCGTGACGGAGGGGCATGCCTGGACCCGGGTGGGACGACGCGTGGTTTGAGGAGCAACGCCCACGGCTAGAACGCGACGAGGTGAAATAGCTGCTTTTACAAGACACCATATATCCAGGGCTATCTGTCTCTACCTTGGCTTCTCTTTGATCGTTTCTTCGGGCCAGTGCCCACCCCCAGAGCACCATGTTCAAAAAAGAGTGAGAGTTTCCTGTTCGTGCTATGGAATTGGAAAATATGGAAGCCCGAGAGCGCAAAGGCTGACGCCACTTACCCCCCAGCCTCACGGCGGCGCCGAAGCAAAAGGTCAAGTCCTCGGCGCAGCGGGCGCTGAGGCAGCAGCTCCTGGACCGGTTCCCGCTCCTGAACCCGCACATCGACGAGGTGCTGCCCAAGAAGTCGTCGCTGGAGCAGATGAAGCTGCCCGACCACGCGTCGCTCTTCGTGGTGGACAAGACGCCCGTCTTCTTCCAGTGCGACACGCCGCAGGGCGCCGCTATCCTGCCGCACCTGCGCCTCGTCCACCGCTTCCCCCAGGCCTTCCCCACGGTCCGCATCGACCGCGGCGCCATCCGCTTCGTGCTGTCGGGCGCGACGCTCATGGCCCCCGGGCTCACCAGCAAGGGCGGGCGCCTGCCGCTCGTGGGTGCGGAGGGCCCCAGGGACGCGGCGGGCGAGGACGGGCACTGGGGCCGCGAGCTGGGTAAGGGCGAGGGCGTCGTCATCGTCGCCGAGGGTAAGGAAGAGGCCTGCGCCGTCGGCCTGCTGGTCGCCGGCACCGCCGAGGTCAAGGAGAAGGGCAAGGGGCCCGTGGTGGAGGACGCACACTTTCTCGGGGACGGGCTCTGGGCTTTACCGCTGGACTGAGGGATCGGCCGGGGCTGTGTGAGGCTTTGGTTGAGCAGGCAAACATCTGGAAATACAAAAAAAATATACCGGGCTGACTTTCTGTTATGAACTCTCTGGTGGACGAACCCCAAGGGTTCAGCCAGAGCCGCTACACATGGACTTCAGGCTAAACTCATAAAGCGTGTGTGACATGAGTTGCGATGCGTGTCTAAATATTGTAGAAATGTCTACCAGGTTTCTGAGCCAAAATGGGCCCTCAGGTAATATCCAAACGGTCAGGTTGATTAGATTGCTCTTTGCAATAGTGAAGCCCATCACATCAACTCCAAACGCCCGTCACAATGCTGCTGCTTCTAAAAAGGATGCTTGACAGATATAACGATGAGGATGATGATAAAAATGGAAAAATTATAATAAGAATAGCAGGACGGGGGGCGAGGCCGCTGTTCGCCCATAAATTTCATTCCAGCCAGTGCGTCGTTGCATCTCATATGCAAACGCGCACCTCAGTCCGGCTGCTGGCGGATATGGCCTTCCCTCGTATCGTATTTCGGAGGGGCCCATTTCTTCGCGCGCACCACGCTCAGCGTGAGTCGGGCGGTCATGATGATGACGCGCCGCTGCTCGTGCCCTTTGCCTCAGCGGCTGGCGGCGCAGCCTGCACGCGCAGCGCCTCGGCCTGGAGCTGCTGCTTCTCGTCGAAGGTGAGGTCGCTCTTGGCCCTGCCGACGCGCGCAAACAGGCCCAGGATGAGCAGGGCCGAGGCGGAGCAGGCAAAGGCCAACCAAAAGGCGTTGCGGAAGCCCGCGATCTGGCCCTCACGCGCGCTGGCCGGGTCGGCGGCGGCCGGGCCGCCGTTGTGCTGCTGGGCGGGCGCCGTGGTCTGGACGATGAGGTCGGCCACGCCCAGGTAGAGGCCGACGCCGAGGAAGATGAGGGTGTTGATGAGGGCGCCCGCGAGCCCCTGGCGGTGGCTGGGCAGGCTCGTGGTCATGAAGACGCTCGAGACGTTGTAGGCGATGTCGACGCCGACGGTGGCGCCCAGCATGGCGGGGAAGACCCAGGCCCAGTAGTTGAGGTCGCTGTCGGCCGGGATGAAGACGAAGAGGATGGTGGAGACGACGCTGCCGAGCCCGGAGATGACGAGGAGCGCGTGGTTGGGCAGCTTGTGCAGCACCACGCCGCCGATGATGGCTAGGACGAAGCCGCCCGCGCACAGGGGGCTGAACCATAGCGCGGCGAGGAGCGGGCCGTGACCGAGAATATTCTGGATGCTATTGGGAAAGAAAAAAAAAAGCCTGTAAGTAATGTGTCCCAACCCCGTTTCTGTGCTGTCGTAAAGAAAAGAGAGGGGTCAACTTACTAAAAGCTCGCATAGAACTGAAACACGCCAAACGCGCCGTAGATGTTGAACAGCCCAATCACCATGGCCGTCATGTACTTGGGGGCAAACAGATCGTAAGGGATGAGCGGCTGCTCGGCGACCCAGCCCTCGACGTAGACGGCCGCCCCCAACAGCAGCAGGCCGACGACGAGGGTGACGTATACGTAGGGTGTCGCGAACCCCTGCGGCGCGTGGGCGCCCTGGGTGATTGCGAAGATGACGAGCAGCAGGCCCGGGACGGTGGTGACGAGCCCCCACCAGTCCATGCGCACGTCCTGGGCGTCCTTGGGCCTGCTGGTCTCGACGGGGATGCCAAAGATGGAGGCGACGCCGATGATGAAAAGCACGATGGATCCGAGCCAAAAGTACCAGCTCCAGGTCATGTACTCGGCCGTGGCGCCGCCGGCTAGGATGCCGATGAAGAAGCCGACGGGGGCGCAGGACCCGTACAGGCTGAAGACCATGTTCTTGCGCGGGCCGGGCCGGTAGTTGGACCCGAGCAGCATGACGCCCGAGGGCAAGAAGGCGGCCGGGCCGAACCCCTGCATGGCCCGGGCCACGATCAGGACCTGGTGGTTGGGGCTGAAGCCCGCGATCAGGCACCACACGGCGTACCAGAGCAGGCCGCAGATGTAGACGAGCCGGCCGCCGTACATGTCGGCCACGCGCCCGAACGGGAACAGCAGCGAGCCGCTCACGATGGCGAAGACGGACGCCGGCCACGTCTGGGTGCCCGGCGGCATGTCCAGCGCCCGCGTGACGGCGGGCAGGACGAGGACGAAGCCGCTGATGAAGAATTCCTATTTTTGGCGGTACCATGTTAGCAGCAGATTCTATATGAGCAAGATTGTCTCTGGATCGGCAACTGCTCACAGCCATCAGCATGGACCCGAGGATGGATGCGCAAAAGGCCCACTCGGCCCACCATGTCTTGAAGGCTGGCGGGCGCTCGCGGCCGAGCTTGTCGACCTGCTCCGGGCTCATACCATCAGGGGCCGCGGGCTCGCCGGATTCTGGATCGGAGGTGTCGGATTTGGCCATCTTGTTTCTTTTTCTTTGGGTATAGGCGGGAGCGCGAGGGGTATGGAATAAGGGTCAGGCACAGCGTCGATGACGTTATGAGGAGAAGAGCGCAGTGTTTGCTGAGAGGATTCTAGTTTGTATAGATGACTGCAGACAGACGAACTGGCGAAAAACAAGGGGCTATTCGCAAGCTTTATATAGTATAGACAAAAGACTGAGGACGGGCAGCCGGGGCAGAAACACCCGCACGGATGGAGATGGAGAAAAACAACTTTTCCATGTCGCCTCGAGCCCCCAGGGCGGTCCACCAGCAGCAAACACCCAAACACAAACCCGATCCCACGCGATCCAGGCCCCCCGGAGCCCGCGCCCATCAGCAAGCAATCCACACGCGGGTGACATGAGGCTTGGCTTCCGGATACGGCAGGATATGGGGGATTTGGGAGGGGGGCCCATGGCGGGCGGGTCCATGTCTCGAGCCCGTTTCTTGAGCCCTGAGTTGGCAGCTGGGCTGGTGTGTAATTACTGTGTACAGTAGAGCTCCCAACGCAGACGCCGAGGTGGCGCCTAGGGCTCGGTAAGCTTTGCCGGGCTGCAGCTCTGGGTTGTCTGGGGCCAGAGATTTCCCTCGGGCTGTTTTCCATCTTGGTTGTTTTTGCCCCTTTTTGCTCTGCCGTCGTTTCTGTTCCGTCATGACAGCAGAAGCAGGCGAATTCCTGGGCGGGACCCACCGCGCTGGCGTTCAGACGGACCACATGGGGGCCCACATGGGGACCCATCTGAGGCTTGGCTTCTGTGTTGGGACTAGCGCCATCTGCCCAGAAACGTGGTTTTTGTCAGCCACGGAGATGTTTGTTGCAGTCATCCGTCATTTGCGCAATACCGTACCGGTTAGCCGGGATCTTTTTGCTGCTATGGATGTCGAGCACAAGTCGCCGAGGGCAGCTCGGCAGCTCGGGGCGCGCCGGTGGCCGCCACTCTGGCTTTTGTTCCCCGCCCATCCCAAACACGGAAGCCAAGGCTCACCTTGAGCGCCAACTGCATCCTGTTCTCATCACAAAGACATTTGATCGCCTGGCCCGCCCAGCCCTGTTGGCAACCACCTCACGCGCTTCCCCTCTCGGCACCTGCAGCCTCCCTTACAAATCACCCTTGACCCAGCGCTACCTGATTTCTGCCCACGTCCTCGTGCTAGGCACCATTTTTTTTTCTCGTTAGTCACCGACCCGCGGACCTCGTGGAGACCGGTCTGTCTGTCTGTCTGTCTGATCGATCTCCTTGATGAGTCGACGACTCGAACAGGCCCCGCACAAGTGCCACAACTGCCGGCGCCGGCGGTTGGTCTGCGACCGAGCCCTGCCGACGTGCCGCAAGTGCGTGGTTGTGGGGCAGGAGTGTCTGGGCTACGGCAAGCTTTTTATCTTTACCGACTCGGTGGCTAGCCGCGGTAGGCGGGCTGGCCAGACCTCGTTTGCGCCGCCGCCGCACCCGCCCGCTGTCGCTGCCGGCGCGCGGAGGGCCAGGCTGTCTCTGTCTAGTTCGCCAGTCGCAGCATCTGCGTCCTCTTCGCCGCCATCGGTGCCGATTTCCAGCCCGTCGAGCTGCGAGCTGGTTCCCAGCCGACATGGCAGCGCCAGCAGGTCTTTAAGCCCTGAGCCTTGGGGTCTCGGCCTTGAGGGTCTAGATGGCCTAACTCTGCATTCGTTGGTGGACCCTGTCACTCAGGATTTTGACACTGCCACGAGATATTACATGCATTACTGTAAGTCGTCCCTCTAAACATATGCCAGCTCTGCCTCTCGCTCCTCATCTCATCGCCCGCACCCAAAACTTTCAGACGTGGAGAGGGTCGCGCGGGACCTGGTCGTGTACGACACCCCCAACCGGAATCCCTTCCGCAACTTGGTGCCCCTGTGCCAAGGGCATGCTTTCCTGCGGCATGTCGTCGTCGCACTCGCCGCTGTCCACCAGGTCTCGTTTCTGCGCTCTCGCGGCCTGCCGTTTCGGGAAAAGCTACTAGACGCTCTTGCCGCCAAGCACAAGGCCATCGTTTTGATCAAGGACGCTCTCGAGAACCTGGGTCCCCACAACTACGGTGATGTTCTCACTGCCGTTGTCTATCTCATCAACTTTGACCTGGTCGACTCGGGCCGCGACAGTTGGCAGGCTCATGTCGTCGCCGCTGGTCGACTGATAGCCATGCTACGGCCCGCTGCCGTCGTTGCCGCTGCTGCCGCCGACCAGCCACCGTCATCTGCATGCTTGCCGTTCGCGAGAGGCTACCGCACTGTGGATTCCTCGATAGAAACTCTGCGCGACTATGTGATGTCGGACTGCCTCAGTTTCTTCATCTTGGGCTCAACACTCGGCTCGTGGCAAGGAACTCGGGCGGGCGAGGTGTTTGATTCGCTCGACGTCGTCTCGATGCTTCTACGCGCCGAGGCCAACACGTATCACTCGTGTCCCAGTGAGATACTGGCAGCAATTCTACGCTCGTCCCAGCTTGCCGCCGATATGCGCGGCGACGGCGACGACGGAAGGGGGTCATCGCCGTCGCAGAAAGAGGCCGCAGCCGAGCTCATGGGTCAACTACACGACTTTGATGCGCGCCGCTGGGCCGAGTCGATCATCGCTGCCAATGGCTACGACAGCGCCGACGACGCGAGCACTTTGGACATGGTGCAAAGCAGGGAGCACATGGCCTGCGCCCACCGGTCGGCCGCGTGCGCGTATCTCTTGATGGCCGCGTCCGAAGCCTTTGACGACGGCGGCGACGGTGGCGACGGTGGCGGCCCCGTACAAGCGGCGAGGACGGCCACCGAAGGCTTCGCGTCGGACATATTCGAGCATCTGCTGTCCATATCCGAGACGGACGCGCTGTTCAAGGGATCCGTCTGGCCCACCTTCATCCTCGGGGCGCTCACGACAGACCCGGACAGGCGGGGCTGGGTGCTGCGCCGGCTGGAGCAGATGTGGTTGAGCATCTGCCCCTGGGGCTACGTCAAGACGGCCATGGACACGCTCGTGGCGTTGTGGGAATTTCGAGACGGCCGCGAGCAACCTTTGCCCTCTGCCGCGGTGCTCGGTGAGGCGCCATCTGCCGACGGAAGGGAAGCGATCCGGGGTGGATGGCTCTCAGAGTTGAGGGCTCTCAAGATCAACTGCTTAATTGTGTAGTATGTTGTTGTTCTTGGTTTGTTTTTTTTTTTTTTTTTTTTTTACATAACCTTCTAAATCCTTTTATCTTTAGTAAATACAAAATATCACAAGCAATTGAACCGCTGACAATCAGCCGCCATGTCAGAACCGCCAACACCGCCTAGTCCCTAGAGGCCCACTATTCCTCGATAGCGAGCTCTGGTCTGTGAGTGAACAGTACCAATCTCACCTGTCGTATTCTCCAGACGAATGCATTCGAGATCATCCGGTCCTTACCAATTTGATGCCGACTTTCCGCAGTGTCCAAGATCTTAACCGCGGAGATCATGGTCATGTGGCGCTGCAGTCCGAGATTTAGGCAAGTGTCTTGGTGCGAGCTGTGGGATGGATGGCTTAGAAATGCGCCATACAATCGAGATGACAAATAGGTAGCTGCCATGGTATTACCTCAATGGCTCTCGATCACGACATCATGTCGTTTTGGACTGACCAGCAAAGTACTTAAGCCCGGCTGCCGTTCGTCATGAAACATGGCGTTTTGTGTACTTGAGAACAATAGTCTCCTGTGAGGGCACGCACTCGTCAGCACCCAGCAAAGAAAACCACCAAGTCCTCCCAGAACAAACTCACCCACGGGACAACATCACGAAACAAACAACCATGGCACCCATCCGCATCGCCCTGGTCGGTCTCTCGTCCAGCGCCAAGACGGGCTGGGCGGCGGGCGCGCACCTGCCCTACCTCCTCTCGGAGCGCGGCCGGGCCCGGTACGAGATCGTGGCGCTGCTCAACTCGAGCGAGGACGCCGCGCGCGCCGCCGTCGCCGCCTACGACCTCCCCGCGTCGACGACGCGCGCCTACGGCTCGGCGGCCGCGCTGGCCGCCGACGCCGCCGTCGACCTCGTCGTCGTCTGCACGCGCGTCGACAACCACCACGCCGGCGCCCTCGCCAGCCTCCGCGCCGGCAAGGACGTCTACATCGAGTGGCCCGTGAGCCAGGACGTCGCGCGCTCGCGCGAGCTGCTGGCGGCGGCGGCGGAGGGCGGCGGGCGCACCATGGTCGGGGTGCAGGGCCGCGTGGCGCCGCCCGTGCTCAAGGTGCGGGAGCTCCTGCGCCAGGGCCGCATCGGAAAGGTCCTGAGCTCCGAGGTGCTGGCCAACGGCGGGCTCAACAGCCGCGACTCCATCCCCGCGAGTCTGGAGTACTTTACAGACAAGGCCATCGGGGGCAACATCTACACCATTGGGTTTGGCCACTGTAAGTCACCACTGGAAAGCATTTTACTGTCGATGAATTCCCGAACCAGTCAACCACGGGTCATTAATATGTGGATATGTGAAACCACCTCCAGTGTTCGACCAAGTCAACTCCGTCCTCGGCCACATCCAGAACCCACAAGGCAACCTGCATCTCCAACGGCCCGAGGTCAAACTCATCGACGCGTCCGGCCAGGCCGCAGGCACCGTAACCACCAACGTCCCGGACCTGATCGTCGTCACGGGCCAGGTGGCCCCGGGCCCCGACTCGGGCTCCTCCTCCGGCGTCGACGCCGCCGGCGCGGCCGTGCTCCACCGCTTCCGCCTGGGCGCCCCTTTCCCGGGCGAGGCGCCGCTGCGCTGGACCGTCGCCGGCGAGCGGGGCGAGATCCGGCTGACGGCCAAGGCGGGCACGACGCTGCACGCCTTCTCGTACGACCTGACGGACCCGGTCGGCCCGCAAGGCGTCTCGATCGAGGTGCACGACTTCGAGACGGACTCGGTCGAGCGCGCCAACTGGGCCTGGGCCGCCTGGCAGGAGGAGTTGCCGCTGCGGGCGAGGAGCGTGGCCGAGCTCTACGAGCGCTTCGCCGACGGCCGCGACGTCCCGACGCTCGCCGACGCCGTGCGCAGCCAGGAGCAGCTCGAGGGGCTGTTGGCTCGGGGGCCTTGAGTTGGGGTGGGTGGTGGGCGGGTGTGTGTAGTTCGGAACGCCACAACCCGCGTTGGTTGGTTGCCTCCCTCCAGATTTACCCCAGAACGTCGGTTGCCATTTGGACCCTTGGGTGGGTTCCGGATGGGGTTTGTGCGCCGTGAGCACCCACTGCAGGGTTTCGAGACAGGGAGCCCCGGGCAACACGGCCCGCTTCTAGCTTTGACGGAATGTGACTGCATCTCCAGATCCGTGCCAGGGGTCGCCCCTTATCCCTCAGCCCGAGACCCTGATATCCGACGGCGTTTGGCTGTCACTGGTGCCAAGGTCCAACATGCTCGCCTTCTTGATGTCGTTCGACTTTGCCCCCCAACATCCCACTCCGTTCGCCTCTTTTTTCGTTATTTCAGGCTTGCGGTCTACGAGCGCAAAAGACATCTCCCCACCCACTATTTTGATCGATGGCGAGAAAACATGCATGTGCCCCCCGTCAGTCTTGGGCAAGACGTTTGATGCGTTGGATGCACTCACGCTTGCGCCCGCATTGACTGAACTGTACGCGTTGGACAAGACGCGCTCTGCTCCAACCCCACACACATGGATGTTGATCACCAAAGATAGGACCCTAGAGTCGAAAGTGGTCAGGCCAGGGCTATGCAGTCCTGCTGTGGGATCTGGCATTATCGGAGGCCTAGGTGGTAAGCAAGCCGTTCCTTTGCGAACCTTGGATCATTGTATCCTTATCGAGGGAGCGCAGGTGTCGTACAGGGTGAGTTGGTTCTGAATCGTGGTGTCTTTGTGCTCGGCTTCGGGTTGTCTTGTGGCAACTTGTCTGCCGTCTGCCGTCTGTATAAGAGCCGTGCCGAGGCTTGCTCCTGTCAAGACTGCTTCTCTCCTCATCATCACCCCGACCACTCATCATGCAACCTTCTCCTTTGGTTTCCTCTGCATTTTCGTTTTGTTTCCCCTTTGTCCAACCGAACTTCATCTGTCTTTTGCCGGCTCTCCCCTCCCCTTCTCGATAAACACTTCAAACCCCTAAACCCTCAGCTACCATTCCGACACAATCTTATCCCTCCCTCCGTTCTTCGACCCGGCCGCCCCCAAGAACCGCCAAGATGCACCCGACAAAGATCACCACGCTCATGGCCCTGCTCGCCATTGGCGCCCCGGCCATGGGCCGCGCCGTGGACGCCCCGATTCCCAACCGCGCCAGCCCGACCGCCCCTCGAGGCGCGTGAGCCTCGAAGGGTCATCACCCCTATTAAAGGCCCCGGCATCGTCTTGGGGCGCGACGAGCAGCCCGCCGTCGAGGCGCCAGACTCTAGCAGGGTCACCAAGCCCGTCAAGCTAATCTTTGCGCGCGACGACTCATCCGCCCTTGATGCGCGAGCACCTCGGACGGTATTTACGCCCATCAAGGGCCCCGTTAACCTGCCGATACTTGGCCGCGACGACCCGTCCGCCCTCGAGGCGCGGGCTCCGCAGTTCCTCAAGCCTATCAAGGGCCCCGGCAATATCAAGTTGCTGGTCCTTGGCCGCGACGACTCGTTGCTCCTCGAAGCAGGGAGTTCTCCGAAGCTCTTCAACCCCCACGAGCCCCCCCAGCAAGGCAGCCTTTGGCCGCGACGGTGAGTCCGCCTTCGATGCGGGGCGACCTCCGGTCCGCACGGGCAGGAAGCTGGGCAAGCTTTCTGCCATCTCGCCCGCGTGATTCAGCCATAGCCGAAAGGACCAGCATGTGCCCTATCCTATCTGCCTTCATATGGCGCCCTGCTGGCTCTTGTCCATGTGTAAGGCCCTTCCTGAATGAACCGTTAGGCAGTGTGGGGGAGTGATGTGGGTTGGGAGTGGCCAACTTGGTCGTTCTTTCTTGCTACACTTTTTTTCGCCAGATACTGGGCGGCTCCAGATAGAACTGTGCAATCTACAAATGCTGTTTCGCGTCTGGGGTACAGTGAACCGGAAAATTGGTTGGAAAGCCACTGGTTCGACCTGGACACGGCATATGATTACAGGACGATCAAATCTGAGCGGACGAGGAAACCGTTCTGTCCTGATCAAAACACGTAACAAGAAAAGCCGTCGGTTGCAATTTTTGGATTCAGCCCGAAGAGGTGAGTTATTCCGCGGTGACACTTCACCCCAGCTGAAGACTGTGGCAAACGCGAAAAAGGGTTGCGGGAGGAAAAGTCCCACAATAATAAAGGTGCCTTTTGTCTCGTTGTTGTCCACACAATGTTGCAATTCACTTCTAAGATGATTCTCAGAGAAATATGAGGACAATTCAGCTGCAGCAGAAAACCAAACGTCCAATTGTCAAGACAAAAATGCTGCTAATGTCGGCAACCAGCTCTGGTATGGCCTTGGTATGCCTCCCTCCATCCCTCCTCCATCCTTCCGTCGTTTTGGGCTATGTCCCGCCCGCGTTCTAGTCGCAAAGGCCCATCTCCTCCACCTGCTCTGTCACCCCCTCGATGGTGGCAAGGTGGCTGTCCTGCTCACCATCTCCCATGTCGACGTCGTCGTCCGCTTGTTGAAGAAAAGGCTGGCTGTGTGGGGAGCTTTTGTATTAGTATAATTAAATAGATTGTTAGTGTGGGGGATTCTAATAGACATACATACTCGTCGTCCTCACCGCTGCTGCTGTCGGCGTCGACGCCCGCCAGCCCGCCCACCAGCTCGTAAAGCTCGAGGCCGCCGTCGGCCCACTCCCGAGTCTTGTTGCCGCCAGCGACTAGGTTGAACTGGTCGATGGCCTTGGCGAGCTCGCAGTGCTTGTCCTCGTCGTGGGGGTGCTGAGGGCTTGCCCTCCAGGCGGCACGGGCCGCGCTGAGCTTCGCGAAAAGCTCGATGAAGATGGGCTCTTTGAGAGCCATGGTCCAGGCCCTGATGGGCCGCAGTGCTTCCATCAGGTGGAAGAAGTCGGCCGAAAAGGCCGGCGACTCCCCGCCACGGGCGTTCCTGGCCGCGAACAGGTCGGCGGCGTCTCGGAAGATTTGAGCCAGGTGCGGCTCGACGACCCACCTGGTCAGCTCGGTGGTGGTGATGGTGGAGGATGAGGAGGAGGTAGCAGCGGCAGCGGCGGTCATGATGGCTTGAGCGACCTTGCGGTCGCGGCTCCCGCGGGAAAGAATATTGTTATAGTCGGCATATTTCATGCCGGACCTTGGCAAAGACCTCTTCAAACCAACGAGCGAAGGCATCTTGGGCGCGGGCTTGGTTCTTATTTCGATGTGTGTGGGTATTTCGATGTGTCTGGGAAGGAACTGGCCAAGGGCTAGTAAAATCGTGGAAGAGTTTGGCGGAAGTTTTGCGCTCGAGTTGGGGTGGCTAGTTGGGCTCAGTTACGGTGGAGCTTCGAGGAGTCTGGGCACAAAAAGGGAAGGAACGAACGAACAGTCTTTTTAGATACCTAGGTAGGCATCGCTTCCTCCTCACATCTGGCTCACCCCGGGTTGAACGACCGCTGGCTTTGTTTGCCCAGGCCCACAGCAGGCGGGGAGGAGGGGTACCCTGATATGTTACTTCTCTGGAGCTGCTTGCAACAAAACAAGTGGCCGAGTGGTCTTGGGGATAGCTATATCTTCACCACAAGGTTGCGGGTTCAACTCCCGCCATGAGCGCTACCCACGTCATAGTAGTTGACAGGGCTGCCACCACGTCCATGGCAACTTCACTGTGATTTGTTGCAATACGTTGCCTCCTAGTGCCGGTAGACGACCGTGGGTGGGACTGGAACTGGGGGATAATCGACCATTATTTTTTTATATTTTTTTCTTTTTTTAAAAAAAGAACTATTCATTTTTTGGTTTTGCAAGCCGGTACTGTGCTCGTGAGGAAACCCTTTATTTAATGTATTTTAATAACATGTACATGATAAGCCTGTTGGGGGTGTTACTTGTGTTAATAATCGCTCCGCGCAAGGCAAAGCTGTTAGGATTACGGCCTACGCGGAAAACGTTAGGAGGGTGATTTTGTAAAAAGGCGGAAATGGGAAAAGAAAACAGCGTATAAATTCAAATGACAAAGCGACCTGTTAGCAAGGTGACTATACCCGGAGCGTTACGAGGTGGATTAGAAAGAAACAACAGGTGAATAGACACAGGTGGTGATGAATATGTTTGCCCCGTTGTCAGGGCGCCAATGCCAATGGTCGAAGACAGTGGCCAGGATGACCCAGGTCCAGTAGCAGGCGTCACGGACGGGGATGAGCCAATCCAGCTGACTCGATAACTGTCGTGGTGATGGATTATGGAATGCCTACGTCAGAAGAGGATGCCTGATTGGCACCGTGTGGTCTAAACAAGTATCACTAATTGACAAATGTCTACTCGAGAGAAATAGAGCAACCTCAACGGGGCCACGCCAGGGTAGAAACCCCTTGATACGCCGATGCAAAGGGCTATCCGCTGGGCAGGAGATTGGCGGCCGCCACGTTCCTAGCGATGCTTCTTCACCTTGGACCACAAAGAACCGAGCACGTCGACGTCTCGCTTGACCGAATCGCTCTCCTCGCCCTGGCCGGGATCGTCAAGCTTACTCTGCAGCTTGGCCATCATTATATCCATGGCCATCTTGGGCGAGATCAGCCTGAGCTCCTCGTCGAGCTTGTGCTGGCTGATGAGGCGGCCGCCATCGCACAGCTCGCGCACGAGGGTCTCGGCCAGGTGCTGGCAGTTGCTCTCGAGCAGGCTGTACTTTGGGTTGAGGCTCATGTGCTTCTCGCCGAGCGACTGGATCTCCTCGTGGCTCTTTGTGGTCTCGCCGACGTAGTAGGCGCCGCTCCACGTCTGGACGAACTCGGGCGTGACCTCGTTGACGCGGAAGACGTTCTTGCCGATCATGTTGAGCTCGAGGCGGTCGCTCATCAGGTCATACGAGAAGGACCGGCCGACGCCGCGGTCGATGACGCACAGAGCCCAGTGGCAGATGCTGTTCATGCTCATGCCGACGTGGCGGGCCAGCAGGCGGTACGACTGCTTGGTCAGCTCGACGGGGCCGAACTCGATGGGCGTCGTGACGAGCAGGACGGCCCGGTGGGTCGTGTCGCGCGTGAAGGCCAGCGGCTGCTCCATCTCGCTAACGCCGGCGCCCGGGTCGGCCGAGGCGGCGTCCGCGCTGCTGCTCTGCTCGAGGCGCGCCGCGATGGGGGCCAGGAACTCGTTGCGCTCGCGGGCCAGGGCGCGCTCGGCCTCGGCCCTGGCCGCAGCCTCGGGGTCTTCCTCCGGTGCGCGGTTCTCCTTGCGCTCTTCCCTATGCGGGAGGGGAAAGGGGTCGTGATGGTGGGAGGATGTTAATTGCGGGACCAAGGCGGCGTGATGGGGGTTTGGTAGCGTGGAATTCAGGGGCGCGTCATGTGGGGCGAGGTCCTGCGGCGGCTGCTGCTGGCTGTGAAAGATGGCAGCAGCCACGCGATCGAGGACGGCGGGAGAGGGGGGAAGGGCCATCGCACCATTTCTTAGTGATGTACTGCTGGGTGGCCCGGGTGGCCTTGGTGAGCTTCTTGGAGAACGACTCGAAGCCCATGGCGACCGCGCGCGCGAAGCGCAAAGTCTAAAGAGACGAATGCTGACGGGGTTGCCCGCAGGGTTCTAGCAACGCCCCTGCGGCAATTCGTCACGAGGCGGGAACCGATCAATTGGGAGCTAGGTCGGCTTGAACGGGTCTGGGCTGGCGGGAAAGCAGATGTCCCGGAGCGGCGGGAGGGATTGGGCCATTCAATTGTCTGAGCACCATCACAGTCAAACTACCATCCAAATCTCAATTGTTTACCTATTTTTCTACGCACGTCACATGCTGGGTTGCCTCCACTACTTCCATCTTTGATCGCAGGCAGCACTGGAAAAAAGCTGGGGGAAGGCGGCGCAGCTTTGCGGGGCCAACTTGTATCGCCAATCAGGTGGCTCGCGCGGTGGGTGCTGTGCGTGGCCTCGTGGCTCTCACCAGAAACGTCGTCATCTGGGAAACGGCTTTGGGCAGGGCGCCTCGATGTTGCTTGTCGAGCAACAATCATTCTGGCTTCCAACTCAAAAATCCCATGTCATGGAATGCCGTTCAAATAGGGCTTTGCGGGGGTCTGGCAGCTTCGGCAAGCTTTCCCGCTTCCATGCCCGGCATTGGTCAATGCTTGTGTCATGCGTATGACGGGAGGACACGGCCACCACTCACTCAACACCCACCCACCACCACTACGCGCATTGAAACCCATCCCAAGCTTGCCCCCGGCCCCCGTTTGCCGTTTGATGTCGATCCAACGGCCCCAGAAAAAATGAACCCACGCTGGCGTCTTCTCGCGTGAGCCTCTGCCGCCTCGATGGGGCCGGCCCTATCACTGCACTCTCACTACACCCCTGCTGGTCTGATCTGACCGTGCCTGAAACCGAGCCGAGCCGCAAGCATTGCTCCCTCCCCGAATCGCAACAGCTGCCTTTCCCCAATCATCCGAGCAGGGACATGCGCTGCGGCACTCGGCAGTTCGCAAATAAGCGCGTCAGGGGCGGCCTGGCTGAAGGGCATGAGGGGGGAAACGATTGATAAAAAGGGCAGGCTCCGATGAATTGGTCATCTCTCCCTCTCGAGTTGTTTCTTCTCCTCCTTCCCCTCTGCCGCTTTGGAATTGCTTCATTTCTATTTGGTTAACATCACCTGCTCGAGGCTGGGATCGGGTTTGGCAACCAGGGCTGCAAATTGTCAAAGAAAGCTGTGATATCCAATGCGCCTTATCTGACTCCTTGTCTAGCTCTTCGGCTCGCTTGCGTGCCCCTTCACTTCTTGTCTATCCTTTCCTATCCCTTACTTCTAGACCCGGCAGTGTCGCGGTCGCCCTCTTTATCTCATTCTCCTTTCACCCTCAGGATAGGGTCTCGTTATCTCGCATCAACTTCCATGATGGCAAGATTTCCCGCCCTTGCTACCTTACTCTTGACCGCCGCCTCTGGTGCACTGGGCCAGGCTGGTGGGAGCGGCGGCGGCGCGGCGGCGGACGAAGGTCTCCACAGCCTCGCTGTGAAGGCGGGCAAGCTTTATTTCGGGACTGCTACGGATACGAACAACTTTCGCGATGCGACGTACACGGGCATCGTCAAGGACGTGAGGGAGTTCGGCCTGGTTGTACCGGAGAACAGTATGAAATGGGGAAACATCCAGCCGAGGCCCGATGAGTTCAACTTCGACCCCCCGAACCAGGTCGCCAACCTGGCAAAGTCGGACCAGCGCCTGCTCCGATGCCACACGCTTGTGTGGCACTCGCAGCTACCGAGCTTTGGTATGTCGCTGTGCCTTTAGGCCTTTGTATTCCTTACTTTAGCCACTAACACGATCAAACCGAAGTGCAAAACGGACAATTCACAAAAGAAAGCCTCACCAAGGTTATTGAGACGCATATCAACCGTGTCATGGGCCACTTCAAAGGACAGTGCTATGCATGGGATGTCGTCAACGAGGCCGCCAACGAGGACGGCTCGTTCCGCAACTCGGTCTTCTTCAAAACGCTTGGCAAAGATTTCATCCCGCTCTCCTTCAAGCTCGCCGCTGCTGCCGACCCGGCGGCCAAACTGTATTACAACGACTTCAACGTCGAGTTCAAGGGCAAAAAGGCCGACACAGCCCTCAGCATCGTAAAGCTGGTCAAGGACGCGGGAGAGCGCATCGACGGCGTTGGCTTCCAGGGCCACTTCACCGTGGGGAAGACCCCGAGCCGCCAGGACCTGGCCACGCACCTCAAGCGCTTCACCGACCTGGGCGTCGAGGTCAGCTACACGGAGCTCGATATCCGCCACTCCAAGGTGCCAGCCAACGCGGCGGCCCGCCAGCAGCAGGCGACCGACTACACCAGCGTCGTCGGCGCCTGCCTGGACACGCCAAAGTGTGTCGGCGTCATCGCGTGGCAGTTCACGGACAAGTTCTCGTGGATCCCCGGCACGTTCCCCGGCGCCGGCGAGGCGTGCCTGCTGGACCAGAACTACCAAAAAACTCCCGCCTACACGGCCGTGGCGGAACTCCTCCGGTCCGCGGCAGCAGGGGGTGGTGCCGCCAACCGCGGCACCAACCGGACCGCCGACGCCTCCGCCCTGGACACGCTCGATGGTGGCCTCAGTCCGGCTCCCATCTCACCCCCTGTGCCGGTCAAAAACGAAGGTGGCGGCGATCCGTCCGCGCCCGCCGCCGCGCCGGTCGAGGCCAACGAGAAGAGCACGGCCGCCGGCAAGGCCGCCCCCGTGGCCGCGGGGAGCTCCATGCTGCAGCCGACCCTGGGCGGCGCTTGCCTCGCCATGGCCATGGTCGCGGCCGGCATGCTGTTTCTCTAATCCGCGAAGCGCGCCTGTACGATAGGATTTCGCCTGGCCCATCGCAATGACCATATCCAGATCGGCCACGCCCGTCACGTGTGTTGGACATACAGTCTGCTGCAAACTGCCGCACGATGAACACGAATGATGTATATAGTATGTATCGAAATCAACGCAGGTTCAGATACAGATAGAATTATCATTATTATGGCTTGCTGTTGCGATACGTCTGATGAGACGCGAAAATAGTTACAAAGAATTGTCGCCGTATGTTGGCGCGGGCAGGGAGCATGCGCAAACCCAACCCGTTGAAAGTTCCTCTCGGGAATCACCCACCCAGGAGCTGCGTTTCTCTATCGAGACCGCCCCCCCAAAGTTGATACAACCCCGACCGAAGCAGTTCATGTGGCTCAAGCCCACATCTCGCTTAGTACGCGGCAAAGAAAGCCAGAGCCAGCATGGCGACGCCGCTGACGCCGCTGAGCTTGGGCGCCGCGGCAGAAGGAGGGGGGCTCGTGGTGTTGCCGCCGGTGCCACCGGTGCCACCGGTGCCGTTGGTGCCGGGCCGGGTCGTGGGGATGCTGATCATGGTGGTGCTGGCGGTGGGCCGGAACGTGGGGATGCCACTGACGAGGGTGCCGGTGGCGGCGGCCGAGGAGGTGGTGGCGGTCGCGCCGCCCCCGGTCGTCGGCATGGTGGTGCCGGGCAGAATGATGTTGGTGCTGCCCGAGGCGCTCTCGCAGACCTTGGAGATGGCGGGGAGGACCTCCTCTGATGGTGGCGGCGGCTTGTGTTAGTGACCTGACCCCAACTGAATCACAAAAAAAGTAGTTTGCTGATATCTTGCTTCCGCGAAGGGTGTATGTGTGTGTGTGTGTGGGTGTCACGTACTTAGGGCGGTCTCTTGCCCGCAGCTCTGCAGAACGCAGCCGGTCCCTGCCGAGACGATCTTCTCCCTGTTCTCGGGCTTGCAGAAGCAGGAAACGTCCGTCTCGGAGCAGCCTGTCTCCTTGATGGCAGGGCCCAGGCACTGGCGCGCGCACTGGGGGACACTGTCGAGGCTCTGGGCCGAGACGAGGCCGGCGGCGGAAAGGGCGGCGAAGGCGGTGGAGTACTTCATTTTCGGTGGTATGTAGGGATTGGTGTATTGGTTGTGGTTATCTTATTCCAACGAAAGTGAGGCAAATGGCTGATAGCGAAGGTTGTACAGTAGGTAGATATTTACAGAGTGATGGATGCTCAGGACAAGAGAAAGAACCTGTAGTTCGATGAGGCCCGGCCTCCTTTATACCTCGAAGCAGCCCGCATGGCGACTGAATGGAGGTGGAGAAATGCACTCCCCTGTGATCTGATCGAAGTGACTTCATATAGTGGTACCCAGTAAGGCGGGTAGCAAAATTGAATTCACACCCGAAGCACCAAACCAGGACAATATCGGAATACACCCAGTTTTCATCAAATATCCACACCTTCAAATCGAATCTAAAAAAAAAGTCGAAAAATGCGGCTGCTTATCCAGTAGCATCCAATACGGGAAATATTTTCTTTTGGATTTTCTCGCTCGGGGTCGCGGCAGCGATTGCACCCGAAAGCTCGGTATCTGCTTCGATAGTGCAAATTTAATTTTGTTACCCGCTTGCTAGTGACCACGGCAGCCGGTACCTAGGTAGACATTCACGGACGATCATCATCAACACTACCCGTATCCTGGACATTCAATACGGGAGGGGGAACTCTGGGCATGATGCTGTGCCAGCCAAGGAGGAGGCACAGCCGGTTAGGACCCTCAGGTCCCTGGAACGTTGACGAGGCGGGGGCCGTATGTGCAGTGCCGAAACAGGGCACTGCCCCCAGCGCACGCAAGCTGGACGACCCCTTGTCGGCGCCGACATCACGAATGGCCAAAGGTCGCCGCCCAATGACGCCGTTCGCGGTGGCGGGGTAGGACCCGCCCTGTTGTCTTGGGATGGACAGGGGCTCCAGAGCACCGCCAATGGGATATTCCGTCGTCGTCACTTGCCAGGGCAACATCCCCCACATGTGTTGCCCAACGCCCGCTTCTGGCCAGTGAAGGCCGACGTCAGAAAGGTCGAAAGGGACTGGGCGGGCTGCCCGCTCGCCCGGCAGTCAGGGGCCCTGCCCGCTTCTGGCCACCCCGGCCTTGGCCCCCCACCCCCCCATCCATCCCTCTGTGGCGGTGATGTCGACTGCGGGCCCATGAGCGTCACTGATCCGCGCCCAGCTCTGTATCCAAAACAACGGCTCGTCGATCGAACCCAAAGATCCTCGGTACCTAGCATCATCGATCTGCGTTCTGCCAGGGACAGCCCGGTTCATCAGGGTGCTCTGCCGATCGTTGCAGAAGAGAGAAAACCTCCCGGCCGCCGTGCTTGCGCATCGCAATATGCCTTGGTTTCTATCTTTAGCAACAGCCAGCCCTCCGCTGGACCGCAACTTCAATGTAATTTGTGCCGAATCACGAGGAGCAAGTAGCCACTCATGTAGATACCTTTAGGCCATGCAGCGCCTCTCTCCTTCACATTCTCATTCAAGTAGGTAACGAGGGAGGAATGGTCACGCAGCAGCCCAGTGCAGGAGCCGGCGACCCGCCGTGAGATCCCGTCCCGCACTTTCAGCATAATTTTAACGCTGACGCTAGAGTCGTCGCTCCGGCAGGCCGCCAGATAGACCATGCTATTCCAGGCTGGCGAGGAAATCCTAGGCCCAATCTGCCTGCTACCCATCTTTTTTTTTTTTTTTATCAATCTCCTTTCATGCACAGATGTAGCTTCTATGATCGTATCTTCACTGGAAGCGGGAAGGATCGAGACCGCCCCCCTCGCGATGATGCTGCCACACGATCTAAGGAACCGAGTTTGTCCAATATCGCTCGATTTTACCATCAGATCATTCTCGCAAAAAAAAAACCCCCCAAAAAAACCATCAGATGCCCCAGGGACATCTGACGAAACGCCGCCGATATCGCCCTCGACATCTTGGTTGGTGGGAAAATGGCAAGTGATGTCAACTTGCTAGTTCAGGGTTCAGGACGCCTGAGGAATTGAATGGCCTTGCCAGAATTAAACGGGCACGCCCCACCACAAAAAATAGTAGGACTGAAAGAGCAGGAACAGGAATAAAAATGGGGCAACAGGAACAATACCCTAAAATCTGTAAAACTGCCCTGCCATCTTTTTTGTGGTGGGCGTGACGGGCAGCCACGACAGCCACGCGTCAAGGCGTGTCTGCACTTGTAGCGACTTGACCTTGCACCAAGCCTCGGGGCCGTTCACGGCCATGGAATACGCCGCAACGTCTCGCATGGGGGCGTTTTCGGGCAGGGCCTCCTTGCTGAGAACTAGGCGGTGGCGGTCTTGGGCCTCGGGGATGGGATAACAGGTCGGCCGAGTGAAAGGGGTGGTCCACTTTTTGGTGATGGCGTCCTCGAAAGGGAACTTCCAGATTTGGCCCACGTTATCCCGATCGACATAGAGAAAAGAACCAACTAGCGCGATAGCGCGAGTCCAGTCGAGTGCGTTGTATCCTATCACGCCCTGACCAAAAAAGTCTGGACCGCAAATTTTTTCCCCCACCTAAACTCTACCTCTCCCAACACAATTGCACCAGCACCAAAGCCAAACAACATGCCCGCGCCGCATTCTACACCTAAAAAACACGCGTTTAAGGAATTTGTAATTATTTTAATGCAAAAAGCATTACTTATAGCCACAATAACGTTTTTCGCTTTTATAAATGCAGGGGTAAAATAATTGCAGATTGAA